GAAGCGCCTATTTACTTTATTCATGCGGCATAACGTCATCAAATCTAAGTTTTTAAATATTTTTAACATTATCTCATCCTGCAAAAATAAAATGTAAAACTTTAATACACGAGATGACATTGCAATAAATATTATTACGAGAAGTACGTAGACTTTTTAGAATACTTTACAGGAAGCTCAGATATATTGCAACGTGATAGCTCCTTGGATTCATCCGAAGAAAGTTTCGTACACTTTGCATCATTTGAATGACTTTTTAATAAAATATGACGCGAGTTTTTCTCTCCATAAGGTCGTACATAATCGGGGATCACTTCCTGAGATACATCTTGGGGCCTCAAATTATTGTTATAAGAAGTTCTTTTTATGTCGCTGCAAATAATATTGGAATACATTCATATTTATTATTAACAGCATAAAAGGATTTGAATGTTACTTAATGTTGACGACAATACCTTTTACCAATAATGCAATATTCAGGAAAATTCTTTTGCAGATGAATTATATCCATATGTGCATTTTTTATATCTGCTGTTAAATTATAAATATCCTCATGGTTTTGAGAGTACATGCAGTTAATTTTCCTTAACATATCAGTTAAATCCTCGTAAGGATTTCTAGAAAGAATCAAATTTGATGTACCAATAAGCATGATAGCATCTAGCTTTGTGTAAGAGACACATGTACTCTTTTTAAATGTTAGCCTGACCATTTTGGTTTTAAAGTTACACGGGTGTGATAAGGGTGGGGAAAATAATTTTGATGTCGGGGGTACAATCTGAGACGATTCATTCCACAACTTAATCCACTCGTTATTAGGATCTCGAGCCAAAATTTGAATTAAGCTTCCAGGATTGTATATTTCGTATATAGAAACTCTGATTGGATATACAGCTTCATGAAACTCGATATCTTCAAAATAGAAAATATAATTATGCTCCTTTCTAAAAAAAAACCTATCTTCTTTAACAATACCTTATTTATCAATTAAAGCATTACGTACCAATATACTTATTTTCGATCGTATCATGATGCGGGCAATGTATAAAATTGCATGTTCTCATTTCATCTTGCCACGGAGAATTTGATATTAAAGGGTCAGGCCGCTGTTTTGAAAAGTAACCATGTATATCAGATAATAGAAAATTTTGTAACATACATTTAGATTACGATTTCTTTGTACAAAACGATAACAGACAATATCAGGAAATATACGTACAAAGGTATATGTTCTATTAAAAAAACATGGACGAAATTGTTTTCCATAGTCATAGTGTGGAAATTTGGGTGGCCCAATTATGTCAGGAGCAGTATAATATATACTGTGACTCATGTGGTCCTTAGCAACAAATCTTTTTTTTGCAAATTGATAGATAAAGTCAATACTATCCTCTTCTCCTACGGATACTTTGCTGATAAAGGGATATCGATTACAGCTCTCACAATATATCGGTTGATAATTGGATGTCATTTTTTTCTCTGAAAAAAGAGTGTAAATATTAATTGTAGCCCTTGTAGAAAAATATTTCAATTAACAATACACGTTTTGTTCTACAGAGAATAGTGTATAAGGTATTTATTTTTAAAAAGATTAATTTTCGCTGATACAACTTTTTTTATTACAAATTGTATTTCCATTATAAAATATTACGTACCCAGGTAGCACATATTAGTTTTATATACGTTTTATGAACGTATACATAGTTTTATGACCGTAAAGAACCATTAAGAAACGTTTGAACAGAAATGTTTTTAAAACCATGATTTAAGAAACGTATTTTTTACGTTTCTGCAGTTAACAAAAATCTATTTGTTAAATTTTTTTTTCAAAATTATAATTTGTTTTATCTATATAATAGCTTTAATGGTCTTTTTTGAAACATTTAAATTTATATTGCAGTAATTATTATTGCACAAAATAAATCATTTTATCCATACACATATATCTACTTATTTACTTAAATTAATTTTGTCCTACCGGTCTTAATCTATTTGTCATCGGACAAATCTGAGCTTAAAAAACTTTCAACAATTGCAAAATAAACGTTCTGCTGAACGTGGCCATTAAAAGAACATTTATGCGTGTGTTCCGTTTTGAAGAATCCTTCCTGAACTGATGCACATCAGTAATGCTATTAAGTTAGAGACAAGTTATTTTATTTCACTTTAACTTATATTGCACGAATGTGCACCAGTTCAGGAATTTCTTCGAAAAAAAATAGACATATCATAGATGGTATATGCATAAATAAAGCTTTTAGAACATTCCCACGCATGTCTCAAAGACGTCATAAACACGTTCAAAAGACGTAAAAAGTAGGAATTTTAAATGTCTTTATATAAAATAATGTCTTTATCATTAAAACAAAACGTTTCTATAATAGTTTAAACGTTCTTTTATCGGAAAAGAAACGTTCCATCAAACGCTTTTTGAATGGACATTTTTACTCATGAGAAACGTTTCTAGAAATCGGTTATAAAACGTTTCGGAAACGTGTATGTGCTACCTGAGTATTTAGGTTAGGTAATAGTTAGTGTGCTTGCGTTTGCAAAAAAATCAAATTTTAACAACATATATGTATATTATTATCCCTTCGTCCGCATACGTTTTTTTGGCACCTTTACGCCGCATAGGTGGGTCGTTTTCGTCTTGACGTTTTTTTTTAAGTGTTAAAGTGTTACAAAAAATCTGAAAAAATTCATGGAGGTAATTCAAACCTTCAATTTGAAGTATCAATCATAAAATTATAAGCAATTTAATTTTTTCACATATTTTTTATTTAAGAAATGGAGCAACTACAACTACAACTTGTAAAATCATCTTTTACTCAAAAAATCATAACTTTAAGACAAATAAAGATATCGAAATAAATAAAAAAAGAAATTGAAGGGGAAAAACGTACCTTTCATAAAAAAAATATTGCATGCAATTATTTTGAAATAAAGTGCTTAAGTGTTCGCCGCCAACCTCGTTTTTTCAAGAATTACGTGTCTCCTGTGACGGCTGGAGGGGGTCTGGCGCTTTGAAACTCGGTAGGCGGGTTCTCGGGGAGCATAACTTTTTTTACGGATGCGCAGTGGCGCCATTTCTACGCGTTTGCAAAAGTTACAACTACATTTGATTTTCGCCCGGACGAAAACGACCCACCTAGTGGGACGAAGGGTTATAAATAATTAAAAAATATGTATTATTATTAATATAATTTAAAAAATAATTAAAAAATTTTTTTTCCAATAATGAAATAGTTCTTCGCAAATATAAAATAACTCAAGCACGTGTTTTGTGTTCTTAAAAAAAATAATAATAATTTTAAAAAAATATATAGTATGTAAATTGTTATATATGGTATATATTATTAAGAAATAAATTAATATTTTAAAGAAAAAACAGTTTTTAAAAATTTTGTTAAATAGAGAAATGTGTGTGTTTCTTTGTAAATCTGAGATATATCGCGAGCACCAAAAAAAAGCAAAAAATTGTAAGATTTATATTGCTCACGTTTGCTAAATTTACGCTTAATTTGATTGAAAATGACTCATTGTCAGATTTTTTAAAATGTATTTTTTACTTTATTTAATGTATCTTTTATTTCAGTTTTTGATGCAGATTATAGCATTAATTGTAGTCAAACGAAGTCAAACAAAGGAATACAGAGACTAGAAAATATTACTGGAAATTTGACCCAAAATTGACTAAAATATTAATTTAAAAAACTTATAATTTGTGCCAATTTATTACTTACTGTTTATCAGCGAAGTAGACTTGATTTTTCCGTCCAAAATGAAAAAATCACGAGAGAGAAAGAATGTTGGAACGTGTGGTCGGTGAGTGCACACTTCTGTGTGAGTCAACGTCCACGTTTATATATGTATATTTTACATATACTCGACTGCCAACTACCACGAAATACATGGACCTGGGGATCTATCGTGTATCTTGAAAAGAGGTAGAAATTACAAAAGTGAGGAAATTCACTAGAATATCTACGATTTTATTGGTCGAAATCTAGTAATTTTCACCTTTTTTCAAGATGCATGATTGACTCCCTGAAAGTGATAAGATGTATGGTACATACACTCGGCGTCAATAATAGGCCTGTTCGTTTTAGCTGAATTTCTTGCACGGTTCATCTTTCTTTTTTTTCTTTTCATGTTGGAGAGAAAAAGAGAAAAGATGAATTGTGCAAGAAGTTCAGCTAAAACAAACTAATGCCTTCTACCTGAAGTTAGGGATCCCTACCTGGAATGAGGGATCCCTAGAGGATTCCTACCTGAAGTTAGTCACGTTTGATGTCAGATAATAGCGAAACACATCGCGTCTAGTTATTTATGCATCATGACTGTTGGTTCAACCCACGGTCTTCCGTGGTTCAACCAATAGATATACTACATTTTTGGTTGAAACCTACTGAAATATATGCAAACTGGAACGGGAACGGAGAGCTATAGAAATCCACGGTAGGCGAGCGATATGAGACAGAAGTCCCAAGTTCCTCTCTTCGCCTTGTCTAGCTCACAACAGGCTGATCAAAAAGACCAGACAAGAGCAGAGCGTTGCTCAAGACACTTTTTTGATAACTCTCTCTCATATCACACAGGCAGGTCTTATAACTAACTTTTTTATTTTTGTTTTATTAACAAGTTTTTGTGTTTTTCACTATTTAGTATTTGTACTTTAATTCTTATATTTTCAAGTTTTTGTGAGAAGAATAAAATATTAAATGTAAATAAAATAGACTGTCTAATAATAGGGTTATAGTATCGTGTAACGAATTTATTTTTGTTTGTAAACATCATCTTTCTTGAATAATACACATATAAACACGAACTCTGGATATTTTGTCGAATGTACGTTGGCAATTCTATGTTTGTTATACTCGGTGCGTTGAACAAATAAGTGGATAAAAGCAACTTGTATTTACTCTTAGACATAAAAGCAAAATTTAATTAAAATTAGGTAGAAAGTACATATCATTTGTTATATAATATCTTTATTTAATTGTAAGAAGAATAAGGATTGTATCTTCGTTGGACATGGAAATAGATAATAATTCTACCAATGCAGGTATAATTTCTCTTTTACTCTCAAAATAAAGTTCAAGTTTAAAATAAATGTTTTGTTTATATACAATTTTATTTAACTAAATATTTCGTAAAATTTTCATACGAGTATAACAATGATCAATAAATGTATGACAAAGTTTTAGATTTAATTTTTATAAGAGAATGTTTTTTTCCTTTTATTTATTGTTATTGCTAAAGAATTTTAAGATTTCAAAATTTTTGTTTCTGTAATGTACGCTTTATAATAAATTGAAATATACGATACGATTTCTTATTCAAATGAGAAATTTTTTGTTATTTAGAGTTGTCTAATCAGAAGAATGGAGATATATTGGAAAAGATTGCTATATTGAAGATATATGTTTCTATGCTGGAAACCACGATTAAAGCTTTGAAATTCGGACGATCGCAATTAGCAAATATACAATCAAAACTGTCGAGTAACGGAGCCATGATGTCAGATGTGCAATCGCGCCGGAATTGGAGCACGGAATTGTGCCGCGATATTTCCCAGTTCACGGGAATGCCGTGTATAAAAATCGAGCAGAATTCGAAATTTGTCTTTGAAATGTCTAACTCCAAGGATATTGCAAAAAAAGGTCTGTACGCGATAGAGATATTGATAGACGACGATGGCCACGGAAAATTAGGAAAATGTGTACTGCCTAACTTTATCGATGTACGTAACATGTTATCGCAATATCGTATTGACAATTTGAATAATGTAAAGCACTTTTTGAAGAGCTGTAAGCACCATATCGATTGCTACTTTTCCCGTCTAAAACAGGCCGACGAAGTGAAGGTAATTAAATAATTATTAGAATAAAATAAAATATCTGTCAAATATTTATGACTTAACGCTTCAGTAAAATGCACTGTTAATAGGATGGGAAAGATTTACTTATTAATATATATAATAAGTTAATTAGTACTTTTTTATTTTTTAGAAATTATTTTTAGAAGCTGAACATGCTTATATATGTTACAATTCTGATGTTAGTTTAATCGAGTTAACAATGTTGGGAATAAGAGATATAAACATCACAAAATTGTATGACATTATACTTTATTTGCACTATAATCTTGATGAAACGAGGCCTTACAAATTGTCCACGACTGTAGATGAAAGCGAAATAGCGTCGCCGACTTTAATTAGAAGATTTAATAAGTATTTCGAACCTTTCCTGAAGATGGATTTGACTTCGGCGTTGCTGCAGCTTAGTGAATTCCAAAACGAATTTGCATGGGACATATTTGTGGAGCAGGATGACGAAGATGACATAGAAATCTACGATGATGATTCGGTTAACGAGAATACGGGAATTATGATACAATATCTTTATCGAGGCGATAATTTGACGAGGAGTAATGGAAATGAGGCTCAAAACGATAGCATGGAAAATGGAAATGAGGAGCTAGCTTCGGATGAAAAGGAAATGGAAACATAATGTCAAAGAAGCAAAGATATTTTTAGAAGACATAAGAGAAAATTGTGTCATAGAGGACATAAGTTGTACAAATATAACTAGTCGTTAAAGACAAGCAAAAGTTATGTTGCTGAAAAAAGTCATAGAATAATATTAAAATAATTTAAAAAATAGACAAACGTAAAAAGTGTTACGGACATCTCTGTGTAAAAATTTCCTCATTCTTTTAATTATTTCTTATCTTTTCACATTTAATATGTTAATTGGCGCACATTAGATTTTTTTCTGCTGGAGAGCGGAGTTTATTGCAATCAATTTTCATAATTATTTGGTTTTTCTTTCTCATTCTTTTACTCCGTTTATTTATCTATACTAGTTTTCATTTTTTATATTAAAGAGAGTATCAGTTTCTATACATATGATATATTTTTGCTATTTAATATTAAAATTATTATTTTAACCGTTTCAGATTTATATGAGTGTCGCTATAAGTTACATATATAGAAAGCATAGTGTATACAATATATTGAGACCAAGCATATATTGAAAGCTTTTTAATTTGAATTCTTTTTCTTTCTTTTCTCTCTATTTCTATTGTAAGAAAAATCAAACTAGAGAAGTTGAAATCTTATTCGATATGATAAATACCTCATCGTGAAATAAGTTTATATACATGTATATATATTTGTTTGAGAATTTCACCTTTCTTGAATAACATACACATAAGCACGAGTCGCCTTGGCGAATTAAGAATTCACAGTGTAATATTCGTTTTGAGATACTCAACACATATTATACATATATATATATGTATTATAAATTTATATTGCAAGTTTATTCTTATATAAATTATTATTTTGTGTGTTCTCTTTACAAAAATGTATTTGCGTTATGTCCAGTGAATAAAAGCATTGTAAAAGAAGAATCTTATACTTGCTTTTATTGTTAGACCTATGCGAAATCGATTGCTTGGTTAATAAGTAAATATTACATTTTTATGTATTTATATTTATAATTGCAAGAAAAGAATAAAGCTGATATATTCGTTGGACACGATGGAATATGATAATTCCAACAGTTCAGGTATTTATTTTTATTTTTATATATAAAGAGAATTTATAATAAATCGTATGCTCTCGTAAAATTATATTTAACTAAATACTTTATAAAATACTTTAAACAAATATAATATTAGTTAATAAATTTGACGAAGTATTGAATTTAATTTTTGTAATAAATCTTTTATTTTGTGATACTCTATTTCTGTGATATAGAATCTTATGGTGTCAATAAATTGATATTTTATATAACGTAAGCTTAATAAATTGTAATATAATATATATGTGATATAAATTGTTAAATTTAAACGTAGATATTTTATTCATTTAGAATCGTCCAGCCCGGGAACAAGGTATGAACTGTTAGAAACGATCTCTATGTTGAAAATGTATATTTCTCTGCTGGAAAGTACGATTGAGACTCCCAAAGTCGAGCAATCCCAAGTCACAAAAGAATCATCAAAATTGTACAGTGGCGAAGGCGCGGCGGTATCTCGTGACAAGCCGGACGTACAAACGGAATTGTGCCGCAATATTTATCAGTTTGCGAAAGTACAGTGCATCAATTTCAAACGAGATTCAAGATTTATTTTCGAAATACCTAACTCAGAGAATATCGTGAAGAGTGATTTGTACACGATAGAGATATTGGTGGACGACAAGGGCCGTGGAAAGTTAGGAAAATGTGTCTTACCTGACTGCATCAATGTGAACAGCATATTATGGCAATACCCTATTGACAATTTGAATAATGTGAAGCACTTTTTAAAGAGTTGCAAGCGCAACATCGATTGCTACTTTTGTCGCTTGCAACAGATCAATGAGCTGAAGGTGATTAAAATAGAACTGTTGATATAAGAAACGAAATATATTTGCTAATTGTAATTTGCTTATTTCTTAACATTAAAAATGTACTATTTAAAATGTTATTTTTATTACAATAATTATATTTATGGTTCACCTATTTACTAATATATATAAGTTAATTAAAAATAAAATTTGTTTTCAGATTTTATTGTCAAAGATTCGAAACGGCTGCGTGTGTCACAACAATGATGTTACTTTAATTGAATTGACAATGCACAACGTGAAAGATGTTTACACTTATGACATTCATGACGTGATAATGTATTTGCATTATCACTTTGACGAAGCAAGACCTTACAAACTGTACGCGAGTACAGTTGCGAACGATGTAGTAAGGTCGCCAACTTTTCAAAGAAGATTGAATATGTACTTCGTGCCTTTTTTGAAGAAGGATTTGAGTCCGGCATTTATGCAGGTTATAAACTCGTGCGTTGAATTTATTTGGCAAAAAGTCTTGGTGGACAATGAAGATAACGTAGAAGTATACGAGTGTGAGGAAAGAATATGTGAGAATGAAGAAGATGGGGGATACGTGGATCAATTTCTTTACCGACGAGACAGGAGACTGAGGACGACGAACGAGGGTGAAATGCCATTCGAGATTACTTCGAATAAAGATGAAGCGGAAATTGATACTTCGCATTGAGAAACGTATGAGATAAAATATCAAGGAGGAATACAACGGGGAGATGATTTCTTGGAAAAAGAATGAAAGAAATTAAATAGTTGTGTAAAAAAATGATAAAGTTATATATATCAGTCACTGAGAAAAAAGTTTTCTGTATTTTAGTAAATATTAGTTTGCATACAATTGTGACTCCATTTAGTAAAATAAAGAAAATTTTCTTTTTTATTAGTATATTTTTTTTCTTACTGAATACACATATATTAATAAAAAGGAAACTTTTCTTTATTTTAGTAAATGGTGTCACAGTTGTATGCAAATAATTGTGTGCTAATATTTACTAAAACGCAGAACATTTTTTTCACGGTGTATGGCTCGAAAAAGTAACGCAGGTACTCAGAAATATCCGTCGTGTATATACGTTATTGTCAACGGCACGCTAATAGAAGGAAACAACAGCGATCAATTTTATTACACTTTTATTTGTATATTTAAATAGCTACAATTATGTCGCAAATGTTGATGTAATGTTGGCGAGTAAGACTACATACGGTACATATGCTAGTGTCAATTGTATTGAATTAACAATATGTTCCGAGAGAGATATATAGATGAAATTTAATATTGCTAAAGCAGTATAATGTACAAAATACAAAAATAACATTTATACAACAATAAAAAACATATGCCCATAGTTATATATACAAAGAATTATGTGGTAACAAAATTGATTTATATTTGACGCATAATACGTATAATCCACGAACGTAGACGCTCGTAAAGTGTCAATTTCTTAGATTTCCTTTGCTGCTTTGCTAAAGTCAGGAATACTTCGTCCATTGACGGTTGAGTAACTGAATAGTCTGTGATCCACACGTATCTCTGCCTTAACTTTTCGAGTTTATCAAACACATAACTGTACAAAATGCCGCTCTCCAATTCGTATTTAAGAACACCCTGCCGCGATGTGAAATAAATTAATAAAATAAGTGTATTTTGTGTAAATTGTGTTTTCATTTTACATTTTATCAAAATTTCCTAAACGCGTTTGATTTATCCAAATTGTTGAAAAGTAAATCAAATCGAAATAATCAAATAAAAAAAATTATGTACCACTTACCAAATAACTGTCTTTGAATTTTATTGCTGGAAAAGTTTCGTCAATGATTTTCTTGATCTTCTCGAGATTCGCAAGTTGGTATCCCGGTACTATTTTAATATTCAATATAAAGTTACGGCCATACTTTGCCTTCAGATGCTCGCAAGATCCAATTGTGGTAAACTGGCCGTTAACCATAATGCCGACACGCAAACACATCGCTTCTGCCTCTCGCATGCTAAAATCAGAAAATCGAATCTAACACGTATATTTTCTTTATTAATGCTCGTGAACTAACCTGTGCGTGGTGATTAATATAGATCTCCCCATCTCTCGTATCTGATGCAGAATTTCGCAGATTGCATGTCTGGTCATTATGTCAATCCCAGCAGAAGGCTCGTCCATAAATATCATCGGCAAATCGCCAATAAGACTTTGCAGTATGCAAAGTTTTCTTTGAATTCCCCAGGGATAGTGGGCGATTTTCAAATTCTCAAAGTCCAACATGTCTAGAAATTGAATTTGATTAGTCAAATTAAAAATTGTTTAACGTTAATAACTTTGCGTCACTTTAAACAAAGCAATTTTTAATTTGTTTTTAATTTATTTTTACCTAATACATCCAGCCATTTGTTTACTTCATCGTTGATGTGCTCGTATGGAACACCGCGAAGTGCCGCGTGAAGTTGCAGATATTGTCTTCCGGTCATAAAATCGCTCAGCCCGTTAATTTGTGGACAATATCCTATCATACCTACAAACTTGACGATATTTTTTATATAAAAAGAATTAACATCCTTTTAATGGCTACATAATGTTATTTAGAAAATAAAATAGAAAGTTTATTTTTGTAAAATTTCTTAGTGTTAATTTTCTTACATGCTTTAATGGAATTTTATCGCATTTTTAAAGAATAATAAGATGATGCTTACCATTTCTTGATTTCTTGTAAACTCGTGCCCATATATCACCGCTTTTCCAGCCGACATTTTAGTTTGACCTATTAACATTTTGTAGATCGTTGATTTTCCCGCATCGTTAAATCCTAACAAGCCGAAACACTCTTGGTGGTTGACCTAAGTGGAAAATTCGTGTATTTAAAATACTGCATTATACATAACAAAAAGAAGAAACAAGTCTCTTGATTAGATAAATTCTTACACTAAAATTGATTCCTCGAACCACCGCCTCTCCGAAGTATTCTTTTGTCAAATTTTGGACAACTAGAGCAACTCGCGATGGAAGCGATCTTGTTTCATCATAATCTATATAGACGTGCAAAAAAGAGATAAAATATTATCTAATCAGAGTAAAAATTCATTAATAATAAAAAAGTTTATATAGTTAATTTTTGTTTTCATATTTTTTACGTTTCATGTATTCGTCGACTCGCTTCTTCTCTTCCATGACTTCCGATTCTACAGTATCGTCGTCTCTCATAGGAGGCACAAAAAAACTGTACCACTTTCTACGATTTTTTTCTTCGAAAACTTCCAGCAGTATAAAAAGAGCGAACATTTGGGATACCATTAAAAGTATGTCGTCTATAATCGAGTGACAATACTCAGAGCCGGATTGTTTAATCAGCATTATATTCAATTGCTTGTAACAACCTTTGTCTTCACAATTTTCTGAAACGTCAGATCAATGTTGTATAACAGAAATAATAATTTATACTAATATTTGTAATAATGACAATTTTTATGAGCTTACGGCAACAAGGATCTTCAATATAAAATTCTGTATCGCAGGTATTGAAGTAGCTACATTGTCTGTTATATAAATTCAAAACGATGTAATTGCTTAAAGCACAGGCTAGAATGTATGGTGGAAGTATATGTACAAGAGCTTCGAACACGTATCTCCCGGTATTGCTGAGTACGCGAAATACCAACGGAAATATAATAGAGCCGTTCACCAATAACACTATAACATATATTTTATATTCAAATAAAGACACTTTGCACATACGAAATTAAATTAAATGTCATTTTTTGACAGTAAAATTTATATAATAGCGGTGTAAAATTAAATAAGTTGTTAAATTACTGACTGGCTACAATGTTAATCAGTATCACAATTAGATACGCATTTTCCGGTTTCTTTGTGAAAAGTTGTATGCAATAACCTAACGGAATGGCGCATCCTCCGTAACATAAGAATATCAGCAACACTTGGCCTGAAATACCGAGATTGATCACAGACATTTTTAGTGGTTTAAGGGGATGCTGGAGCCGTAGCCGAACTCGATCGGCGTCGGTAAAGAAGACCGGCGAACTATATCTGTCCTTGTATAAACAAAGATATAGACAAGGATAGCACGCTACATTGCACGCACACATACGCATGATGCACACCGGCATTATACTTTTATATTACGCTTCCAAATCTTGATTTGGGGGGTTTATCGATGTTTTTCTTGTTGTGCAATTCGGGGAAACTTGTTTTCGCGTTCGTACCAATGGTATATCTCTTATATGAAATACATCTTGTGACGAGCTGACAGCTCGCCGCAACTCAAGACGCCATATTGGGATAAGAGTAGGATAAGGAAATCTGTACTTCCGTAATTTTTTCTCGTTTTCTATATAAAATCGGAGTTTCCCGAATCATTAATGTATGTACTGCAATTCTGGAGAAGGATTTTTAATTCTGTCAAATTAATACGACGCTACGTGCCGACAAAAAATGCCGGTAAAACAGACGGCTCCAGCATCCCCTTAAACTTCTAAATTTCTATATAACACACATCTATAAATACGTAATATTTTTGTTTTATATGACGATGCTCTTTTACTATCGCAAAATTCGCGAAATATTTAAAAAAACATTAATTTTCGATAAATTTTAAAATACAAAAAATAAAATTTAAAAAAAAAGCTGAAACACGAGAGATGAAAATTTCGAGTATTTTAGAATTTTTACCGATTTCCAAAGCTGAGAAGTGCAACGTGCGGCGATAGACACTTAAGATAGCGATTCCGAAGAGCATTATGGAGAACGCATATAGAAGGAAATCAATAATATACATGGGGATCCAGTAGATCCGCGTAGATACACCGATTGCATTGGTCTGCAGCATCTTTGAGCGTGTATTTCGTTCTCGTATTCCCATGTCGATGGAGGGTAGAAGAAGGAACATGGTTATTATTATAGCGGCGTTTTCCCAGTTTCGTACACTACGTGGATGGACCAACAAATGTTGCCACTGTAAACATCATATATTTTAATTTTTACAGCATTAAACTCTGGAGGATACGAAATGTACACATTTTCTTATTAAATAAATAATTTTTATACATAATAGCAATAACATTTTGTCGAACATTAAGAAATGCTCTTTTATCTCAATTTCAATTATTAAATATTTTACAAATCATCCTTTTATATAATTATAATAAAAAATAGCTTAATATTTTTAGAATCAGTATAATTTAATTCATTAATTAATCCCGGCAATATTACCTGTCCCGGATAAATTAACGGTCGACTAGTCAATTTGATCCAACAATCGTCCGAACCGCAATGGTAACGCAGTAACGCATTATGTAGTAAATTTAACGCAATTGGTCCACTGTGCACTGCAGTGGACGAATACATGAGTTGTACACGTCCATCTGCGTACATGTCGATGGACATCACGTAACGATCCCTAAACTGTCATAAAATATTGATTGATTGCAAAATTTTTAGGATATATATTTTCTGCGATACCTCTATCGAGTGCAGATCAGGATGGACCATAAGATCCGTGGCTGGGATATTTTTCGAAATATGATAATTATGCCTCTCACTGTACGCCTGACCAGTAATGTACAACGTGACAAGAAAGTCCTTCATAGACTTTTCATCAGCCGAATAATATAGCACGTGAAAATTGTTATCCATATAACTCGTCAGATTCATTACTTTCTCGCTACAAAAATAATTAAGGCTAATTTAATCTTTTTAAAATTTACTTCTATAAAATTATTTCTCATGCATAGAATACATATATCACAAAGTTACTGCACGTATTTACAATATGTTTTATGCATCATGAAATAAACTATTTGTTGAGATTGTTTGATAAAGAAGCAAAAGACTTTCATGCATAAAAATAAAGTGCCAGAATATTTCTCATAATTCTTTTGGTATAGCAGCAGTGTATTGTAGCGTTCATTAAAAATGCTACTGCATTTTGATAATATAGCGACGTAGAAGATAGTCCAACTATTATAAAGTAATGTAATAAATGTCGTGATGATTTATATTTTAACGCGAAAGAAAATAATTACTCTTTCTCTATACATATATCGCGGTATAAGACAAGCAAGATTAACTTACGTTGTTTCGAAGAGTGTGAAACTGCTTAATTCGGCGATCATAGTGGTCAGAGTAAGAGTAACAATCGCCAAGGTTATCTAAAACGGCTTTTATTATTTGTAAAAGTACAATATACAATACCTTTTTTTTGATAGAACAAAAAACTTACCGAAAACACGTATATCTTCCGGGCCGAAGCAATGTGCAATAATTTCTTGCAGAACATCGCAACAACTTGCTGCCGCCATAAAGCATGATCGGTCAATCGTTTCCATGATTCAGCTAATAATCATCAACGTAGTTTGATTAAAAATGGTGTTTATAGCGTTCATTGTCAAGTATACTTTTATATATACATATATATCTACATATATAATATTACACACTATTAGATTATATATTTTAGCTTATTTTACACAGTTTATTACGGACAAATTTAAATTATTGGTATATTTTTTGTTGTTTATTGTATTTTATATTTTACAACTGGGCAAACAATTGTGTTAAATTTTTACCTGTCTGTAACAAGTGCCGTCGCCTTTGTTGCACAATAAGCTCGTACTTGTTGCTGGGTAATTTCACACTACGTTCTTTAAATTGGCTTTCCAAACCTATTCTAAATACAGAATAATTAGTTAAAAATCGTTAAAAATTAAAAACAAGATAATCTTCTCAATGATGATACATATTTTATAAGTAAAGATATTATATTTAATTTTAACATTTAGAGATACAAGCAAGAATTTATTATATAATTTTAGGTTACGAAGATAAATGTTGGATCGTTATATATAAATGTGGTTGCACCTGAGAAATTGACCCTCGATGCTAGCAGCGCTCAGTGCGACCGACACGATTTTCAACTCTTCCTTATTGGATTCTAAATGTTGGAGCAATTTAGTGAAACGACTATTTCTCGGCACGTCGAATCTTATTACTAAACCCATCGTGCTGCGCAGAGTAATTGGATCTGCCGAAAATTCTTGTATCTCCGTATGAATTCGTCCAACATTGCAATCCTCTTGTACTAATAAACTTAGTACGTAGCCGATCCCTAGTTACAATTAATTTTGGGGAACCGAAAAATTAGTTTGCATTTTTAAACTCTATCTTTGTGTTAATCAATGAATCAATTTTATTTTATAAAAGTTTTTTTTATCAATAAGTTATGCGTTAGATCTTACCATATCGGCGATTCAGATACATTTTCGAACCGTAACATTCGATCCTTCTATTTGCAATAATAGCGATCCTATCGGCAAGAAAATCCGCAGCTTCCATGGAATTCGTTGCCATTATTATTGTCTTGTGTCTTTTTATATCCTACAAAATGTTATTGTTTATTATTTTTTTATTTTAAATTAAAGTATAATTTGCTAAAAAGAAAACTACTTACCAAAAGTAAATCCCATATCTGTCTTTTGTGCTCAGGGTCGATACCATATGTAGGCTCGTCGAGGATGAGAATCTATCAAAATTAGTATTTTAATAATTTAAATTGAATAATATATAATTATCTATCGCCATTAATGTTATTAATTATTTTATTAATTACAAAACTTAATGCTTGGATAAATTATATTACGCACCTTAGAATTGCCGATAAGTGCCATTGCTAAGCAAATCCTTCTTTGCATAGCAAAAGAGCAAGATTTTGCTTTTGCATCCTTTACATACTCTAAATCGAGCTGCTCTAATAGCTTTAGTGATTCTCTATAAGCATCTTTATAAGTCATTCCTCTCATCTAAAATAAGAATTGCATTATTGAATAAATAATACTTTTAAAATTTAATAACTCTAACAATAGTTTTGATTATGTATATATGATATCTGAGCTTTTATTGATAATACTTATTTAGACTGAATTATTTATTTAATAATCAAAAAATTATCTGGATTATTAAAAGAATAATTAATATTTTAATAAAAATACTTGTAAATTTACATCTACTTAATATTTAAAAGTTTTTAAAATAAAAGACATTGCTTAATATAAATAACAACAAATTGCTGTTAATTTGATATATTATGTATATTGTAACTCTTGTAATAACTTAAATATTAATATATAGTCCAAATCCGAATGTGTGATCTACGTAGGAATATATTACGTCACAGTCATTTCATAGTCCTTTCATATTAGTTAAGCAAATAAAATATTATATTTTTCTCCAGATCTTGTTTATGTGGTAATAATTGTGGTAATAAATTGTAACAGAGTAGCCTGAGAGGAAGACAAACAACTTGCTTTCCAATATTAAGTCAAGTAATTTGAAACATATAGTAAGCAAACTGGTTTTTATTTAGGTCAATGTAGTATTAATTTTTAGTACTTTTTTAAGTTAATTTAGCCTGAGTTGTGCATACGCTATTGGCTGTCAATTTTTAAATGCTTACATAAAAAATTTAATTTTTGGCGAGAAGGATATACATATAAGCAATCTATATTAATTGATATTTTATATATTAATTAACTACTTTGATTAAAATGTCAAAATATTTATTCTAGATTGAAAGCAGTATTTAATACGTGAGAAAACGATTGTTGCTGTTATTTTGAAGTTTTAATAACAAAGAATATTTACCATGCCAAATATACAGAGATGCTGTATCGTCGTCAAGTAATACACCAATATGTTTTCCTGCGGACAATAACCAATCGGATACATTGAATTTCCGTTCTCCAAGTAAACGTGGCCGTGGGTCGGTTTGTACATTCCTGTCATATATCACAATTTTCGTTAATAACCGAATGGCAAAAGTAGGTGATAAGTTATAATTTTCTATATATTATACCGATAATCATTTTTAACAAGCAGCTTTTGCCGGATCCATTGTGACCCAAAATGACGCTGAATTCTTGATGATAAAAGTCGATTGTTACATCATTTATAGCTGCAATACGTTCGCCAATCTTGCCGAATTCTTTTCGGACGCATCTTACTCGAATAGACGACTGTTGTTTACATATGCAAGTCAATTATATTATACAAAGAGTCAGTTAAGATAGCTAATTGAGATACAAGTAATTATTTTTGTATTAATAATAATCTCTTGAAAAAGATTTAAATGCTGTTAGATATTTTTATTACTTTACATATTACTGATTTGTAATTATTTTAACATAATTATAAATAGTTATAATAATTCGGTTTTAACATTTTTTTTTATTAAGCGGTATTCATAATTAATGTAGAGTATCTAAGTCGATTTTTAGTACTTTTTGAATTTAAAATAAAAAACCTAAATTTGAGAAAGTTATAGCTTGTTAAAGTTTCTTTGATGACGGCAACTTCAAAAGATTTCGCATATAAGGTATGACGTCACAGCACATTTTAGTGTACTATATTTTCTTTAATTTTGAAGATATTGCAAAAATTCAAAAAGTTTACAAAGAAAGTATGCCATGATCTATCAGACCGCTTAATAAAAAAAATTTATGTTAAAACCGAATGAAAAAAATGTGATTTTGTATTCGCAAAGTAATCGGAAAGTAAAATGTTAAGATGTTAATTTATAATGCAAATTCGTACATAATATTGCATAATGTAATTATAAAATCCACGAATATAGAAAACGGGCTAATTAAGAGCGAGGCGCGGTAAATAATGCGCGAAAGTTTTATTTTACAATTTTTACATATTGGTTGGAGTAGTAAAAGCCCACCCTTCCCCCTAATTAAATCGTTTTGATTCAATTTTGATGCTATGCACTTAAATAACTGTAAAGAAATCATTGCGAAAAATATTACCTCAGCCAGGTTTCAAACCTGTAAACCTTCCTCATTACTATTTGTCCACTGAGGCATGTGGTGATATTTATCTTAATAACCTATTATTAATTGTAATGTTATGCGTACTTTCAGCCAGCGTGACTAAAAATTCGAAATATAGGTTCTATTGGAAATCCAGGAATGTATAAAACGGGTTAATTAAGATCCAGGCGTGGTAAATAATGCGCGAAAATTTTATTTAAAAATTTTTACACATTTCTACACATAAGAGCCTAGCTCCCCAAGCAGCATTTTTCGGTTAACTTTCCGACTAAGGACTACTTTTTTACTAATCGCAACGTTGTAAGCGGTCCAAGAAAGTTAGAAAATGTAACTTATAATTACTAACGTTTTTTGGACGTTGTTTTAACGTTAAAATTACGACGTGCTTTTTTTATCACTTTCTTAACGTCAAATTCAAAACAGTTTAAGTCCTATTACCCGACGTTAAGATATTTAACGTTCGCCTGACGTTATACTCTGCACCACACTTTTCGAGCGACTTCAATACGTAATTCCCAACGTAAACCAACGTTTTGTTATCAAACGTTGTAAAACGCTAACGTTGTGAAACGTCGCCTGTGGTCATTTCTGACTGACGTTAAGGAATCGCGAGAAATGGTAACCAATTCTGCCTAAAAGAATGTAGAGCAGATTACTGCTGCGTCAAGTGGGCATCGCCGACGGCAATTCGCGGCGTCGTGCGTGAGCTACGACGACTATGCGACGAATGTTGACGATCCACGGCCGAACCGGTCCATCTCATCTCACGCGGTTATCGTCGCGTCGTCGGGAAGCAACGTTCGCGTTCGCTCGGCCGCACGGCTGCCATAACCATGCTCTAGATCACCATAGATGGTATTGCATAGGTCGGATTTGGTTAAGATATACGACTCATTCGCAAATCTAGTATAGAATTTTCAACTAATCGATACTTTATCGACATGTTAAGTCAGTTTGGCGACCTTGTTAAGACTTTTATTCAATATAGGTACAATTTTGTCTACAGTGGTATACTACTTAGTTTGCAAAAGTCTGAAAAAGTTCATTATTTTATACGAGAAGACAAATCTTAGTAGAATTTATTGCACCTTTTACTACGTAAAGTTTGATATAGTGTGGAACGCTGATTTCGCCATTTTTATCCCTCAAAGAGGAAGGCAAATAATCCGCCATTTTCCAGTATATTTAGATTTATATTTTTTAACGCACTTTATTAACAATTTAAAGCATTTATATAATATCTGTTGTTAAGGTTTTGACAACATATTTATCTTAAAAGTAATTTTGATGAAAAAAAAATTAAAATCTACACTTTGAAAATTTTAGTTATTTATTAGAATATTTAGTAAATTGGAATATTTTAGAAGGGATTCGTCTAATTTCGACTTATCATTTCCACATTTATCAATAAAGTGGGTTTTGTTATACATTTTCAGTGCTGGGTTCGTGTATTTATGGCAAAATTACAATAGTATCAAAGACTGCGCAAACTATATTTTTCCTATAAAGCCATTTTATTTGTGCCAAATTGATAAGTACGTATTATGATACATTTATTACACCAATGCCGTCATATGGTTTGAATGGAAGCACGAAAACTACACCTAAAATGTACGTTGTGAAAAAATAACCTCAGGTCTGGCAGAGTGTACAAAATCAAAGTTTACATACCAACGTTAAAACTGGTGGAAAAAATGTAACCTCAATTTAACTTATATAAGTCGGATTCCAACGTTGGTACAACCTAAATTTGATTCCCCAAATTAGTGCAAAAGAGGGTTGAAACGACGTAGCGAAAACGTTGGATACCAACGTTAAGTGTGTTTATCTTAACGTCGGGCGGACGTCAAAATGCTGCTTGGGTCGTAATTAGCCCGTTTTCTATGTTCGTGGATTTTTAATGGAACCTATACTTTGAATTGTAATTATAAAAGCTAGATACTAATAATATCTTAACATTTTGCTTTAAATTGTATAATGTAAACTTAATTGAGAAACATGTCATAACATGTACCTTTATGTACGATGGTGTGTGTTCTACTGCCGACCAATTAGTCGATCCACGGAACGTTATATCGTCATTGTCATAAACAGGTTTCTAAATAACATATTTGTATTTATGAATTATAAAAGTACATAAAACGACTCTTATATTATGCAATGCTTTCAAAATATAAAATAAGAATAAATTTGAATATTAAAAGAAATATTATCACGCTCAAACATCATTTATATAAGTTAAAAATTGAAGAAAGTAACAATGCTATTTTTACAATATTGTTATTTTATAATTAAAATTATAGCCTTTTCATATTTACTTTACATAAATAGTACCAGGGCTTTGCGCCGCCAAATTTCCCCGGGTTAACATTATCCAAGTATACCGCTAGTAGATACCAGAAAATAATATGCAATATCCACGCAAACAGAATCATGCCAATAGAAATTTTCTCTGCAGCGTGAATGATATTGTGGGCATCTCGTAGCGTTATCAATTCGGAAAGCCATCGCGGCCATAAATACGAGGTAGGGCCAATGTTATTGCGCGGTTTTACTTTTTGCCAGATACTTCTTAAATCTTTGCTTTCATAGTCGTCTATCAGTAAAAGCCATAATAACATAATGCACGCTTTAACATTAATGCATATTATTCCTCATTTATATGAATTATGTAATGTAATTGATCTTGTATTTGGAGGATTCTTTAGTGTTATATATAAACTTCTAAACTATATGTGTACGCTTACAGAAATGTATACATTATAATTTATATTTTTATACAATTTATATTATAATTATGAGTGCAAATAATATATTCCTCTGGAATGTGATGCACGCATGATTTAAAAAATAACATAAATTACTAGTTAAAAGATACAGTCAGGCTGTGATCAGCAGGTAGTAAACAACTTTATATGAATATTATAATTTATATGCTTGAATAAGGAATGTACATTTTGCAACTTATATAACACTTCCTCGTTTTGCATATAATTTATTTGCTATTAATTTATGTTTTGCACATAAATTGAACAAATTTGTAAATAAATAAGAAATAAAATAAAAAATAGAATGAGAAATAAATGAGAAATAGAAGTTTAGTTTTTAATTTTAAAAAAGATTGTACCTGAATAAAAGTTTAGTTCTTTATTTTGTTTAAACATCATATTTGTATGAAAATTTATTTAAGTATTACGAATAAATATGAAATATAAGCATAAATAAAATAATAAAATCGTTATTTTAAATAACCTACTAATATTTTTTAAATTAAAGTCAAATAACAGAGACTGCAGGCTCACCGAAATCCATGCGGGTCGTGAAAGCGATTATTCCATACAGCAAACCATTATGCGGCAGAATCAGCGAACTGATCTTCCACAGGACAGATTCTCTTACCAAAAATTGATCCAGAACGACAGTCAAGTGTGCCGAAATGAGCCAAAACAAAACCGATGTGAGTAATGCTTTAGTAGCTACGACAAAATAACGTGAAATTATAAAGGGATTCGGATTTTTAAAGGTAAGAATTGCGTTGTAATTGTAAAATAATAAATAAAAATATATAAAACTAAGAAAAGAAAACTCAATTTTATTTTAACCAATGACTAATATATTAATGATTCGAAATTGTTTCAATTATTTTTATAAAAAGACCATGTTCTGCTTCCTCATAGAGAAAGCTTTGTTTCATAAACTTCGTATATGGACCTTTGATTGCATATAAACCTATGTCTGATCAACCAAATTTTAAAGAATTATATACGAAATAGGGGTAGAAAAGACCGAAGAAAAATTGTTTTTTTAGTTTTCGATGCCAATGTGTTCAGAATGTTCTAAAACGTCGAAAAATCGTAATTTAAAAAAATGTCCGTATGTGTGTGTGTGTGTGTGTGTGCCAAATTTACCGAAATTTCTATAACTCAAGAACTGATTAACCAAATCTTAAAAAATTATATATAAAATAGAGTTAGAAAAAACTGAAGAATATAATAGAATTAGAAACGTTGCTAATAATAAAGGGGTTACCAATTTCTATCTAAAAAAATTTACATGATTACTCTAATTTCCGCAAATTTTGAGATATCGCGCTTAATTTCTTTTTATGAATAGAGTATCATTAAAGGTAGGTTGATGCTGAATTTGGCAATGATCAGTGAAGGTGATACCAATTTTTGCCTAAAAAGTGTACAAGTTATACATGTAATCTTATATATAGAGTATCATTAAAGGAAGGTTGTTTTGAATTTGGCGAAGATTGGTGAAAGGGTTTCTGCCTAAAAAATATATAGAGTAGACCGAGGCAAATAACGTTACTTATTATTTGAATATTTATATATTTTTTGTATCTTTCTGATCATCAAAATCTGCACGTGTAATATCGATCTTGAATTACAATTAAATGCGAATTTTGATAGAAAAAAAGTTCTTGAATTAAGGAAAAGCGATTTTGGCTATACAAGCGCAACTTTCAAGTAAAGAAGTAGTAAGTTAATATTTGTTCTGTACTACGCAAAAGTTTTGATTAATACGTAACATGAGGAAATTAGGTTTTAGATAGTTACAAACTTAAGGTATCAAAAATTACGGAACATTTAAAAAAAAAGTGATTTAAAACATGAAATTGGACCTTGTAATCCTTTATTAGGAAGTAAATTAACTATTTCATTACCAGATGAAAAAAAACTATCTGGTAACAAAATAGTTAATTTACTTCCTAAAGGATCACAAGGTCCAATAATCATTTTTGTTAAAATGTTTCCTAATTTTTTATATACCTTTAGTTTGTAACTATATAAAACGGTTTAAGTCGGTGTGTGGCTCGAGAGTCAACAATTCCTTTTATTGATCGTCAGTATTTACACTATCTAGCGTCAGAAACTTACAACATGCTAATGAATGCCCAAAATTTTTGTGGAGCTTATCCTTGGGGAAACTGAGATTCTTAGCATTTTGTTATTTTTTACAAGTAATGGGTCGTTGGCCCATTGCCAAAACCTCCAATTTGGAGAACTGAGTGAGCAATTTAATTCCCTAAGCTGGTTGCTAGCCATACTTAGGTAGCCAACATAAATCGGCGTGGAAGTAAGAAACACTAAGATACCTCATAGCGGTCGACGGCTATGGGTGGACCAACTGCTTAACGTCTCTTCCGAAAGACGGAGCCCAGTTTTTCCATCTAGGGTTACCTCTCTCCTCTAGATGGAGGGGGGGGGGGCGGCATTTTTACTGAGAAATTTTTCAGTAGCCTAGCGGGATTCGAACCCGGTTTTCCGGATTACGAATCTGGCGCTCTATCTATCAGACCACCCGCCACCTTCAAGGAAATATAAAAACATTTATTAACGTGAGGAGTTGGACGATGTGAAAGCTATGGCAAATTATTATTAATTTTGATTAGAAAGAGTTGCAAAAATACATAATGTTACAAATGTTACTAAATAATAATGTGTAAAATAATGTTTACCAAACAAACAAACGCTAAAAAAAAAAACATACACACCTACTGTATTCCTACTCTATTATTTTCTAAAACTGTATTCTTTATATAGATGGAAGAATCTGATGCTCTTGGTCCGCTAATGTGCTTATTACCAACCACTCTAACCGATATGTTGCCCGATGAGGCCACTAGACGTGTATTATACCTTACGAAAACGGGGAATATAACGTTGGATAAACTATTCAATGCCTTAGGTGGACTATCAGTGCTCGAAACATATCTTAAATCTTAATTCACTATCTTCGAGTACCAAAGTATAACAAATCGTAATTGGATGTTAAATTTGTATTGTCATTTTTATGCGAAATTTCGTGTACGTATATTTTATGAGAATAAAATAAGTTTTTCCAGTATTGTTACTTTTAACATATGACACGTATTATAATATCTTCTATGTTATTTCCAGATAATAAAATTTTTTAACTGGCGTTTTTGGTTCGCTGACCACTCACCACCGGAGATACTTGAAGCAGAACTTACATTAAAAGAGGAACTATGTATCTCCTTAGCGAAAGGATGGATTGAATTGAATAATGATACTGAATATGCCGTTTATCCTTTTAAACGCACTGATATAGTAGAATTCTGTGATCTTCAGAAAATATTTTTTTTAAACTATCTACGTCATGAGATTCTGTCAGAAAGAAAGCTGCATTTTATGGCAGTCATATATCTATTCAATATTGAGTATGATGAAATACGGTAAATACACGCGCGTATGTAAATTTAGAATGATTTATTCTTCAGTACAGTGACGTGTACGTATCTCTTATTAGATTTGTTTGGCTGCGCTTGTGCATCAAAAGTCGGTGGGCAAAAAAGGTTACAGACGCTATTAATTTTGCCATTAAATTTTGTTCGCCTAAGTTTACTTATCCTAAATTTGAAAATTTATATAAGAATGGTCAGATGTATACGTATCCTAGTGAACAATATGATTACAAACGGGAAGGTTGGAAGATGTTGGACAAAATAAAGAAAAAAGGTGCATTAACTCTTTACGTGAATGAGAATGTCGATGTTTGGTAGAATAATAGGCGACGTTGATTTTTATGTATAAGATGAATCACTAATAACTGCTATCAAAAAAATTTTGAGCTCTAAATGTATTTAATTATATATAAAAAAAATTGTGCAAATTAGAAATTTGCACTTGGCTTTCTCATAGAGGAAGCTTTAACTTTCGCAAATTTGGAGACATTGATCTATTTTTAATTTTATTATATTTTTCAGTCTTTCCTACCCTTATTTCATATATAATTCTTTTAAATTCGGTTGATTAGACTTAGCTTTATACGCGATCAAAATCTCCGAAATTTCAAACATCTGTAACTCCAAAACTAATTAACCAAATCTTAATTAATTATATATGAAATAAGGGTAAAAAAAACTGAAAAATTTAATAGAATTAGATATAGATCGCTATCTCAAATATTGAGAAAGCTATAGGATGAAACACACTTTTCTAAAAAAAAAAAAAAAATTCTAATAAAATCTATACCGGTCAACCGATTTTAATAAAATTTGAGGAGAACATACTTTCTATGATACTCTATTTGTGTGAAAAATTTCAACGCGGTATCTAAAAAATTGTAGAAGTAGATGCGTGTACAAAAAATCCGTACATACACACACACACACACACACACCACATACATACATACTTTCAGACATTTTTTACTAATACGATTTTTCGACATTTTAGAACATTCTAAACCTATTTCGATCAAAATCTAGAAAAAATTTTTTTTTACCATCACAAAGCTTCCTCTATGAGGAAGCAATAATTATTTGTTATAAAATAAATATTCTTCAAAAATAGTTGGATTGTTTAAAGAGTAAATATGACGGGAAGAATATTTTTATTAAGTTTAATATTAAGATGTAAAAGTTAGCTTGATACATAATAGAATGACTTGCAAAATATTCATTCTTAAATGATTTTATCCGTTTTACTATTTCAATTTTACTTGTCAAATTATGAAAGTTAGAAAAATCATATGGTTTTATTTTATAAAACCATAAAATATTACTAATATATTTAATAAAACATTATATAAAGATTTTATTCCTTTTGAACAATGTGACAAGGCCTCTAAGCACTTTCTTTTATACTACACAAATAGAAAATTATGTAAGTAACAGTTTTTAATAATTCACTCCATATATGTGTGTATAGAAATAATTTGATAACAAGTATAATTTTTTTACTTTTTGTTATAATGACAATGTGAAAAAAAGAATAGCAGTGTTTTTTTAAATTGAGAATTTTAAGTTTTCAGGTTTTTATTTCGCTTTTTATAGAGTTACACATATAATTATTCTTGAAAAGACTCCGCCATATCCTTACGGAAATTGGGTTTCGGTGAAATTAGCTGAAACTTTGGAAATAAATAGTTTATATAATGCTGATCAAAAGTCACAATAGGCAAGATTCACAATAATGCATGCATGTACATATTTTTTCACATTAATATATATTTTTGTATTAACAAAAAGATAAAGTTGTGTGATTCTGTAGAATAATACATTGCAATCCACTGTCCTATAATAGTATACTGACATAACGCCTTATTTTGACTTTTGAACGCAGATAACATCTAAACGGTTGATTATTGTGAATCTTGCCCATTGTGACTTTTGATTAGCATTACATAAACTATATTTTAGCTAATTTCACTAAAACCCAATTGCCGTAAGGATATAGCATGGCGAGGTTCTTTGTCAATGCAACACACCATAACATCTCATCATATTCTTTTACAATTTCACTGGTCTTCGAGAGTTAGAACTTTCTCAATTTGAATATATATACTTTCTTTTAATTATTAGATTTACAAATTATATGATTTGTCTTATTGTTATTATTTTAAGTTTAATTTATGTGTTATTTATTATTCGTTACAATCGCGAGAAACTTTATGGTAAACGAATTTTTTTATTATTATCATTAATTTTATTATTTTAGTACTGAGGAAGATTAAGTAAAGTCGAAACATTAACTGTTTAACCAATTCATTTATAAACAAAATTTTACTTTTAATATAATATCTTAATTTTAGCTTATTTTGTTGGCTCTTAATTCCCTCATTTTATTTGCGAACACGAGCCTAATATTTCAATAACAATATATACTATAAAGCTAATATTTTTGTTTTGTTACATAATTATACGTTTGCATTTATTTATATTATGTGCCCTCTTTTTACTTATATGTTCAAGTTACTTACAGTGATCGAAAAACGTGCCGACCGTGAACATGAAGAGTGCTGAGAGTATATTGTACATTATGATAAATATTACGGTGGCTAATGCGTTTGCGGCCGAGAACACAGGAGACAGAAGGATCGTGCATGCGATCGTCACAGGTAATAAAGTGATCATAAAATAATTAAGCCATCCAATGTACAACATTCCGAAAGACATGTTTGTTAATCTCATAAGACCCTAGAATAAGATCCTTTTTTAGCAACAGGCATCGTATAGAAGACATGAGAAAAAATTATATTGGATAAAAACAAAATGTAATTTTGTTTAACAGAAATTCTCACTCTAAATCCAGTTTCTTTATCGTGGAGCGCCTTTCTTAACGTCGCTGCTGGCAACAACAGAAAGGCAATGACCATCATGTAATAGATTATGCTTATGTTAGGCCGAATGACGTACGGTAAGATTAAAAAATCTACTTTGTAAAATGGAAATCGGCCGACAGTCAGCTGTAAAATAGTCTGCTCTTGTTAACTGCTCTTTATATTGTGTTTAAAATAATTATTTATGTCAATTCCATTGAAATTTCGTTATTTAAAGTACTTACGTTTTCAGCGATCCTCGGAAGCGTCGGATTTTTCCACATTTCTATGAAGGATTCTTCAATTGCGATTTGTAAAGCCATAAAACCACTTGATACATACGGATCTTTTATGATAAACATTAAACATTTGTTAAATATCTTAATCATTTGTGCTTAAAGCGCGTTCAAAATTAAACTTAACTGCACCATTACTATCTCAGATTGTAACGTCAGAAGGGAAAAAATATACAATAAAAATTCTTGCTATATGTTTTAATAAAACAACACTTGTAATCTCGATAGAACCGACTTGTAAAATATACCTAATAATCTTTTTGTTTTGGGAAGGAATTAAATTATATTTATTTCTATATATATTATTAATTTGACAGTTATCATTAACTGTAAATATAGTTTATTTTGTTTTGGTTACGCATAATTTATTTCCAGTATATGCATGGTTAACAAAACAAAAAAGTATTATGGTAGTAGCTAAAATATTAAAACATATTTCCATTTTAATATATTTAGCAAAAATTTTTATTGTATATTTTCTCACTTCTGACGTCACAATGTAAATTAAATTTAAATTTAATGTAAATAATGATTTTAAGTGCAAAATATGTTGTCAGTATAAAATTCACTTTAAGAATAATAACTTGATGAGCTAATTAAAAATTTTAAATGCTGTTATAATGTCTACTTTTTTAAAGATATATTTAGAATACCTTTATGAGCAGGTTCTTCCTCATGCATCATGATCATTCGATTCTCGCCTATTTCAGACGAACGTATTTTGTAATCTAAGACTTTCGGTTTTTCAAATGCGAGCTTATCAATTTCGAATATCGCCCATAGCATTTTGGAAGTGTCATTTTTCGCGTAACGTGAATGCACGAGATTAATTTCACTGTCGGCTGGTTGAACTGATGTGTAATATACATATGTAGTTTTTATTTAAGTTCTTTCTTTAGCGTATTTAGAATATTGTCTTACTATTTGTACGAAGCATTTTCGCAGCTTTCAGCATTAACTCGTCTACAAATGCATTTTTTGGTGCATACCAACATTGCACATTATTTGGCAATTTTGCCAGGATATCATTTCGACTGTATCGATCTAAATCCTTTATGTAAAACATAGAGATATATGTACAATTATTAGAATTAAAACAGTAATTTAATATTTGAATACATAAAAATGTGTAACTTTATCGTATATAAAATTTCTATTATAGATAATTATTGTAGGTATACTCATTATTCTAATTATAACGCAATGTTTCTAAAGACACGATAGGTGTATAATTTCGATATCAATTAAAGGGCAAAAAATAACGGTAAATCTGAAGGAGAGCTCCCTCCTCACCGATTTCGCTGAATTTAGGCTTAATCGACGCGTTTTTGCACAAAACGAACGAATCTGGCAGAAAAAAGCCCCGCTCTGCCCCGCGAACTTCAAAAAATATAATATTAGGTAGAAAGATTATTGAAAATAAGATAATGAAGTTGCGTATTAGTCTCAAGATAAATTCGTTTAACCCAACTTTACGATTGTCAGTTACCTGTGTGTGAATAGCGTGCGGGTCAAACATCAAACGTATCTGCAACGAAAAGACAATAGCTATAATTATCTCCAGCGCGGTAGTTATCGGGCTATGCAGCCGCATAAGCACGGCTTTCCACATAAGAATCCGCCATCTCGCCCAGAATTTTCTCAGTTTCGGATGCCTGACGATCTCTTTCACTCTCAGCATTTTGCGGTTCTCACCACAAGTTAAAATCACTTGATCAAATGCCCGCTATTTTACGGTCTGTTTAACACAAAGAGAAAGAGAGAAAGCAAGTGCGTTTTCCACATAGCCGAGAAACCGAACCAAGTTTCTTGACAGCCGCGCTCATGCAAAGATTAACAATATTGTCTGCGAGATAAAACAATGAAGCAATATCAATCAAAAACGAAAAAAAAAAAAAGAGTAGGCATTTTTATACAGTGACCAATTTTCAATGACAATTTTGAGTTGCATATATTTATTTTTTAAATAAATAAAATGTATTAGTGACCCAAGGAACATTATGACGTTTTGAAATCATCTAACATTTAGAAAAAATTATAAAACTATCAAAAAAATTATATTTATATGATGTCCTATGTGTCGATTTACAAATTTTTTTTTTAAATTTTTAAAAATTGCAAGATAATTTAGGATTTTAAATTGCAAAAATTAAGAATCTCAAATATCGATAAAGAGAATATAATCGACAGAGAGGAGGGGGTGGGGGAGATTGTATTATCTATAATTCTAAGAATTTTCTAAAGCTCGCAAAATGGTTTTTATTTCCAAGAATTTTCTACATTTCCAAGAATACAATTCTTGAATATTTTTCTTGTTAACGCATTTCCAAAAAGCTTTATATTAATTATGTCGTTGTGACACTGAATAATACTTATAAGTTCCAGCTTATATACTTATAAAAATAGCAAAATGCTAGATTTTAATTAATAGCAAACATATTTTCATAAGTTTTATCTAGATTGGCCATGTTATATATTTTAATCAAAATGCAATAGATATTGCAGTGTCGATAATGTAAATAGTTGTAAGAAGAGTTTTATAAAAATTAGACGTTTTTTTTAGAAAATGAAGATGTCTTTTGGTAAAGTCTTAAAATTCTTAAAGAAGTATTTGAAATATGTATTTTCTGAAAATTAGATATATAATTTCTTTTAAAACAATTAGGGCCAGTTCCACAAACGTCGGTTAACTCTTAACCTTAGGTTAACTCACTCTTCGTCTCTTTCTAAGGGGGACGTTAGAAAGAAACAAAGGATAAGTTAACCTGAGGTTAAGAGTTAACCGACGTTTGTAAAACTGGCTCTTAGAGTTACTAAACTTTATTAAAATCTCCATTTTTCTAAATTTTATATTTTTCTACACTTTGGAAAAAATGGAGTAATAAATTCCGAATCTATCTGCGATTGAGATTGTAACTCTGCAATCCGCATATCGATGTCATGGTTACGAGCTGTCATTCGTCTATAGAATGTCACAGTGTTCTCAAAACTGCATATAATAATTTTTTCCGAGATTCTTAAATAAACTGGTCGCCCCCACCGACGACGCGCATGCAGTAGGAAGGAAAGTGATCGGCGCGAACATTACGGTCTGTTGAGGCTTGCGTCACAAAATCGCGGTGCGCTCGCGAGATTTATGAGCGGATTTTTCCATTTATTTTCTCCATTTCTCGTTAGAGATTTTTATCAGATTTAAACATTACATCTTATAACTTTCTCCAAGGAATAGTAATTATTGTGACTAATTGTACTGCCTTGAAGAAGTTCCTTTCTTTCTTTCATCGCACAATTAAATGTGAAATTTTAGATTAACGAGATGAACGTTGGTAATAATGAATAATAAATTTTTTATTTCTTCTGATTTATTGTCAAGTTTATACGTTTGATTATATTTAGGTATATTTTTATCGACTGTTCCAAGATGAAGATTATCCAACGTATTTTCAAAGATATCCAATTACACCGACTACTTCTGGATCTGTCTCTTTTGTCGGCGAAGATAAGTCTGGCGATGATAATTGCAACTTTCAGAATGATTGTACCGTGTTCCATGAAACGTTTATTAGGAGAAACCGTTCTCGTAAGTTCTGCTTTTCATTAAATTGGCCAGAATATGTTGTAATGACTTTAAATCCTTAAAATCTACTATATTCTTTCGTAAATATTTTATTAACGTCGAAATTAGATCACTGGTGCTGGTCATGGAATCGGCCGCGAATTAGCCATCCAATTGTCCTCGATGGGTTGTATAGTTGTATGTTGGGATAACGATATTGATAGCAATCGATCGACAATGAAAGAAGTGTCGAAAAATGGCGGAGAGGTAAGTATACATATATATATAATATATATATTTCATCTTCCGTTGAATTTTATTTTGTTTTCAATTTTCTAATTTTTTTTTTTTTTGCGGAAGAGACGACAATGACAGGCGTTATCAGAAAAGCCATGAGTATAGCTATAGAAATTTTTTAGGTTTACGGTTTTGTAGTCGACGTCTCAAAGAGATTGGAAGTGCGCGAGACGGTGAGATTGATGAGAAAAGTCGGCGTGCCGGATGTGACGGTACTCATTAACAATGCGGCTGTGTTATATCATAAGCCATATCTGAGTCTCGATCCGGACGACGTGGAGAGGACATTTGACGTTAATGTACTTTCGAACTTTTGGGTATGCATTTATAAACTAAATTATACTCATTTAATATTTATTAAATAATTTTAAACGCATTTTAAATACATGGTTTTAAGATAATCCTACATGAATGATATTTAACAATAATAACGCATTTCTTTACATTCCTCAAGTTTAATTAGATTAAATAATATTCTTATAAGTATTTTTAAGTTAGGAATTTATTATTAGGTATAGCTTTTTTCTAAACTAATTAAATAGCAATTTTACTGAGATGGTTAATTTATAATTTTTATTTTAAATAGACGATAGAAGCGTTTCTACCCATGATGTTGATGAAAGGGAGCGGTCACATAGTAGCGATAAGTAGCATGTGCGGTATTTACGGGGTGTCGCAAAAGGTGGCGTACTGCTCATCGAAATTCGCTGTGAGAGGTATTTTATCAGTATCTCATCGATTTCTCTTTGTAATGGATTTTAATATGTAATTAATTTCAATTTGCAGGTCTTATGGAGGCCCTTCGCGAGGAAGTGCGATTGGATGAGAGGAAACCTAATATCCATTTCACGACGATATATCCGTTCTACGTCGACACAGGATTAGCGAGGGATCCTAAATACAGGTAAAAACCTATACTTACAATTAGATTTGGCTAATAATAAGCACTATGTTTTGCAAGAACATAGCAAAAAAAAAAACCGTACGAATTTAATGTACATTTAATGTAATTATATATCTTACTCACCGTGCGCATCGCATACGATTGCACTCATCGTGTTATTAATTAAACGAGTATTTTTTTAACGAGTATACATCGACGAGTATCCATGACGAAACACAGCGTTTCCGCGCAGACATCTTCCGGCCTGTAGTCGCGATAATTTGCACGCGAGCATTGTAATTACGAAACGGGTCGTCTTTATTCACCGCAACGTAGCGTAATTACATGGAATGTAATTAGCACGCAGTAAGTGGAACGGTCTGATCCGTGAAGTAATAATGAGATTATAGAAGAAAATTGTTGTGTCTATGATTCACTATCTTCGACAAATTTCAATTTTTGTACAATTTAAGATTATGATAAACGTATAATAATTAATGAGGGGAAATGCTTAAGGTCACGTGGAATCAAAAAAGAATCTTAGTGCGTTACACTCAGAATGGAACTTTATTACATCTTTCTTTTCTCGTAGTAGAAAAAAAATATTACACAGACTACATCTTTGACGTAAAATATAATTTGATTACTTCAAGTGTAATGTTGACAAGAAAGTTATTATAAGATGATAAGTTTTTTTCTTGTTATATGATACACTTTTTTTTTTACAACATATAGCGATTGCTCTATAATTTATCTGTTTTACTCGTGGTAATAATCGGTTAGGAGTGGACTATTAATTCAAAATTAATTGCAGATTTCCTTATATCTTTGGGGTCGTGACACCGGAATACGCCGCTCGGGAGATAATTAGAGCAATTCGAAAAAACTATACGGAATATTCAATACCGCGATGCCTCTTTTCTCTGAATGCAATCAACAGGTACATACCGGAAGTGTTAAAAGCCGCGCGGTTTATCATCTGTTTTGATCGCATCTGTTTAACGATCAAATTTGTATCGCTAATCTAATCGCTTTATCTACCAATGCATAAACGTTTACTTTTGATGATTTACAACGCGATAACACACGTTTATCATATTTCTTCTTCTTCAGGATTGTTCCTGAGAACGTGATGCGTTTGATATTAGACTTTTTAGCGGATGTTAATCGAAAGCAGAAAGAAAGAGACGCAATGAATTTGAAACTGGATTTGATAAAAGCTTAGAGACTGTACGCAGTGAAGGGGTACTTATATTTTTTTTATTAGGTATGAATTTTACGTAATAGATAAAACGAGGAAATTTGTATACTTAGTATGTAGTATATTTATTATTAAATTAATAAACATTTTTTATATTTTATTTGCATTTCTTATTAATTATTAATTAACAAGTTTAACGTTAGGTACGGAATTTATAAAGATCTTTAAAAAAGTCTTGAGATTGTTGAAAAATTTGCAACTCTTGACGCATCGTCATCTCTTTAAAATCTTACTTTTAATACGTATGTGATCAGTACTGGTTTTTTTCTCACTTTGCTAAAGAAATTAATGTTAATAAGAAAATTTTTGGAATATTGCAAAACTTTCTTAGAAATCTGTACGTAATTTACATACAATACACATATAATTTCAATTGTGTGAAATATTATGGAAGATATATGTGTAATATTTATTGGGAAAAACGAAAAGTACAGTATATTATACCTATACTTTTCTCTGACATTTGTTTCTGTAAACATATTGCTATAAGAAGAGGTTTAATGATCGTCTTGGAATATATCTAATGGAAAATTACAGTGTTCTTTTAGAAAGTAAACTCTATAGAAATATCAAGTGTACAGTCACAATTACGCTATTATTGTCGGCTCACTACATTACGTAATTAAGCGTGTTTCGGTCAGTACACGAATTGCCACATCTCTATCGATTTACAACACGGGTTGCGCCGATCTTATAAAAATCTTTGCTTATAAAAATTACATCGCCCGAGCGCACCTTCGTTACTTCCGCGTCATTACGCCTAATGGCAAGCCCTCTCGCGGCATAATTTCACTGCTCGATATGAACACGCGCCATTTAACTTGCACTCGAATGCCCGTACATGCAGAGTTCTTATTCATTTGTAAATTGATGATTAAATTCTTAGATCAAGATTAATATTATTATCTGTGTTTATGCGCTTTTAGATTTGAATATGTGATCTCAAGTATACGACAATATGCATAAGTGGAAGCTAATACCTAACTGTATTACATTTCTTACGAATACATTATAGAGATAATATTTCTTGGAATGACTCATAATTAAATGAGGCCAGAGATAATAAGTGCAAGAAGAATAGTAAACAAGAGCGTTAAAAGCATTATTCGTCGAATACAATAGCTTTTTATATAAAATGATATTATAGGGGAAAAAATCAGTCAATTGATGCATTATATATAAGAATATAATGTAATATATACACTCTCTTTAAAATAAGAAAGAAAATATAAGTACTCTAACAAAAGAAAAATATTAATGCAATTTTAGAAATATACAATGTTGAATTTCTTTTTAAATTTTGTAGAAAATACAAAGCATAAAAGCTATTTTACCTTAGAATGCGTAACTCAAGAAATGGCCTTGACTTTGCATAGCGGACGAAACTGGCACAACTGTAAAACCAAATAAAAAGATATGCCTTTGTTATTTTCCTATTACACTGCAAGCAACGAGTAGATATTTCGACGTCGTTTTTTCAAAATATTTCATTGACAACAGAGTTCTTATACAATATACAATTTTACATAACATATAATATTGTTTTATTGATTATAAATATTAGAAAACATTAATGCTACAATCAATTACGTAAAAACAGTATTGCATAGATTTATCTTATTTTTCTTTATGTTCCTATATATGTATAATCGACAACGTGAATTGTGTAATTTCTTATAGAGATCTTTGCACAATCAAATAAACCGTATCTAAATGGAAGCACGCTGGTAATTATGTATGAATTTACATTACAATATAAGAGGTAATAAAAAAATAGTATTACGATTGTGAAAAAACTTTCAATCTATTAAAAAAAAGGAGGTCGATATAATTGCTAAGTATACATATAATGCTCTATAGAAATCTCTTCTACATGCATTTACATACTATGTAGTCGCGTAGTGATCATAAAATGCAATTTTTATAAGCAAAGAAGACAAAAGAGGCTAACAATTAAACCAAACAAGAGTTGTACGTGTTAAGAATGTGTTACAAATTGAAATAAATAATGTGACAAGCAATTTTTATGATTTTTTTTTACGTAAATATTTATGTAAATTGAAACATTCAGGAAATTTTAAATGTATAAAATGCGTGATCAGAATGAACAGTGTTACTTCAGAAAACGTGATGTTAAATAGATGTTCTCCGAACTCATTCAAATCTTTCTCATATGTATTTATGCGCTCGCAATTTCTACGTAAATAGTTCTCTTAGAAACTTTTTATCATTTAAAAATTAAACTTTATACATAACAAAAACAAAAACTTTATAATGTTTCATTGTTAAACGAGTAGTGAAATATTATAAAATCTAAAAATTTATATTGTAAGTGCGTTTATAGAATAATGTACACAAAATTTTATCATTACCATTTATCTGAGAATAATTGTAAAATAGAAATTTATTTAAATATGAATAATAGAACTTTTTCTATTAAACCAAAAATGTTTTAATTAAGAAAATCTAGATGCATTATTAATATTGAAATCGAATGGGGACAATCGTGTTACACATGCATGGCCGATTGATAATGCATCGCCACAGACACCATTCACCATTCACACGAAGAAGATGACGCACTCGAGCGAAGAAGAAAATGAATAAGTAAATGACGATGGCGAAGGAGACGACGACCTTGGTTGGGTCTTATACCTCGACTATTCTCGATACGTTTTATATCGTTGCGGTGTTCAGTCAAGTTCAAGCGATTCTAGCGTTCTGACGTCGTTTCATATCCGCGGAACTGTTGCTCCTTCACGTTCCCCACTACTCACCAAACTGCCGAGTGACTTTGAGATCCCGCGTGATCCAGTGATCTGCGCGTTCCGCGCGGTAACGCTTCTCATTTTAAGCGTATTTCTTCCGTGTGATCGCAAGACCGCTCCGTCGTGCTACATGCGGGCTTATATTGTGTATAGTGCAAATTTGGATAATCTGCTAAAATAGGTATGTAACAAGAGACAATTTGTATCTGTATATTTCAATAAAATCTTCTGTGTTTTAAAATTTAATTTATGTGCGGACAAAAGTAGGAAATTTGAGGTGCCTTGCATTTTATTTTTACACACACGAGAAAAAGATCTTGTATTAACCGCAGTTTAATTGAAAATAATCTTATTAATTTAATAAAACAAATACGCCATGCTTTTGTGTTTTAATAAAATATTATTTATTTTTATTAATACTATGACTGAATAAGATTATTTTTAGTTAGATTGGTGCTGTTATGCATCTTGTTTTTCCGTATATAAATCTTTGATAAATTCTTTTTGATAAATTATTTGATTTTTATTAGATAGTAGATATTTTGCTTTAAATAGTCTGTCTTGAGAATAACATGTTACAAGATAATAAAATTAGTAAAAAAACCGCGTTTAAAGTAAGAAAAAACATGTTAACGGATTATCTGATTTTCATTGAACGGTAGATATTCGAATAGTTTTCAAATAATGAAAAATATGTATGTAATGAATGTCCTATGTAATTTTATAAAATTAATTAATAATATTAATAATATGAGAATTATACGACCGTCATAGTATACAATCAAATAAATCAAATTAAATGCGCCATTTGCGGTCGGAGATGGATCTTGGTAGCTCAATTATTATATATTTTTTTGTGTATGTTTGGAAAAGATATGTGTAATACACAAAAAATATATAATAATTGGGCTACCAAGACCCAGTAAATGGCAAATTAGTTTAATCTATAATAATATTAATTTTTATATCGTAAATGTACAAACAGCTGTGGCAAACTTGCAGAAATGACTAATTACCTAATTGCTTGCTTTTCAATTTGTATATCTATGTGTACTTCAAACGAACGGCAGCAAAACTTTACTTTGTTTTTTGCAAATAAAGTGGTTTCTGTGTAATATGTCAGGAACGTGATGACGTCGTGGTAGACAAAGTGGTTTTAAAAAATATGCGTTATTATTTGGAATGTATATCTCTATATACCATTAATCTTTTACTTCAATCGATTTGCCGTAGAAGTATTCTAATTATACAGAACAGTATTGAACATAAAAATATACCTACGAATCATGACTCGAGAGTACCTAATGCATGTGACGTAAGATGTCGATTCTAAAGCGTTACATGCAATCGATCGATTAAGTATTTATTAGTTATCACTATGTTTCTTTGTTATTGACAGAGATTTATGACTGCCCTTACTATCAGCTTTGTTCTGGGTTTCTTTCAAGCATGAAGCAATATTTAGCAATATAATTAACATTTGATAATATAACTAGTTAAATTTAATATTTAATAAGACAATATTAATTTAATTTAATAATATAATTAATTATAATTAAATTTTAATAATATAATTATTAAATTTTAATTATAACTAATTTTTAATATAATTTTTAATATAATTAATATTATTTATCAAGGATACAATTGAAAAAATAAATACAAAGAGAGTTATATAGATAATCAGTTTTCATCTCTTGAGCCATTGTCTTAAGGGTACAAGGAAATCTTTCGTGAGATTCGTCTGCTTTGTGAGATATGTTACGTAAGAAAATGTAGAAGTTCGTTTTGAAAATTTGACGTCTTAAAATTTGAAACTTGAAAAAGTTAATAACTAATATTTGTTGGAAACTGCAGGGACCGCCGATTAACGGTCAGTATAAAGTTTTTCTATTTTTCTGTACTTTAGGCACCTTATTGAAAATGTAAATTAGATTGTACATCGAGTTTATATGCATACATTATAGAAGATGAAGATGTAACTTAATTAATGCGGCCCTGAACTGCATAATTACTTGCATTATGAGTTATAATCGCCTGTCAATCTCTATGCAGAACGCAAAAAAATTCAAGTTTCCTCTGACTAATTGTCAGCCTCAATCAGTAAAACGATAATATCGTAATTAATGCCTTTAAGGCAAATTAAGTTCCATCGACTAAATTTACTTCCATATACATTTATACATTTAGATTTTTGTCAGCATTTTGCAGCAACAAAAAAATTGTTATTATTGCTACTGATAATACAATGTTAATTACGATAAGGAAACTAATAATAAAAAAAATGATTATTTAATTTATTCTTCGTGCATTACATCAATATTTATTATTTTGCCCACAGAATATAATTTCAGATTTTTCCGAACGGTATAGCTATAGTTTTTCATTTTTCTTGTATATAGCAAGATTATTATATAACAGGTAATAGATATCTGATTGCGGCAAGTGTGAGTTGGATAGGCGAAGCCGATTTTGCTTACTCTTACTTGGTAGAAAGTGGTGCGCCCAAAGATAATATAAGTTATATGTCGTTATATAATAGGAAAGATAGCGTCCGCTTTATAAACACACCGCCAGATTTATGGCGCTGCATTTATGACTGGTGTTGCGTTTACGTGCACAATTATTGTGTCCTGCAAACGTTTCCTTACTTTTCGCGTTATTTACAATGAGTCATTCACATTTTTCTTTACTCGCGGATAGACAAGCGAAACGGCGTAAGAGCGTGAAAACGGATGCTTTAGCAGAATGTAAATTGACAAGCTGACATTTATGGACGTTAAACCTCAATTCGATTACCGCTTTATATCCTTATGACTTCCGTCGTACCGATTGTTTCATCAAAGTTCCTAGCGTGCTGCAAATTGGTCTTTAATTGCGCGACGGTGCACTTTTAATATCGAAATTACATTGCATTGAGCTACGTGTTCTTTTACACGACCATACGACTTTCTCAACTGTATTACAAAATTATTACATGAATTATTTATACCAACAGTTATATGTATAAGAGTATGATTAATATTAATACAGAAAAACGGTTTTACGAAATTTTTTAGACCAAACACTAAATTTCTATGTAATTTATTATAAATTATTGTGATTTTAGGCTAAACATAAAGCTAAAAGTTTCGAAAGAAAATATTATATATGTTTTCCTGATGTCAAGATTACGCCGAAGTACGGCGCAACCAAAGTTTTATGTTATTCAAACAGAAAAAGAACGAAATGGCAACTTTACGGTTTGTTAAACCGCACCACTATGAATCTTCTTGAATTTAGTACACATCCAGTATTACAAGCATTCATATAGAACGGTTAATTTATCGAGTCAAAAAGTTTCATATACTTTCTAATAAAAAGAATTTTTCTTTCTTCATAATTTTTCGCAACTTCTATATAAATTTGATAACTTTTTAGAAAATTTTTCAGATTTTTTTGTACAAATTGGGACACTTCGGAAGTGTTGAGAAAATCTACGTCATCTTTTCTACAATCTTTTATGTAAATTCCAAAATATTCTAAGATTTCTTATTTTTAATTTCCAAAGGAAATTTATATAATCTAAAGAAGTTCAAAGTATTTTTCTAAAAATTTTTATAAATTTAAAATATTTAAGAATTCTTAAACATATTATGAGATATTATGAGAATTTTTTTACTAGAAATTTATTGATTATAGTTTTCCTGTTTATCTTGTAGCTATAGTTACAAAATATAATAATATTATCCCAATAGGTAAGCAAGAAACATCAAGAAACGTTTCAACTATGTTGCATTAAAGTTACAATATTGCTGCAATGTGCTTGAAATGTTTTTTGATCTTTCTTGCTTATTGGGATGTAATTATGACATAATTGAATTACGTATACAGTTACCTACATTTTAAACTATTATTTTATTTCTTTAGAATAATAGTAAAGTTACTTATAAATAATTACATAAAAATCTATTTTATTTATATAATTTATATAATTAAAATTATAACATGTAGGAAGAAAAACAATGAATATTTTTTTTAAATTAATGTTTTAATTATGATTAAAGTAGCAGAGTGCAATAAATTCTAAGTACTTATAATACAGGCTTAATATTTCTGAAATAGGGAGATTGTGCTCTATTTGACATGTGCACTTGTAACTTTATTTTCCTTCTTGTGCAGCAAAAACGTTAATATGCTACGTCAATCTGTTATATAACATCTAACCGACTTTTTTTTTAATGGTTTTGTTGCATTTTGCAACTGATTCTGGAGTGTTTTCATCATACTGGCCTAATTTAAGATAGAAATGAAAGCAAACACGTTTATTACACAGCCACGTTGAGAAATGCAAATTAATTTTCGAGTCTGCTCGATTAGTTTAATCATATACTTTCCTCAATGAAATGCGACGATTACAGATTAAATCATAGAGTAGCAAAACTTTATTATTATATAACAGTAAGTTTCAAGTTTTACTAAAATATATAAATTTAAATTTATCATAAAAATTGTGTATTGCAAAAAATATCGTATTTTAATATAAAACGTTATACTTATAAAGTATATTTCGCGTTTTGGTACGTTAAAAATTATATATGCAATTGACACCTTCCAATTATACAATACATCAAACTGTGTGGTGTAGTAATAATATAATATAATCTAATCAATAATATAATGTAATCAACAATATAAACAATTTAGAACATATTTCGTAGAGAATTTCTGCAACTATCTCTGACATGACTTATTTGTTTAGACTTTATTTCATATTTAATTAGTTTGCTTTCACGCCTCAATGCGATGATCGTAAATCTTTTAGGGTGCTTGCTTATCTACAAAGTGCTACATTCATCATTACACGTCTTGTGGTAGGCACACAGAAATTTACACGTTACATAATCACTTGCTCACAACCGCATTGATTAGGTACTTTCTCGTGTAAAAAGGCATTAATTTCGACAGAGTGCAAGTATAATTTGTCATGCCTCTCTAGTACCTAACGAGAAGGAGTTCAATTTGTTTATGAAAAAAACTTTTATGGATATTTGTAAGTGCGGTAAAGAACGAGAATTAAGAAATGTATTAATTGAGATAACTCCAGTGATTATCTTGAAACAATATCATTATAATAAAAATTGTATTATTATTGTTATAGTATTTTAACGAATTAGAATTACATTATTTATTGAAACAAATAATAATAATTATATATAGGGGAGACCGGGGCTAAGCCGACAGCGGGGCGAACTTGACACTAGGCTTTTTGCCAATTTAAATCTATCGTAGAAACTTGCCTTTGCTACTGTAAATGCGTCTTTATGTGCCAGTATTATCAACGGAATTTGGTAACATTCTGAGTTATAGTGTAATTTTTAACGCGACATAAGTGTTTTTGATAGTGAAAAGTAATTTTTCTGATCTCTCGAAAATGTCTACTCTTTCATCGAGCTTTACTCTTGCGAATCTACCGCTAAGTGATTTTGATGGGAAATTCGATGCTTTATACAAATCCGATAATAATTTTTGCATATTTTTAAAATTTATATATTTTTGGAGTAACAAAAGTAAAAAACGACGTTCGGGGCTAAGTCGACACGACGCCACCGGGGCAAAGACGACACTAACCTAAAGTGACATTATCGCAAAAAAGGTCACTGTTTCGTCCGATTCCGATGACGATTTAAGGAACATCTGTTGCGTGTGTTCGGAAAACATTTCATTAGCTTCTAATAACAAACAATGCATCTTATGCAACCGTATGGCTCATGACAAATGTGTGCGCACATCTGATCGCGAGTTTACGTGTATAAATTGTTTTTCAGACAGTTCATAAAAAGATAATTAAAAGTTTAATCTTTTTTTTTTCTCATTATTTTAAATAATTGTTTACTTTATTCTGACTTTTTGTTTCTAATACACAATGTCTTTTTATTTGATAAACAATGTATTTTTATTTTTAAACAATAAAAAAATAAGTCCTAGATCAAATTGTGTCGATCAAACAAAGTGTTGAGTTTGCCCCGGCGGGGTGTCGAGTTCGCCCCGTCATTTTTCAATTCGAAAATTTGTCTTCGCGTCACTTTTCCTTTCCTGGCGGCAAAACAAAGCAACGTACAGCAAAACTTCCTGAATCAATTTTGTACCTGAAGAAACACTCTTTAAATATACATCATTGAATTTGCCTAAAAATTTTAATTAAATATTAAAAATTGTCTTTGAAAAAATAGTGTCGGCTTAGCCCCGGTCTCCCCTATAGTTTTTAAAAGTTAATAAATAACCAAACAAATAAATTAATTAGTCAATTTATAGTTTACATTTTAGACAAGACTTTTGAATTGGAACATCACGATAAAATAATTAATTTGTATTATTTTGCAGTGGATGATGCTACGAGTTACCGACGAATCAGTGATTACAAATTCAAGAGGAGGCTTCTCGATTAACTTTTTGTTTTATCTCAGTATCGAATTTGTAATTGGCGCTGTCATCTCTAGTATCTTAGCCATTCTCGATGTCATAAAGTCTCTTTTGCCAAAGCCACCAAGGGATTTGAGCGGCGATGTAGTTTTAGTATGTACATATTCTATTCATATACTTTAAATTGTACAATTATTACACTTTTATAATTAATGTTAACAATTTAAATAAATTTAATTAGGTAATTAAAAAAATATAATTTATACGAAAAGTGCGATAAATATTATTTGAATTAGGATTAAAAGAACTGGAAGGAATTAATTCTGCATGTACAATTAAATGTAACAAATAGTTATCTTATTAAGATTTTGCATTTTCTTTCTATCGCGAATTAATTACATTATCGACAAAAGATGCACAAGAATAAAGGTAATCGTTAATTATATATTGTTAAGGTATTCCTTTCACGGAGGAGCATATTTTGTATAGGCGCTTAAGCAGGGCCTCAGCAAACTCTTGTATATTGCATTAAACTTATATAAAATCAAGTTATATTTGATTATTATGTTTAATTATAAGAAAAAAGTGAAAATATGATGTGTATTGAGAAATTTTTCATTTTTTGGTAAATTTTACTGTCAGAACAATATAGCAACGCTGCGCTTTTCAGGGCGCCGATTGTAAAATGTGAAGTTGATAATAAAAGTGTCAATGTAAGTGTCAATTTCATTAATCAAAGAATATTGTGACATTTATATGCTTTTATATGCTTTTATTTATATTTTTGTTTATTTTTATATATTTTATTTATATTTTTTATGCGATATATATTTTTGGATAATTTTACTTTTTTAAAACATAATAGGGGTATTTAAATAAGTTAAAGTTTAACGATTTGACAGGTTATATCGGGTTAAAGTCGAGTAAAAAGTTAATTAATTAACTTTGGGCGCGCTACTCTTTAAGGTTATGCAAAATACATAAGTGACTCATTAACCTATTACATTAACCTTTGGGTTAAAAGTTTAAAAATTAACTTTTTACTCGACTTTAACCCGACATAACCTGTCAAACCGTTAAACTCTAACTTATTTAAATACCCATAATAAGTAAATAGTTGATAATAAACCGTATGTGATGAACTGAAGTGTGACATGAGCGCGTGACAGCTTGCAGCGTTGCCAAATAATTCCTTGAAAGTCGTCATTAAAAATATTCATCTATAAACCACATTTCAAGTCAACTTTTAACATAAATATTTTGTTTAAATATTTAGTAATTCTGTATTTTTATCGGCACTATCGAAAGTATAGACTTTAGCGAATATGTAGCGCAGTTAATATTTAATATCTTAAGATATTTGATAAACAAATTATTACATTGAAATGTGGAAAATAGACTTTTTCGATAACGTCACATATAAATATCGAATTTTCAAAGTCATAATTCTTCTTTATATGTTCGGTAATGTGGTTTAATTTTTTTCTGGCGTAAAGATATGCATTTTAACTTTCTCGTACCAAAAAATTAGTTAATTCTTAAGACTTTGGTGTCATGAAAGGAATGCCTTAAAAAGATATTTATGATTAATATATGACTTATGTTAAAAAAATACATTAAAATCCCTTTTTTACAACTTTAATAGCAAATTTCTCCAAATTGTGATGATAGAGCAATTTGATAAGCGGGGTTGTATTTATTAATATCTTCATTCTTGTGCTTTAGAAAAATCAGTATTTTTTGTTAAGCAGTGTTATTATTAAATTCGAATTATAGAATTCAACAGTCTTGAAAATGCAAAGTATTTTTTTTTAGTAGACAAATATTTTCTGTAACAGATTGCCGGCGTCTCGTCGACCCTCGGCGAGTCTCTCGCCGAGGAATTCGCGAGGGGTGGATGCTCCGTGATTTGCGTGGATAACGACTTTAGATCTGCGGAGGAGATAACTGCCAGGTTAAAATCGCGGTGTAATAGAGTGAAGGAAATCGGGCCTGACCATAGGGAACACGAGCGGGAGTATGTAGGGCCGACAATGACAGCGTACGAATGTAACCTGCTGGACCGTAATGCCATACGCGAAATCGCCAAGAAGGTCGAGGATGAGGTCGGTGGCGTCGACGTCCTAGTGACCTGCGCCGGACAACCTTATCAAGATATTTTTGATACGGTCAACACGACTCTTATGAGCCATTATTGGGTGAGCGTCGGCCAGCAGTTGTGTCCTTGAAGCCAATCATATCATATGTAACGTTAAATCGCGACTGGTTGTTAACGGCCGGTTTTAACATTGTGAAAGTTGAAGAAAATTTGTTTGAAATATTAATTACATATTAGAAGTGTATGATTTTAACGATTCAATAACGAACTCAAATCTCTTGGAATAAAATGCAACGACAACTTATGGTGTTAGAAATGTAGGTTGCAGATCTATTTTCAACATTATAATGATTTTTTAAAGATATTCGAGGCCGCAACATTTTTGATAAAAAAATATTTATTTAAAAAATTTAAAACAAACAAAACAAAAATGTATATAATTAAATATGTAATTACATTCGGTTTTCAAGTATCTTGATTTTATAATTATATACATATAAAATTTAAATATATCAATAAAGAACCCGCCACGTGCGATTTTTATGAAAATGTTTTCGGTTAATTTTCTTGAATTTGTGATATGTTGCATAGTTTTCCTCCGCTAATTCAGCAGAGTCGACAGAGGAGAACTACAACATATTACAATTTCAAAGAAATTGACAAAAAATGTTTTTCTCATAAGAATAATGCGAAATTCTTTATTATACAATTAATTATATTCATGCAAATTGAAATAAAAATTACAAATTAAAATTATATTAGATAAAAAATTCAGTAATTAATCCTCGTAGGCCGCACTGGGATCTGAAGGACCTCAGCCACTTTTTGCTCATAAGTTTCTAAAGAATTCATGTATTTTAATGTTTTTTTTTCAATTAATCGTAAATTTTCTGATAATTATGATGGAAATCTCAGAATTTGCAAAAAAAAATTATTACCAAAAAATACGCATCAAGAAATATAAATAATAGTTTTAAATGTAGTTTCAAAATTTCGTCCCTGAGACCCCAGTGTGGCTTTTGAAAGTTAATAATATTAATTAATAAAACAATATAGAACTTTGTAATGACAATTTTGATAAATTCCCACATAGCACGTAATATTTCTGTAATATTACGTGCTATGTGGGTTATGTACGGCACATAATAATTAATGCATTTATTACAATCTGTCCAGTTTTTCTTTCTTTTTTTTAATTGCAGATGGTTCTGGCATTTTTGCCATTCATGCTACAACGCGACAGAGCGCACATTGTCGGAATTACGCCGATTACATCGACCCAGGATGTATACTTGAGTTCGAGGGCGGCGATCGCCGGTGCGTATGTATTGTTGATCATAAAAGCCAGTCGTCAAATCGCGCGCAGTAAACAATAAACGTCATGTGTCGGTTAATAGCGCGTGATTTATTTACATGTAGGTCTGATGGAAAGTTTGGGTGAGGAATTGAGCAATCGTAATAGTCATCTCACCTTCCTTGCGATTTCACCGACGGTAGCACGCGGGTGAGCCCCCTTATAAAAAAAAAGAACAAAGAATATTCGTCCATTGTTCCCCCGAGACGCAAACTTTGTATCATTAACTTATATTGCAGTTCGACGAGACAGGAGGAACAACAAATGGCCAAGGAAGTTGTACAGGCAGTCAGAAGGGGCCAGTGTAGCATCAGCATTAATTGGTGCTCGAAGATGATGTATCAAATAAGGTAAAGAGGTCTAATTGATAATTATTGCCGAGATTTATATTAAACATTTATATTAAACACGAGATATTATATTAAACGAGCTATTGTATAGATTTATATTAAATACGAGATATTATATTAAACATTATAAAGATTAAATATTTTAAGTCAAAATTAAACTTGAAAAAATTAACAATAAATTTTCAAAAAATATTATTTTATATAATTATTAAAACTGTTATCGTATATTCTTTTATATAATTTTTGATTTTATTTACATATATGTTTATTCTTTTGCTTTGCTAGTGAATATGTCAATTATCTTTGCACTATTGAATCGTATAACAGTAGATTATAATTTTGTGGCAGTTAAGTGTAATTCTTCATATGGTGCGCGTAATTTTTAATTGACTTTATGCGATCTTGTATTTCAGTTGTGCGATTTATAGCGCAATAACGATGGTCTCACAATGGCTTCACATGCAGGGATGCGATTATTCCTTTTAAATCCTGTTCTTGCTCATGAAGCGTGAAACATTCCAGTCGGCCACCGACACGAGTGTGGGAATTCGCGTTTTCTGTCAGCGAATTTCCTCGAGATGGTCAGCAAAAAACCTTTAAAAGTCGAGTAGCATCTTCTCATGAGTTGTGCGAAGAATAATTATCCCAATTAATTATTCATGCTATAGAGTCAAATTAGAATTATAAATCGTTGTATATCATAATGTCATAGTACATTATTATACTGCATAAAGAAGAACTTCGTAGTTTTTAAAAAGATAGATTTTCTGTTAATAAAAATAAAACAAAAATATTTGCCCTTACGTCTTTTATCCTTCTCATCAATCTCATTAAATGTGTTATGCCCGTTTGGCGATTGCGTTCACGTTTGCGTTTACGTTTCTCGACCAATCAAAAAGTAGCTGCTGGCGATTACGATTCGCGATTTCCGTTCTGACTGGTCAAAAGACGTAAATGCAAACGTAAATGCAATCGCCAATCGCTAGTGTGATACGGGCATAAGACATATTACATGAAATATTATATTTGTTTGAACTGTTCTTTCTACACAAATATTGCTAAAAAGAACTTTTAAATTTTAAATATTTTATATAATATTAATCTATAAAAAAAAAAATTTGTATAAATATATATATATACAAATACATAGATTTAAATTATTTATTAAAATCCCATGTACATTGCAAGCGTCAAATTTTGTTTACATAATTAATTTATAAGTTTTAATCATTTTAATATTAATATATATGCTTTTTCTGTACTTCTTCATGTATTTCCCACAAATTATACAATATACTATCTCGTACAAAAATGCAAAATATGTTAAAGTTGTTAAAGAAAATCAATGAAGTAAATTTTTATACATATACTATAATTTTGTCGTTTATTTGGTCTTGTTGAGAATTATTTTAACTATCATTTATCTTTATTAATCGCCATAAAATATAATTTATTCGCCCATAAAAAAGCTCGTCATTGAATCCGGTAACAGGACGTCGTAATGACCATTTTCGGAGCATCCGGTGAACAGGAGCCTCGCGGTTTCGTAGCCAACGTTCACGCGGTTATGGAAGACCAGCTTGAGCTCGTATCTGCCGGGAAGTTCGCGATAGATCGAGAGATTCATGCGATGAAGTTTTGTGGCCACGGTACACTCCAGCTCGCTGGCAAACGTTCCCACTAGGCTCATGTAATCATAGTATTCTTGGCTATCCGAAATGTTCCACTCGGCCATCACGAACGGCTCGTACTCGCGCCAATTGTCTTTAATGTGCTGCACAACCTGCCAAATGATCCATGGCTCTTATACACGACCGTCATATATCAATTACTGCCTGAATTTCTGTTGAGTCGACATGGTAAAAAGTAATACTTAAGAAACAGCGATATATATAGCATTCGATTTAACTAATTAAATTTAATGTCTGCCATCGCGAACGGATTCTATTTTTAACTTCGTTGCAATTGATCTTTGACATTCGTGATATTCGTGCAGCAAATTTTGTGTTTATGATGTTTATATGATATAATTATGATATTCATATTAATTATTATCAGAGACTGACCGTCGTTCGGAGCGACTGGTGCTCTTCCTCGTTTCGCCACAAAATGTAGCTGATCGCTCTAAACGTGCAATTGCCATCTCCGTATATCTTGCGCACGCGAAACGTGCCCTCGTTACACCTTAATAGAGCCGTACCTTTGAGGAATCCAAAATATACATATTATATACTAATTATATAAATTAATGTTAAATGCGCTTGTATGATAACACTGTTCAACAAAAAAAAATGCACAAAAACGAACGTAATCGTTTCTCGTAGTTCTTTGGGCGTTGAAGAACTAAAGTCCTAACACTACTTAATTTTTTTTAAATAAAACTTTTTCAACATTACATATTGTAATTATAATTTATCAAAATACACTAAAATAGCTCTTTTTGCAACTTAAACTGTAAATTTTTTCATATTATGACGTAGAGTAATTTGATAAAGCTTGTATTTAGCACTCGAAAAACAGGGAAATATCTTGCTCTTGTGTTCGAAAAAAGTCATTTTTTGTTAAACGAATTTTAATCGAATTTTCTTCAAATACGAGTATATTATTCTGACAAATTAATCTCAGAATCAAACATTTTTTAAACGCTCATATGGCGTTTGAAAAGTTACCTCTTTTAGATGTTCGAAAATGCTTGTTTCTACGTTTTCTGCAAGTGCACCTTGTAACTCGAGTTGAAATTTGTGCGTTGGATGCCCAACGTATTTGCCATACAGAATTACGTTTATTTGGCTGAGCTTTCGAAAAATTGCCGATGATTTTGGAATCTCCTCGACCGAAAAAATGCTCTTTTTTTTCAAGATTGTGTCCTTTTTCATTCTCGAGTAATGTGCGGTGGTGATCGCAATCTTCTAAAAAAATCATATCCGCTTTATAATTTTTTTTAGTAATTATGAACGAGAGGAGTTTTCTCACCAATTTGGCTAAAATTTTACAATTTTGTGTATTTTGCTGCGTAAAACATGAATCTGTATAAGTTAAAATTGTCGCTCTTAATTAAGAAAAAATTTATTAAGTACTAAAGTTGACAGTTGCGTGGTTAGGATGTCTGTTATTTATTATACTTTGTATCTATAGATCTTTTAATATACTAATTATTTTCTGCTTTAAAAAAGAATAATAAATCTATTTCTATTATCTTTTTTAACCATTTAATTCAATATATTATGGCAATATATGTATATGGCATTATTATTTTCTTTGCAAAATATGCAGTTTTGTTGTTTTAAATATGGTTGGTCCAACTATTGTCTGCTTTAACAAAAAACATCCTAACACCACGCAACTATCAACTTTAGTACTTAATAACTTCTTTCCTTGAGAGCGACAATTTTAACTTATAGATTCATGTTTTATGCACCAAAATACACAAAATTGTGAAGTTTTAGCCAAATCGATGAGAAAGCCCCTCTCCTTCATAATTACCTTTTTTTCGAGAAAGTAAACTTCGCGATATCTTTAATTAAATTTGCACTGATATTGTCAAATCAGAGAGATTTGTATAAAATCAAAATACAAATATCTTTTTTGTAAGAATATGTAAATAAAAATTATCAGAAATATATCTCCTAATGCAGACAATTATATTATTTTTTTATAGCAATGTTTCTAATATCTAATGTTAATCAAATATTAATCTTTTTTAAGCAAATTTCTACCGTCTTTGAAGATACGTGTGCAGAAGTAAAGCCACCACAAGCAAGGAAGACAAAGAGTTTTTAGCAGCTTCGACAGTCTTGACGTTGAAAGCTCAATTTGGCTTCAGAGATCAAGAAGTTTCATAAATAACTATTATCAATTATTCTTGCGTCTATAATTTTTACATTGTGTTACAATAAATAATAATTATATGCAAATACTTTTGGAGTAAATTATAAATTAAGTATGATCTGAATACACATGGTTTGCTATTTGGACATTTTGTAGCTTGAACATAACAAATAGTTATCGATTATCGAATACATCTGTTTGTTTAATTATACATTTCCTTCCACTTTTCGCAATCAAAACGAAATGAGTGTATAAGCAAGTTTTGAAGAGAAAAAAGATGAAGAAAAATAAAGTGCAGAAATATTAAAAACCAACAGATTTTTAATATACTTAAAAATATGTTTAAAAATAAATTTTATAACTAATAATGTTTAAATTTGAGTAAAAATAGTATAATAAATAATATATAGAAAAGTTAATTAAATCAATTATTATTAACCAACAAGCGCTATTTTTTGTTCCTTTTTCCTAAAAAATTGTGTGAATATCTAACTGTAATTAATAAATTTCTATTAATTAAGCAACAATATTTCAGTTAAAAGGCAATCATGAAGCGTAGCTACTTGAATAACTAGATATTTGAATACTTAATTATTAGCGAATGGGTACCAAATTGTATTTGGATATTATTTATTTCCGAGTATTGACTTGAATAAATATCCGAGTACTTGAATATTACTCGCGGTGAGTGCAAGAACATTTCGGTGAGTAGATATTTAGATAAATAGGTTAATTATCCGATTTATCGCTAGTTTTATTTTAAAGGACACGTTCCTTTCTCGACGGCGGGAAAATTGGTATTTATAGCTTGGTAGACCTGATCGCGATACCGTGTCGATACATATCGACCTATACTTACAAACTTATAACTTTTGCCATTTGCTCTTTTTTTTAATACAAATATTTCGCATTATCGGTTAATGATTCTAATTCTCTGCACCTAAATCCATATCTTTTTTTTTTTTTTCAAAAACGTTACACAACTATATTATCCCTAATCGAATAGAATCGAACGGAATAGAGACTACTAGTTCTCGTTTCATTTCAGCCTTGACAAAGCAACACGTTATTTCGCACAGCTGCCACGGGATGTCGAGGGAGGGGAGGTGAATTTCTTACACGTGCCGCGTGCCGCGGGTGGTGGCCAGTCGTTCGCCAACAGTGACAAAACGAGCGTGCGTGCTCCGGAGTCCGCCCGGCTCCGCCTGGCCTACGAGCGCACGTAGGTGCATGCCACTTGCGGCGTTCGCCGCTCGCGCACAATAGCGATATACACCGCGTGGTAGGGAGGGTGGGACGTGGGACAAGTGTCTTAGGCCGCTCAGGCGGCGAACACAGAAAGGGGAAAGCGGAAAGATGGCGATGGCGCATCGGTATTACGTGCAGCAGTAGTGATGCAGTGCGAGCGAGTGCCGCCGTCGTCGTTTGCTCCGATCGTACGTACGCGCGCGATCGCTCGCTGAGCGGAGCGCGGGCCAAATGACATGGGAATTTGCAGCAGAAGGCACTTCCTACTGACGATATGCAGCCTGCAGCTAGTGAGTGCGCACGCTAATCCGGATGCGTTAGCCAGCTTTCGTTCTGCCGCAATGTATCTGGCTATAAATTGCCTACATATATTGCACGTATATGTATATGTGCGCGACTTTATCTGCGACAGATTGTGTCGCGTATATTATCTTTTCCTGTTTCTCTCTACTGATTCCTCCGCGATTGTGATGTGATATTAGCGTTAGTCACGCTGCTTTTGTGAGAGCGGACGCGCACTCGCGCAGCGTCCATTGGGAGAGCCGCGGAAGAGAGCCGTTATTACGTTTTTTTCCCTTATCGTCGATTCACGGATTATTTATCGTGTTATTTTATCGTATCGACCCGGGTCCGCGGGCTTATCTCGAGGAACTCCCTAAAAAGGGAGCCTTATTGCGATTTCGTTACATCATTTCATGGACGTCACTCTCCGATAATATTGGAGCATTTTTTTTACGTGTTCTAGCATGCTACGAGTGACTTGCTTTTTGTGTCAGAAGTGTAAGAAAGTAATTGTAATGCAAAATTAATGAGCGTTCTCTTAGATTTCTTTTTTGGAATGTTTGAAGGATTTCTCCGTTGGAATGCTGTAAAATCAAACAATATCTAAATGTAATGATTGATGCATGAAAATTTTGTATGTATATAGAAACCAACAAGTTAAAAACGTGTAGAAAATAAATTTTTGTTTAACAAATTTTTTTAAATGCATATATAAATATCTTATATTTATATTTTTCTTGTCATTTTTTCATTGACAAACATTTATGCTTTGCATTTTATTGTAAGATTGCTTGCCAATTTTTATTGAATTTTATTGATGAAACAATAATCTAAAACGAATCTTTTGAAAGAATTTAGTAAGTTAAAAGTTTTGGACAATCTTTTGTGTAGCTATGTAGCGTCATCAAATGCTATGACTCAGAATGACTAATTAACCGAGTATTTAGAACATAGGGCAATTGTCGTAGATTAAGAACGCTCAGAAGGAATCAGTAAAAATTGAGTTGTTCGTCACTTATCACTTTATATTACGCTCTATGTTGGACGCTTGTGCGTTGTGTGGTTAATTTATTTAATTTTTACTTTCAGATTACCACCATAGAACGTCAAGTCTTCGACTTTTTGGGGTTTATGTGGGCCCCGATACTGGTCAACTTCTTCAACATTATCTTCGTAATTCTAGGATTCTTTGGGGCCTTTCAATATAGACCTAAATATATCATATCGGTGAGTAATTATTCTTGATATGCACGTAAGTAAATAGAAAAAGATTTTCATAAATATTGAGGTGAGAATAATCTACATATATTCTATCATGTAAAAGTTTTGTAAATATTCATCGAAATAGACGTATTTCTTCTTTATATTTATATTAATGGTCGAATTTATTACTTGTCTTTATTAAAGTAACTGCGATTCTTGTTTTAGTATTGTATATGGAATACATTATGGCTAGGATGGAACATATTTATCATATGCTTTTACCTCAATGTAGGGATACTGGACAAAGTAAGTATCACATCAGACACTTATATTATACGATACAATGTGAGTTATCGCGTACGTATAGCTGACATAACATTGCACTATTATTTTTTAGGATAGCGATGTACTTAATCTCGGCACTGGTAGTTTTTCATGGTGGTACGTGAACGGGCCAGGTTGCAAAGCTGTTTACGACGTGACGGAACCGGAGCTTTTTCGACCCGCGCGACCCACTAACGTAACAGACTGCGTGCTAGATTACGAAGTGATAGAAATTTTACACGCTACGACGCAATGTATTCTAGGTGTAAGTGAAGAGTCAATTCTCACATAATGCATTATTATAATAACTGCGTAGATTTTGCTATTGTTATATTGTTACGTGCGTATTAGTTCCAAAATTCAGCCATTTCATATGTTTCAGTTTATGGCAATTGTCGGCGGAATTTGTCTTAGTAAAGTGTTCCTTGAGGAAGATGATAGCTGTGAGTATATTTCAAATTTGTATTTTTAGAGTTTAAATGATTTATAATTTATATTCTGAATTACAAGGGAAATTTTAAAAGAAAAGTACTTTTTTTTTGAAGAAAATAATTTTATTATTGCATTGAAAATAATTTCTATGTTTATTCTTTATTTGTATTAGTTTTTTAAAAATTTCCGTTGACGAATTTTGCCTTGCAATTAAAATATCGGATTAATAAACAAATCATTTTAAAAAATAATTAATATAATCTTAAAATACACAGTAATAATATATGAGCAACCACTGCTTTTTTCTTTCTTTCTTTAATGTTTAAACTTTAAAGTTATCTCTTACAGAAGAAAAAAATAAGATGTACTAATATGAGTTGAATTGTGATTATTATAAGCTTTAGTTTGCACGACAACGTTATTTTACTTTTAAAACTTTTCTTGTGTATCAAAATGCATTCAAGAATATTTAAAAATATTATATTTTTGATTTCAATAAAGTTGGATGCATTTTAATATTTCAAAAAATACTAGTGATACGATAATATTTGCTTGAAGTAAGAATTAATAATCTTTCACACTTTACTGGCTTGCGGTTTATGATAAGCAATTGGGGGAAAAGGTTGTGGTTATTATTAGCAGCATATTCGGTAAAGAGAAGAAATGGAGGCTAAATATTATTCTATTATGTTGAGAAATGTTAAAAGTGACAAGCCATTATATTTTTATTTATTTTTTATAATTTATATTATTTTAATTTATACTACTTTATATTATTGTTAATTTAAACATTACAGTGATAATTAGATAATTATAAAGAACATAAATGAGATTAATTAATTATTCATTTTTTTTCTATGTAAACTGGAAAACGCAAAAGTTATGTTAGTCTTAAACAACCGCTAGATTTTATTATTATATGTTTTCGTTATATTATATTCCGAATACATAATTGCATAGTAAGATATATTTTTTTGCATTAAACTGTTCAGGAGTTTATCACCGCTAGTAGAAGTACATTTTAAAAATATCAATTAGTAATGAGAAATTAGATAAATCTTTGATAAGATTATTGATATTCTTAATAATCACTAATTATGTTTAAGTACACGCGATTATTTATTATATTGCTTGAAAAGAGGGTTATCGGTTACAGTTGATTTCATTGGTGGATTTGATCCTCCATTTTGGTAAGTCCGCTTAATCACGTTCATCAATTGCACGCCATATATACATATTTGTCTATCTTTTGGCACGATTAAATAATTTTTCATAGTATAATCATGAAGTTATAGCGTATAAATTCAGTTTTCAATATGTAGCGACGTAAAACTTTTTGCATCTTGAGGTTTGTAATTCGTATCTGTTGTTATTATTATTGTTATCATTACACGATACTGCTCAAATAGCGTTTCTTTACCTTCGCATGAACGGAATGGTGTTGTGTCTTAACAGTATACGGTATGATTTTCACTTTCTTCAGTCAAGAATGTTACAAATACGATTGCAAAGGCGTAACAAAATTAAGCAGACTATGCCATGTAATAGGCACGAAATGTTACAATCAAGAATTTTTGAGATAGGACACTTTTTCTTCGTAAACACTTTATGGGAAGAACAATTTGGTAACATAACGATATCTTCGGCGTTACACTTGTCGCGTATTCACTTCGTCGATCGATTCGTTAAAACGCACCGCTTATCCTCGGCTCGTCGTCAGCGGACCTCATCTAATGCGATGGATTCTTGAATGATATTTCAGTTGACTTTGTCGGAGGTGATGACTTCGGGTTGGCAGGCCACACGCCGTTGCATCCTATGTACGTTAGCTACTCGGCTCTTCCACCACCCGCCTACTCCCTCAAAAATTCCGCTCAGAACAATTACCCGACCGGCACAGCTAGCTCTCACCAATCTGCCTATCGCGAGTCGAGTTTTCCAAAGCGCGGCGGCGAGAAGCTGCTGGGCGGCGGCGGCGGCGGTTGCTCCGCGCGTGGAAAGGTGATCAACGCCGTCGGTCCCAAGAGCGACACCGTCCGTAGTAACAGCAGTCGCTCGTCCAGCCGCGATTTCCAGAACCTAGACTATTCGGTCGACTACCTAAACCCGGTGGACCATTTGCAGCGGCCGGTGTCACCCGCGTACGACGAGTACGACTCGTTAGACAGCGCCGCTAAGCTGCGATATCAGAAAAACCGGCTGTACTATCCGCACTCGGCCAAGTACAGCCCGGTCGCGCGTATCAAGTGCCGTCAGGTCACGGCGGCGGCGAAGCAGGCCAGGAATCCTCTCGTCAGACCCCGCGTCTTCATTGATCACGTGCGCGACCAGCCGCTGAGGTCGTTTTACTCCGATCCGAGATTGGCCGTTGATCAAGCGGCGAACGAGCGCGACCGGTCGTCTTCTCAGTCGAAACGAGACAGCCGGCCGTTGTCCTTGCACGCGAATAACTTCTAAAACGGAGGACCTTCCACTTTTTTTGTATTCAGTATTTAGGCTACTAGCCTAAAGGTACTTGTATTAAAATTGATGGCACTCTCTTCGAACACGATTGGCAGATAAAATCGCAAGTCCCTGTCTTCTGCTCTCTTATAGCGAGAAGAGTAATGAAAAAGTTAGCTTAACTGCAAAACTTCTATACCACCGCGTATGGTGTCCACTCGTGCGGTACGTGTAACATTATAATTCCTATACTTGCCAAATAGAGCAATTAGTGTAGCTAGCCCTTAGATGCCTTCCCCTTTAGCACTTTCCATCGATCTAAATTGCGAGTTGTGTGTTTCTATAATAACATTACTGCATAATATTTATTTATTGACAGTGTTCTTTGTACTTTGCATCGAATCGACTGAAACGTCGAACTGTGTGTGTTCAATAAGCGTTTGCTCGTTCGTACAAGCGATCAATGCAGTGTGACTTACCTACTAATTCATAAATGTTGCATATCTACATGTGGGATGATTCGGAATTACCTTCCGCTCTCTTCACTGCTTAATACAAACAAATAAATGATTCAATTAAGATACCAATGTGCTGTAATGGTGCAAGATAAGAATGATTTTGGACTAAACTGTTATCTCTGGCTGCCACCTTAATGCCGATAACATTAATGGGGAGTATGAAAAGCTAGAAAAAAGAGTTTCTAATTTATATACATTTATTTGTACAGAAAGAGTTAAGAGGAGTGGACGATAAACGTGAGTCATCTTGCACATGATTCACTTACACGTACTGCTCATGCTCTACGCATAAATTTGGTATATTTACTGTGATATGTATAGAAACTGTATTTAAGGTCACGCGGAATATTTATCGTTTTATAAGTGTACGAGAGATTTTTGATTAGCGATACCTTGACAATTGTATGCATTGGGAGACCTTGACGCACGCTACGTAGAGAAAAATGTTGGTAAGACACAGCATGACCGGAACGTATTACTTAGGTATGAAATTATACCTACAGCTTTATCAGTTTTTTTTAAGTTTATGCGAGAAACCTTTTTGACATTTGACAGAAACCACACATTTTGTGTTTTGCAGTAGTATTATTTCTAGATTCTCTCTATGTCGAGATTATATAATAAATTTACAGAACTCTGTCGTATGCTACGTATGCTACATGGATGGATAGAGGCTTTAAGTTGGTACTCTGAAACGACTAGACTGCATTTAATTAGTTTATTTTATAGCTCGGGTTTTATGGGTATGATCCGGTGCTATGAAGAGTTTTTCTTTTATTGTAAGATATTTAAATGAACTTTTAAACAAGGGAGCGCGCATGACACGATTTCCCTTCGTTTAGTAGTGCATGTAGTAGTTGTGATTTTCTTTCCTTTTTTTTGTATTTTCAATTTAGCAGACTGCAAGTACTTTTAATCCCCGAAAGCCTTCATATTCGTTTTTGTAGAAAATATCTAAATGTATAGATTAAATTTCCCTGTTATGTACGGTACGTTTAATTGAGATTTCTTTACGCATAAAATTTCAGATATTCTTTTTGGCAATATACGTTCATAAAAAATCTTATTCGTTTTGTGACGTTTCACACGTGAATGACTGATTTTTTTGCGTTATATTAAAATTTAATGAGAAATCTGAAGTGACATCACAAACGAAAAATTTAGCTTTTGATGTAAAAAGTAGCTAATACGTAGCTAAATATGCCAATTACAAAGAAAAGACTGCTAAGAGAGAAATAGATGTAATTATATCTTGAACTTTAATACGAGAGAAGAATAATGATTATTATATATTTACATAAATAGATTTTTGTTTAGAGTAGTACGAATACGTTACATGCCACAAGATCGTTATCTTTGATTAGTTACATATATGATTTCAAATATATATACGATATATCTTATTTATAGAGATATAATGATAAAGATGAAAATTATATTAATTATGTAATATTGTACATATCTGTTTTTGTAGTATTTACGTGAAGAAATTAGACAATGAGAAAATTTTTTTATTAGATACAGAATATTACTATTCCTTTATATTTGGATGACTTTATTTATTAAATGTCAAATGTTACTATTTCTTTATATTTGGCTTAGATAAATAATATTTCTGAAGAGAGTTGCAGTAAAGTGAAACCTCGAATACAACGCAGGGTTTTCTTTTGTGTCACTTCAGATTTAATATTTCTAATCAAGTATAGTCTCTATCGAGCATCTCTTTCAAGTTTGTACAGAATATTTATATTTTTTTAAGGTCGTTATAATGAGTTTTGTATTTAACCACTGTATCACGTTATTTACTTTGGTGCAGTTAATTGGGAACAATAAATACGCAATGTCGCTATTCGCTTGCTTTTTTATTTATTAACCCTTCATTCTTCTTTCTTTTCCTTTTTCTAACAATTTCCTACTGTGCGGTTTTCTGGGGAATCTTTTTTCGTTTATTTTTTCTACATTTCTTTGTTATTAAATTTTTGTTTCTAAGTGTTTAGCATCTTTTAGAAATTGTTGAGATACCTCAATGCAAATATTACTTTTTGCAGGAAAATTATTTTGATTAAAGAATTTATCATTATCAATACATTTATTTACTGAAAAGATAGGAAATAAGTTTATGAAAATATTTAGTTAGTAGTCCTAAAATTATTATTTAAAATAATTCAAAGCAAAATGAACGAAACTTTTAACAATAGAAAGAAACTAGAATAAACAGGATTGTTATGGATCGTCCTAACGAAATAATGAATTTTGTTTTTCTTATACTTAACACCATTTGATCATCAATCACTCGATCATTGTGAGTGAACAGACAAAAAAGGAGTCAGGTTGACCGCACCGCAGAATCTGATTGCCTCTTTCTCTCTTTGTTTCCTCGACAGTACGAACTAAACGAAAGAAGAAGCAGCCGCGGCCGTTGTACAGCATTGAGTACTCGCAGCCCGAGCCGCCGATGCAGGATGACAGCAGCGTGTCGCCGAAGCCGATGACGCCGCGCCGAGTGAAGCGACGTTCCGTGATCTCGCGGGACGGCACACGGCGGTCCAGCACGCGGCGCAGCTCGGTGCGCCAGTCGCGCCGCAAGAACCCGGTGAACCGCATTATGGACCACCAGGAGAGCCTGTACGCGAACACGGTCACCCCCTGCATCAGCAACCTGACGAACCAGAACGTCAGCTCGCTGTCGCAGGGCACGCTCAACTACGACCGGATCGCGGTCGGCTGGGACCGCGGCGAGCGGAACACCGCCGAGCGGAACTGGCAGCCGGAAGCGGTGAACATGGCGGTGTCGTCGCCGACCCTGTGGCCACCGGCTGGGACCCAGGACTCGAACGCTTCATCCAGCTTCCCGGTCGGTCAGAGCCCGCCCGCTGGTTGGGAGCAACATCCGACCACCAGTTCCACCCGCAATCTCACCGACAACTGGCAAGCGTCGCCCGGCGAGGTGAATCCGATGCAGTGGCAGGGCCAGAGCAACCCCACGTTCCAGCAGACCAGCACGCAGAGCCTGAACGGCGAGGATATGGAGGAATTGTACAGCAATCGGCCGGCCAGCGCTAGATCCAGCTACAGCAATTACCACGGCGTCAGGGCGACGCCGCAGGTGCCTAATCGCACCGACGTTGTCAGGCAGAGCCAGCGACAGTTCGTCCTCAGTGGACCGCCCGCTTATCAGGACACGGTGATCTGACGATGTAGCGACTCGGGGGAGTCTCAGGTACACGCCTTGTGTTGAAGACGATATGTTGGGATAATAAATTGCAAGCGATAAAATTGGCCTTATACAATTATATCTGCCATTTATCAGATACAGTAAGTGAGATAACTGATCGTAGGTGAAATGAGTAGTAACATTCATTTTTTGCGAATGAAAATGGCACTATTTTTGATAGCGCTAGTCGCGCACGCGACGCCTTTGATTCGATAAAAAGCGAAAATAATGAAGATTTAAAGAAATCGCAGCAATATACTCTCTAAATCTCATAGAGTGGTTTTGCCATTAACATATTAGAGTGATTGCGATAGTCACTCCGAAAGAGAGATAATTTGTCACTCGGGCACTCATAAAGAGTAAATTTTTTACTTAAATTTTTAGAGCAGCTACTCCACCGGAGTGATACAATATCACTCTAAAACTCTAAAGCTATAGTGAATCACTAAAAGTAATTGATAAGTGACTTTAACAGAGTGAAATTTTTCACTTAAAATTGTAAAGACAAAATTTACTCTTATGGACACCAATCTACTGCACTCGAAAAGAGTGCTTTTTCACTCAAATGGAGTACGATTTTACTCCAGAGCACAATTTCAGTTTTTCTTAGAGTGACAAATTACTCAAAGTGTATAGGCTCAATTTTCACTTTTTGTTACACTTGCCTTTTACTCGTTTTGAATGATATTTCACTCTTCGATTTTTAGAGAGTGAGAGTGAATTTTTCACTCTAATTTTTAGAGCAGGTACTCCACCGGAGCCATACAATTTCACTCTAAAGCGCTATATAGAATTATGCAAGTCACTAAAAGTCGACTGATAAGTGACTTTAAGAGTCCATAAAAGTGACATGATTCACTTTTATGGACACCAATCTACTGTACTCGAAATGAGTGCTCTTTCACTCACACGGAGTGCAATTTTACTTCAACTTACAGAGCGCAATTTTACTCTTTCTTGGAGTAACGAATCACTCGAAGTGTACAGGCTCAATTTTCATTTTTCGTTGCACTTGCATCTCACTCGTTTTGAGTGACATTTCACTCTTCGACTTTTAGAGAGTAAAATGTATTATTTCCCCGTCGTCGGTATTTCAAGTTGTAATAATTTCAAACAGTTGTTTTAACTATCTCAATAATTGTATCACAGTTAAAGTGATTGTTTAATAGTGTCTAGAACTTTTATGATGGGAGAAGAAGCGAACATCGCGATTTCGCCGATCTTAGAGCTTTACTCGATGCGGATCGATGCGACAGATCTCTACTAGTGTTGCATCGCGTTGTACTATAATAACGTCTGTAAGCGATCTTACTTAAAGACTCGAAGAGCCGTTATTCGTTCTCTCTGGTCGTTTCGCAATATTATTTTAGAGGTATCCAAGTGATTCGCGTTATTATGATTTGCCGATTTAATATAGTAGACGACGGTCGACAGTGAATCCGTATATAGTCGACGTGATATGAGATGATCTTGAAAACGGCGCAAGAGTTAACTCTTAGATATAATCGTTAAGTTGACTCAACGCACAGATCTTGCAATGTACATTAGAACTTACGCCACTTTCAAGGTAGACAATGAAGATTGCCTTTACTCTCTCAGGATTGATCTATCCGACTGACGTGTGTGAAATTAGTGTACTTAAGATACAGAAGTTATAAAACAGATCGAAATCCTAAGAGCGTTAGAGTTTTTACGCGACATGCTCCCATTCATTCTTCTTTTCGTTGTTAAAAGGTTTCTTAGGAGCTTTACACTTATCATCCTCATCTTATTTATATCATAGAACTAAGGATCCTCTTGTTCTACGCATAAAATCAAAAACTCATCGCATTATCTGTAAATATAGATTTATAATCACAATCACGCTTGAAAGCGTATTTTATCGACAACATTATACAATCAATTTTATTTATAATTCTTCTTAAGTACGATCAACGGCTTACGCTATTTTTGACATTTTATGGTAATACGGAATCAAAAGATGTTCACCTCTGTGAACTTTATGATCTTTTCGCGATCAACTTTTTATACAATTTGTATACAACTCGTTTTTATTTGAACATTTATGTGTATGTTTGAGCGTATACAATTATGCGACAGTCTTCCAAAAGTGATAGAAGATAAAAATTTTGATGCGATTCGTTTTTGTATGCATTAATGACAAATAGTAAACTTATAGAATAATAATGACGTACAATATTATATCGCGTGCAATACTACGCGTTTGCAATACAATATCAGTGCACTGTCTTTTTTACAATGTTTAATTATTTACAGTATTAGAATTATAATCTTTGTATACGCTGAGAAATTGAAACTGACGCGTCTAAGCTAATTCTGTATAAGTCATACATGTGTTATATGCTCGAGATACTTTAATTTGTAGGATTTTGTTGGAATTTGGACTTTTTCAAAGTGCCAAAAGTCATTTCAGAGTAACAAAATTTCAACTTATTTTTACCCAATGTCATAAAAAGATGATGATTGTCCAAAAATTGATCACAATTTTCGTATATTATTCGTCAATCAAAAGAAAATTTACAAAATATGTTTTTTTCCATTTATTAATTAATATGTATGTAATTATTACATACAATTTTTTCATTGCTTATATTTTTCACGCGGTAAATGTTAGCTCGTTTATATAAATGCGTCGAGAATTAGGGAGGAGATAGAAACCAAAGTTTTAAATATCAATGTACGAGTAAGATCAACTTTAAAACTGCCTCACCTGTTCTGATTGTTGTACAATCTAGAATTAATTCTGAGACTCGTTAAATCAAATGAAACGTGAATTACGTTTAATTTCTTACTTATAAGAATCTCGTAGTTTTCTAATTGTATAGGTACTTACATCAACTGGACTATTATACTTACAAATGTAATAATAGCTTCACGTACACGGCAGCTATCTTATCGATTGCGAAGCACATACAGTGCAATTATATCGGTGCACTTTGTTTTATTAAAATGACGTCTCGGATGTCGCATTGTTTGCGTTACATATCGCATCATGCAGTTTTAAATGACGAAAATTTAGTAATAATTGTTTGAATTACGTACAGTTTATTCAGTGTAAGAGATTACACTCGAGATTTACAGTTATTATACAATATATTATATTACCGTGTAACAATTGCAAGACAATAAACGATAAATGTTCATTACTCTAATTATCAATTTCAGTAATTTGTAATTAATCCTTTATTCCATGTATCCTGTCCCTTTAGATATATTACATATAAAATAAATTTATTTCAATTGTGTTTTAATACTAGGGCCGGTATTCATAGTCGGTTCTTATATTTAAGACCATCTTAAGTACAATCTTAAGATGTCATTAACCAATCACAGAGCCGATTAGCATCTTAAGATATTACTTAAAACGGTCTTGAAATAAGATCTGATTATGAATACCGGCCTAGAACTATTAATAGGGTCAAAATAACTAATTTGACATTTTTAAAAATAATTATATTATTTATTTTTAACATCACAGTTTCTGAAATTTTCTCTGACTCTTATTGAAATATTCAGATAATTAATTTAATTTATAAATTTTTCTTTTTTTTTTAATTTTAACCTTTAATAAAAATAAATAGGTATAGGTTAATCTTTTTTGGGTAGTTTAGTGTTAAATGATAATATTATTTATTTTATTTATGTTATGCGGTATATGGCATCACAAATATAAATAATCGTATATATGCATGTGTGATATGTTTGCGATGTGCAAAAATCATTTTACAAGTTACAAGCAGTCATAAGCAGACTTTCCCCAAGAGAACGTCGACGCCGTTCCGCGATTTTATTTCCCGCGGGTTAATTCGTGTCAGTTATATACGCCGTGACATATTCCGGATCAGCTATATAGCGAAATTTTGTACCATCCCTAAATCGCGCATGTCCCGCCGGCCGGTCTTCCCCGCCTTCTCTACGACTCTCGATGCAGTAGACGCTGGTCGTCGGGACGCTAAGGGTCGTCTTTCGACGGCGATGTCGTTGTCGCAGGTAAAATTGCGACAGGTGATTGTGTCAATTCGCGGACGATATCAATCGAGAATTCATTGAGGGACTAGATCTTCGAGTCGGGGAAAATTATACCTTGAAATATGGATCAAATAGTGTAGAAACGGGCGTTTTGCGTTTTAAAGTGCGAAATTTTGGTGGACATCTTTTGGGATATCGATCAGAAAATTCGAGCTTTCAAGAAGAAAGTTTTATCTGGCTAAATATTTTACGTGCGAGATACAGATTGCAAATTGAAAAATCTCGCTTTCATGTGAAGCAGTTCGATTATTTCTTTATATTGTTTACGACTTTTCGAATTATCATGAATTAATTGCGGTTGTTTCGAATTAGTGTTGTCGAATAAAATTATACGAAGTTATCAGTGATGAAAGCGTCGATATTAAGGGAGGTGGTGATGCAAGGTGCGAGGATGCTGAAGTTCGTGAGAGTCGGTGCAAACGGGCTCAGGAAACTGTACTCTACCAACAAGGTAAGAATATTTTATGTAAAAAAAAAAAAAAAAAAAAAAAATAGGAAAGATTCAAAAGCGAGTCGTTAAACGACGGAAATTCACGAAAATTCACAAAATTACGAAATTCATACAAACGACTTAGTAAGGGAAATATTAAACATGGCGATTACGGATTCAAGTATTACGCAATAATGGTAACATGCCTACAACTCAATGTTAACACATTTATCGACGTATTAGATCTATTCGTTACGTTGTAATTTAGATATACATCCTTAAGGTATTAAGGAAGAAAAACGACCGATTCTCGATTCAACCACGTGGGCGGTGGCAATGGCCTATATCGGTGACAGAAATAGTTTGACACATAGCTCGCGTATGTCTATTATGTTGCGCCAACAAGCCGCTCGAATTAGACTATTACACTTAATAGTTTGTGCTTAATAATGATTAAAACTCGCCGATAATTATTAAAAGCAATATAATTAGTATGTACTACAATTATGTAACTGATCGTTTTACGATTATATTTTTAACAATGAGCATGCTGCATATTACAATATACTATATGAAGTCTGGATTTAAAGTATGTTATAGTGTATTATCGTGAAAAAATTTAATAAATACGTCTTGACACTTATATTATAAGAAACCTATTTATTTATTTATCTACCCAGAATTGTCAAGCAATATTTGGATTTTATTATTAACGTTTTTATCACTATGGACAAAATACGAGTATGTGAAGCTTATAGTTATGTATTGATTACATAACAAGCGGTGAGAGTGACATTCAGAGACGAGTAATCTCGCTCTTCAATCTAGTCGGGCTTTCAATTTTCATTACGCTTATATGTGTATGTACATACAAACCTACTGATCCGAATTAAAGTACACGTGACAGGCTTCTGCTTAGAGTACTATGATGTTGATTCATCGAAGGATCAATACAGAGCTGCCTAGCAACCAGCGCGATTCTTCTATCATGCAACCATCTCGAAATGTATAATTCAGAAACTGCTTAAAATAATTTTTTTAAATGAAGAAACTATTATATATATAGTCTCTCTGTGATATGAATATATTTTACTATACGAACAGTTTTATTTTAAAGTTTAAATTTAATAAAAAAATACACAACTATCGAATTAAATGCACAATTTTTCTTATTATAAATTTTATATTTATTAATTTACAGGCATATTTAGAAATGTGTAATTAATCTTCTTAATAAATTGCTAAAGCATCTTATTAATATAGCAATTGCTAATATTTATTGTAAAAGATTAATATAATTTCTGATTGTTTAATAACTTATGTCATTAAAATATAAATAAAAATGTGTTTTCTATCAATATTAAAATTAAATAATTTTTTTAGTTAATATAATAAAAGAAAGTAGTTTGATATGTACGTAAAAACTAAAGTTTTTCAATAAATCAAATTTCACTTAACTCTTGAATGAAACAATGCAGTCTGAGCATACATAATGCAAAATGCATAGAGCTTCATTTAGAGATTATAAAATACTATATTTTATTAATATTATATCATAATGTCTTAAAATAATTTTTATTTTATTGAACAAATACATTTTCACCTATTTCTTAATTATTAATTACAAACTCCAGGAATTCTTGCATGTTTCTACGTTTTGTTGAATAATATCTCAATTGTGGCTAATATTATTTGAACAATTCGGTGTTTTATTTTATGTAATTGTGAAAACAATTACAATTTTATTTTCTACTTGTTAACGAACGGAATATTCATGATTTTACAGAAACGTGCTGCTATACCAACGTCCACGAGACTCGGAAAAGCGAATTTGAATGCCGCTTCTGGAGCTGCAGTGAAATTGGAACATCCTCAAATACGGTACAAAAAATCCTAACATTACTTATTTAATTCTGAGAAAGAATTAAACAAAAAAATGTGGAATAGTTTTATCGAATTAATACATATTTTTACGAACTATTTTTTTAATAATACCTAATATTTTTTTTTATACAAATAAGTAACGCAAGAATTTCTTTTGATATATCTTTTTAATCGCGTATCGCACGATGGCTTGTATAAGAAACATAAACGTAACGTAACACTGAAACGCGTAATTTGAACGTTGCGCTGGACGAATGCGTAATTGTGATAACTGGCAAACGATACCGACATATAGAAAAGCATAGTGATCGTCGTGCAATAAGTTTATCGATGCAATATCATGCACTGCAATCTATTAACCCATCGCAATTGATTAGGTCGAGCGTTGTTATTGTGTATTATTTAAGCGCGGTCAGCAACATAAGATCTCTCAGATCGTAATTTTATCTGTCACTAAACTGAAGCAGTGGGATTTCTCGAGAACGCGAGATATAATATAGATTGTAAAATATTCTCAAAATGGTGTACTTTCTGTGGTGATATTAATTAGTGTTTCTTTCACTCGCAATTATTAAAGTCAGAACAATGGACGACTTTGAATTTAATGGTCATTGCATCGACACGATTGATGATTTCAATGAATTACCATTAAGAACGTATCGGTAAGATTATCTTATTCTGAAGAGTATCTAATATTAACATCGTTACTATAGATATTTGTTAGAATCAATGAAAATTTTTAACAAATTTTTAACAAATATTGAGTAACGATTTCAATTATTTAACATTAGTCCTTTTATAAAAGAATTGAATTGAGAGTTATTTATAGAAGAGATAAATTGGAAAGCGATACAAAGAAATATAAAAATAAAAATATTTCTAAACTAATTAAAAAGAAAAAGGCCAATGATAGAGCATTATGTTAAACCATATAATTAATTAACATATGTACAAAGAACCATATAATTAATTAACATATGTACAAAGAACGGTTCTTTGTACATATGTTAATTAATTATATGGTTTAACATCTACTAATGCTCGATCATTGGCCTTTTTCTTTTTAATTTTTATATTTATACGAGCGTGCATGGTTATTATTTTTATCTTTATTTTTAAACTAATCTCAGATTTTGTAGAAAATCAATTCCTGATTTTGATAAAATTAAATCTTGACTATAAAATAAATATTTTTTAAATAAATTCATCTGTTCTTAATGCGATTTAATTATAATTTTTTATTAAACATCATACATTATTTAATGCTTTATTTATCATATAACTTAATCAAGATTGTGCATCTATAAAGAATTCCAGAACATAAATTCTTTTTCTGTCGAGCTGATTTTTAACATCTCAATCCTTTATCCACCGGAGTTGTCTGCTCTAGCTCTAATAAACTCTAATATACTAAGCAATTATTTGTTACCGGTTTCTGTTTGTTACAATTGTTCGTCATCGAATGCAAATTGCATGTAGCTCCTCGCTCTCAAGATGTCACCTGCTCCTGACGTAAATGATATTTTAAGGTTTATTTTTTATCATTGTGGGGGGTCGACGTCAAAACATGTTTTCCTTTTTCTTTTTCGAGTGTTATAAGAACCTCGGTGATATCTGTGACGGAGTAATTTTGCAACCAGACAGCAATAAGACGTTCTTTAGATTTTGCACAAAAAGTCTGTTACATTTAACGTTTTGCAAACTTGTATTATGTGAAGAAAACTAAAGATCTAATCGTGTTTTGTGGTGCGCTGCAACGCGAAATAATCACAGCGATATTTTATTAGATTGAGTTAACAAAAAAACGTTTGTCTAACTAAATCTGCGAAATTGAACTTGAATTAAATAAACGTAATTTAACGCGACGTAAAAAATTGCAATTAATACCTGCGAGATTTATAAATATAATGTTTGTTGATTTTTAACAATAAAAGTATAACAGTTTATACGCAGTTAAAATAAAATAGTTTTGAACTACGACAATCACTATGCCGTACATCGAGTCAGACGATTGTGATTCCAAAGCAAACTCTAATCTCCAGTTGACTAAGCTTTCCGAAGATTACGCAATTAAATCGAAAATCGCGTGTTCGATCTGGGTAGAGAAGAAAGATGATCGATCCACCCGGATGTTGGCACGCTTTCTTAGGTAACAGTCGCATTAACCATTATTATCATCACTAATGCAGAATCGTTTGTTTTGCTTTTCGTTACAGCGAATACAGCTTTATTCACGACAGCCATTATATGTAGTGAGTACACTATGCGCCATTAATGCGTTGCGTGATATGAATAGCTTATTAATAGCACAGTATTTATTCCGTGCCATTTTGTCGATATAACAATTTCATTAAAGCTAACGAACGAAAAATTAAACATAAAATTATCATTTAATGAAATGTCAGACATAATAACTTCATATCTAGGGTAACTCGGAGGAATATGCACACTTAAGAAAAATATGATTTTTTTCCTATTTCTCTTTCTTTTTGAGGTATCTTTGCATACTGGTCTTCTTTTTCCTTCTTTTATCTGTTATTTATATATTACTATTAAAAAGAAAGAAATACAAAAGTATTGCAAAAGTGGCTTATATCCCCATGTGGGGGTAATATTGTTACATATACAAACATGTATAATAATTTAACTTTAGAAGGGCATTCTTGTCTAAAAACATGTAAAAGAATATTTTTATTACAATTTCAATAAAACACTAAGAAAATTCTAAAAAGCACGTTGTCATACTTGTCATACTGTACTTACCCCATAAAAATTGTAATACTGACAGGAAGTAAGTAAAACTTGGGCAAAACGTCAGATATAATATTTTTAACAATTTCACAGTATTTACAACAACGCTCCTAGCCGTAGCTTTGTTATAAACATAACGTGTGGCATATTCCCCACACTGGCATATTCCCTCCAGTTACCCTAATCTTTTTGTTTATTGTTTATTAAGCAAGATAATCAATTTTATTATTCTACTTATATTTTCAATGCATGGTGAGTTTTACTTTTACGTTTATAAACGTACGGTGATTTAATTAAATGGAAGATGGAATATTACATTTATTTTATAATTACTAAGTAACAGTTGTAGAATGAGTTAAATAATGATAATGTGGTGGTCATTCTAGCTATACATGTATATGATTTTGTTATTATTGTCTATATAATTAAAATTATAAAAAAATAGTTGTGAGAAAAATATCTGTTGATTGTATTAGTACATTGTTCACAAACGCGTTATTTGCTTTATATCATTTAATAATTATATTTTTAATGTTTTACAGCACTCGAGATCAAGATCAAGCAACGAACGCCGAAGATGTTTTATTTGACATGTTCAAGAACGAGGAGACCGGTCTTGTATCAGCCGCGGAATTTCTAGCTGTATGTAAGACGGAACAACATTCTATTTTCATAGAGAGATAAATTCGTCAAATAGTTATATAACAGAAATTAATATCTATATTAATTTATTTAAGGCTTTAAGGATAACTGGTTTACGGAAAAATGATCCTCGACTTCAAGAACTTACTGACAATCTGAAAAAAGAGCACGCCAAGAATAACGATCGCACTAAAGCTATATCGCACGAAACGCAGAAGCTAGATAGAGAACAATTCAGAAGGTGAGTCTACGATCTCAAAAAAACAATTCATATGCATGTATTTTAAGTAGATGCGAAACATTACATTACTTCAATAGTTCTAGATATTCTTCATAACGTGAACTTTAATATAATTTTATACGTATTTATTTTAATATAACATTATACGTATATAATGTTTAAATATTTGCAAAATTAAATTTAACTTTTAAATATATTTCTTCTTGAATTTAATGTAATATTTAAATGTTGAAAAAAGCCAAGTTTGTAAATATTACGATAAGAAAACGTCTTTAAATGCGTCGCTGTTTCCTCTTTCAGGATCATAAATCCCAATATCGTCTTGATCTCGCGAGCGTTCAGGCATCAGTTCATAATTCCCGACTGGTCAGGTTTCACAAAACACATCGAAGATTTTTATTGGAAATGCAAAACGAACACCGAAGGCAAGGTCGCCTCCTATATACCGCAGTTAGCCAAGATGAATCCAGAATATTGGGGCGTATCCGTGTGCACCATTGATGGTCAGCGATTCAGCATTGGAGATACCTCAATACCGTTCACCCTTCAAAGCTGCAGTAAACCTTTGACCTATGCGATAGCCTTGGAGAGGCTGGGTAACGAAGTGGTGCATCAGTACGTTGGTCAAGAGCCGTCCGGTAGAAATTTCAACGAGCTCGTACTAGATTATAATAGTATGTACTATATTTGGTCGAAAAAAATGATACAATTTGAATAACAGTAAAAAATCAATTAATAAATTTGGTATTTAAGTTATTTTAAATTTAATTAAAAATTAAGAAAAAAATGACAAAATGTGAAGTGCTTTATTATTATTTTTTTTATTTTGACTTATACGATCAATTTGTAATACAAATGGATATCTTTTTAGAGAAGCCGCACAATCCAATGATCAACGCCGGCGCGATATTAATTTGCTCGCTTCTGAAAACGTTAGTCAAGCCGGAAATGGGCCTGGCCGAGAAATTCGACTTCACGATGAATTGTTTCAAAAGATTGGCCGGTGGTGAGAATCTCGGGTTTAACAACGCCGTCTTTTTGTCAGAGCGAGAGGCGGCCGATCGAAATTACGCTTTAGGATTTTACATGAGGGAGCACAAATGCTATCCGGAAAAGACGAATCTGCAGGAAGTTATGGATTTCTATTTCCAGGTAGATATTTCTTCCTTATGTAGTCATTGAAACAATTTAAATAAAGCATTACACAGTAAAAAATCGTACGTCCAAATGTTAAAATTTTCTTGTGTTACCAAGATTTGGCTATTATTTTAATGTAAAATTAACATACAACAGCTATGTTATTATTTTCGTAACATTTTCATGTGTTATATTAATGTCAACGTGATAACTTAACACTTTATGTATGTCATTTAGAAACTGAATATTATTCTGAGTTATTTTAACATAATTATTTCAAAAAATCAACACGCCTTAAAGTTATTTTAACATAAACAAAAGTTAAAGTAAATTTTCAAATAATCGTAAACTTTGACATACAAAATAATCAAATTTACTACAATCAAATGTTCAAAACAACATTTCTCTTAAGTTGAAATAACTATCGTTTATTCAAATATGTTATTGCGACATTTTTTAAAAGTTATTTTTACATTATACTTAAAGTTAAAAGAACAAATATAAATGTAAAATATAATGTCAATAAATTAACATTTCTAATTTGTCAACAAGTAACACATGATGAATGAGTTATTTTAACTCAAAATTTAGAGTAGACTTTCTGGGGCATTTGAAAAATGTTTATTAAAATATGTTTATAAATATGTTTATAAAAATATTTATACGATTAACATTTTATTTTTTACTGTGTACGGACTCATTTTTAATTATTAGGAACAAAAATTAAAATAAAATAAAAATTTATGAATGTACGCTAAATAATAGTTTTCGATATCTTTTTACTGAATAAACACGAGTCTGTTTTAGTTTAATTCGTGGTACATCTTTCAATTTCCCTTTTGACTACGATACTGAGGAACCAGACTAAACCGCCTCTATTTCTATTTCGGGTATTTGTGCGTATGTAACGTTCTGACGATAAATTTTGTTTTTACTGGCAAGTGCTGCGCTATGGAAGCAAATTGCGAGACAATGTCGATAATGGCAGCTACATTAGCGAACGGCGGCATTTGCCCGATTACCGAGGAGAAGGTCCTAAAACCGGACAGCGTCCGCGATGTCCTGAGTCTTATGCACAGCTGCGGCATGTACGACTATAGCGGACAATTCGCGTTCAAAGTGAGTTAAAAAAAGAAAAATGCACCGTGTAATATCTTCGGAAATCAAAATAAATGGTTCAAAGAACACACGAAATTAAAAGGCTCAACAGACTTTTCAGAACCATAACCGGCAACTGTTTAGTTATAAAAAACTTTTACTGCGTTGCTTTATTGCGTAAATATGTTAATTGACATGATACGTAATCTGGTTTTGGATAATAATTTATTTACTGTACGTATGATGCCAATATCGATGTAAAGCTTTGATAAAAATCGATACTTTACATTTTATTCTATGTTATATTTTATTCTAGGTTGGCATACCGGCCAAGTCCGGCGTGTCGGGAAGCCTTCTCGTGGTAATTCCAAACGTCATGGGAATTTGCACGTGGTCACCACCCTTGGATCCGCTCGGCAATTCCTGTCGCGGTGTGCAGTTCTGCGAGGAGCTCGTGCGCGAATTTAACTTCCACAGGTAACGATACAGTTAATCAATAATCAAATTGTTTATCTAAAAAAGAAAACAAAAAAAGTTGATGAGCGATTAAAAAATATTATTTCAAATCTTTAAATTGTTCTTTTTTCTTACTTAAACATTCAACATGATTAAAAAATTTGAATACACTGTGTAGGTTGTACAACTATTATTATGGAACATTTTTTTTGAAATTTATCTGAGTTCCTTATTCCTTGTAATTTACGTTATAGTCGATCATAAACTTCATCGAAACTGAAATTCAACTTTTTTTCTTTGCCCTTTCTCGTGACGTTATTAGATAAACCTATTTCATAATATGACTACAGGTACGATAATCTGAAGCACGCGACGAATAAGAGAGATCCTAGACGGCACAAATACGAAACGAAAGGCCTCTCGATCGTTAATCTTCTGTTCAGCGCTGCCAGTGGTGACGTCACAGCGATGAGAAGGTGAGTTACTCTTTTAAAAACCTGTTTAATAAAGATAAATGCGCGAACCTGTGTTGCGCGTTTTTTTTTAATCATATTTCTGTACATGAGAAATTTTGCACCGGTGATGAAATTTAACGGAGGCAAAGAAGTATTAGAAGTTTACATATAGTTATATTAGTTTTGATTGTTATCGATAATTTCAGACACCGATTGAGTGGGATGGATATGACACTGTCGGATTACGATGGCAGAACCGCGTTGCACTTGGCCGCCAGCGAAGGTCATCTAGATTGCATCGAGTTTCTGATCGAGCATTGCGGGGTCCCACATGATCCCAAGGACAGGTACAACTTGAGCACTGCTTCAAGATCCAGTTACAATGATTATTTCACGAATTGAGTATAATCTGACAACGGATTTTTGGCAATTATTACGAATAATTAATCTATTATAGTTCTTTTTTAAAGCACACTTTTTACATACGGAATAAGCAAATATATTCTCTTTTTCTAATCTTTATTTGTAAATTATTTAATACATTTAAAGTTAATGTTTTCTAAATTAGAATTTAATTCTTTTCTATAATTTTTTTTACAATTTTTTAAATGATTAATATTTTTTCTTTATGCTAGAATTAATCGTTTTCATGTGTTTCCAGTAGCTCTTATCTTTATGCATGCCATGCAATTAAATTTGAAAACATATCGTGTTTTTAGATGGGGTAAACGACCAGTCGACGAAGCCGAGACTTTCGGGCACGTGCAGGTGGTGGAGTATCTGAACAACTACGCTCTCGTCCGTAAGACCGAATTAGAGAACAAACAGAACGAACGTATCGATGAAGTTAAACCGGAAACGGCAGTGCAGTCGCCGTGAGCAATAAGCGATGACGAATTTATTCGGAACTGGAGTGAGTCGAGGAACCGAGGGTGAGGGTGGGAACAAGGACTTACGTGAAAGCTGTCGAGTGGAGAAAAAAACGAGACGACGTATCGATCGTAGTAACAGCAGAACGAGGTCGCAAGAAAATACGTTTTTATTCTATGTAACCAGAGAATTTTTCAATATTATATTATTTGAATGGTATAGCACATATATGATATATAGAATTATTTCATAACTATATTTATGTAGTAGCTAATCGCAATTAGTAAATGCGTTTTGGAACATATTTTTTATTTATCAACCTTAATGCAAAAAAATTTTTACATCAGCCTTAAACGGACAATAACGGGGAACAATCATTCTATCAGTTTTTGAACGCGTGACCTCGTTCTATTTACGCGCGACAGATTCGAGTTATCTCAGCATTGAGCAACATACTCAGATTAAGAATAACTGTGATTAATATTACGTATGGGTCTTTTTTCCATGATTTAGTTTATTAAAAGTGAGAAGTTTGTTTCCATTACTTTATTAATTTATATGTTACTTCTACCTCGTATTCTTTACTATCGTATTCCTCACCATCATATATTCACTCTTTAAGATACACTTCGATATCTTTTCTGCTTTTGAATGTAAATGCGAGAGAAACTTCCAATTTACATATCAGATCAATAAAAGTACAAACCAAGTGCTATCCGATTTTTAAGTTTGAAATATTCTGTCTTTATGTTTGACAGAATATTCAGTTAACAGGAGATAATATGCTTTAATTACTTCACAATTTTGAATAATTTGAGCTATTTTTGAGCTGTTATATTTAATAAGGCATAAATTCTTTTGTCTTTTATCGACACAAGTCTATCTTAAAAACGAGGCAAAAAAAGTGGCTATTTCGGGAATAAATTTTTAGAATTAATTTGTTCAATAATAAAGTATTTCGCCCGACAGCAAAATACATTAATGTAAAAAAATTACTAACGTTGTAAAATAAGAGTCAATTTAATGAATTGAAAATTTTAAATAAGCATAGACTATTTAATACGTATAAATTGAGGTTGTAAGAGACATTAAATATTTCCGTTTTTTATTTTCTAATTTCTTTTTTTTTCTCTCACATTTAAATAATATAAAAACAATAATTTTATAAAATTGAAGATATTGACAAATTGTCATATTGTCTCAACACAGTGGCGCTTATTATTATTCCTCTATTTAATTCTGGAAGTAGTAAGTTATTTTTCTAATACAATGGCGCATAAATACGCAAATAACTAGCCAATCGGGAAATACAGATGTTATCTCGGTGGAAATTCTTCGTAACAAATCGCGCGTGAATCGTGCGTTAAACATATCTTTCTGAATATACTTTCCGTGATGTTTTAGAGATTCTTTGAAGATATGGAATGTATATCCGTCTTAGAGAGGAATATTTACTATTTCGCAAGCGTCCATTGTGAGAGAAACTCTTAAAAAAGTATTAACTTAATGTGATATCTTAATAGAGAGACATATTTTATTTTAACAACGTCCCTCTTTTCTTCATTATGTTCTTTAATAACGTAATGTTATTAAAGTTAGTTAATGTTTTTTAAAAAAGTTTACGTCTGTATTAAAAATTAGTTACCTTTCGATTGTTTTTATCTATTGTTTGGAAAAAGGCAGATAAATAATCTGTGCAGATAATTTTTATGTCATTCATAATTAATTAAAGAATTAGGCATTTACATGAGAGACGGAATGTTACGGTAATCTCTATTTCTTCCGTCTATAATATCATCTACTATAATGTATAGAATAATATGTACGTTGTTTCCATAGATATAGTTAAACGGATAACGCCAATTCTGAGTACAATTATATGCTTATTTTTCAGTGTATGAGCGAGTACTCAGTATCGCCATACTGTTGTTGTTACGCTACATAAATGTGCCGACAGATGCAAAAAGGCTGGAAAAGTCAATTTCTCGCGAACGCGTCAACTATAACGATTACGATTACGCTAACAATTACACTAGCGATTATATATATATTCTATGTATGTTAGACAACTATATTTTCGAATAAATTAGCTAGGATCGCTTCGCGTAGAGAGAAACCTGATCTTATATTTTCAAACGGGCAAAAGATGACAATAACGTTACATCGTATGAGAACGTAATTCTCATGTGAGAGGTGGATATAGATTCGTAATTTTTTGTCACTAAAAGAACAGAATTTATGTGGCATAAAACTGTTTATAATACATTTTAAGAAATGTATAATTTTTTTACCTAATCTATTCGTGAGGAATTAGTTACAGTATTAGTAGATGTGAGATAAGTTTAACAACGAAAAGCCTTCACATATTTTTCTATGATAGTTATATTAACATATGTATATGACTGTGGCGTTTTTAATTAAACAATTGTTGAGAAATTCGATAATCTCAAACTTCCTATTTCTAAAAAGATTTTATTTATAGTTAGTAAATTGTTTGTGTAATTTGTGCAATCCAGACCAAGTATTGCGTCCACCTCTGTACTTGTTCTGTCTATGAAATAAAGTATTAAATAAAAAATAATTTGCGTCTCTACTTTACTTATCATAATTTTATTTAAATTTATTTTTTTAATATTAATAATATTATTAAATTAATAATAATAAATATTAATATAATAAATGTTAAATTTTTATAGATATTAATTTATAGATATTAATTGTCTCGTCGTTTATAATATTTGTACTGTTAATAATAATTTATAATACGTACTCTACAATTGTTTAAGATTAATTATAATTGTGCGTTCAATTTTACAATATAAAGACAGCGGAAACATAAAATTTCGCGAATAATTGAGTGCAATAAGAAAAAATACAAATTGCTTATTATTCATATTTGAGACAATAAATTCTGATATTTTGTATATTTACATTAATTAATGACAAACTTATCGATCAGACGATTGTAAAATACGCAGAATACATGAGCCGTCTTGATAACGACTAGATCATCAAATAAACATTAAACGAGCTCCGTACTTTCGTGACGTAATATCATCATTAGGAATATAAAACGAGGACTAGGAAGAAGTAATAAATAAGAATATTGAAAAATGAAGATTGACTTTGACCTCGACATTGCGCGCAATATCAGCGATTTTATGTACGAGTCAAACGCGTCATACGCGCGCTAATCGGCGCGAAGCAAGCGCGGATAATCGTTGCAATTTAGACGAGCCGTAACAAAACGTTATTATACCTATACTGATGGCTGGCGGTAAGATGCGCTGAAAAAATCCATTCATTCGTACGATAAATGTTCAACAGGACGTACAACAACCTACGTTAATATAGTGATTAAAAAATAATTTTGCTTAGACAATGATCGCACCTGATAATTGGGGACAATGTAATTTTGTTTCTTTTATTGTTAATTAATCCTCCGTCTGTATACGTATGTCTAGAATACGGCATCCGAGCCAAAATGATGATCTGCTCCTAACTGTAAAACTTGTAAATTTGCCAGAAAATATTAAACAATGTTTATCAAAATGACTATAAAATCGTCAACTACAATATAGACAGATGTTTCATATTTTTTTTCAGCTTTTTAAAAATATTTTAAAGGTAGGAAAAATAGTGTCGAACGTGATAGACCCACGTATACATTTTGAGGATGCAGAAAAAAAAACGTATGCGGAGGGTTAACAATAATTAATAATTACAGAAGCAAAATTACATTGTCCCCGATTATTAGGTGCGACCTTGTTGGAATTACATCCTCGAAAATGTGCACTTATTTCGTATAGTACACAGAAAGAACGGTTTTGCTGAAGTATCTAAAAATTTAGCTAGATACAGATTCAAAAATTATTTTGGAACATCAAAATAATTATGTAAGTAGAACACTCAAACTGATTGCTAAAATGTCAAAATTTTTTACAGCTTTATCATCAATGATGATTCATTATACTTTAGCGGCCTACTATAATTATTTTGACGGTGCAACAAAATTATTTTCAGATCTGTATCTTAGCTAAATTTTTAGATTTTAGCAAAACCGTTCTTCCCCCCCTCCCCCCCCCGTGCAGAATTCACGTATTTACAATAATTTATGTAATATAATAATTTCAGTAATTTTATAAATTAATTAGTATTTTTATTGAAATATTTATGTAATGTACAATACGCCATACATTATCTCTGTAAATGCCGATGACAGTAACAATTCCATTCTAAACAATATATGATTAATAGTCCGCTGCCCACGGAAATACATGAATTACGTCATTGTTCGTCGTGTATCGTACCGCAGTTACAGCACGTAAGCCAAACGGTTGGGTTTTCCTGACTAAATTTTGTTGCTCGGCTGATTGTGAGCTGCACCGTAACATGTGAGTCATTAAAAATACTCGACGACTTTCCGTGGGCTTTGCATTCACCGTGTGACTTTATTCTGTAATATTGGCATTCTCTATTTCGATTCATTCGATCTTGATTCATTCTTTTCACGACTTCGATTGAATCATTGCCTTTTTACATCATGTATCTTTCTTAGTGTCAAGTTATTAATTAAATTACTAATTAAGAAATTTCTTTCTAAGAAATTAAATTTCTAAAAATTTCTCTTTGTTATCTGATCTCTATAATAAAAATAATTGTCATTATATGATTTCTAGTAGAAATGTTTGTTCTTAAAAAAGTTATTATTCAAGAATAAATAATATGCTTATTTTAATGCAGTTTTTGATTTGTTATTGGGCAGTTATACTGACTTTTTCTAGTAACTGAACAGAAAACTGTTTATAGGATTCCAATCAAGATGTAATGCTTTTCGCGTAATTACTGCACAGAAAAGACGTACAAATTCTGAATTCAGTTACTTAGCAGTTACTTAGCATACAGTAAAAGGACAATGTAATCATATACACACATATCTGGTATTTTAATATTTTTAATAATTTATCATTGTGTAAATGAGGTATTCTATATGACACTATCCATTTTTGTATCTTCTATATTTTATTAAAGTCTTCATTAGACTCTGTATCAAAGCTTTTTTTATTTCTTTTATCTCTCTATTTAATTCTTTTATTTATATTATCAAAATAATCTGAATAATTTTAAGAAATAAAACTAATATATTATTAATAACATAAGTAAAATAAATAAAACAAATATAGTAATAACATTTTTTGTTACTCACATATCTCTTATTTACGTGTGTATTTTTCTCATTCGTCACTTCCAATCTTTGACAATTGTAACTTTGACATTTATAACTTCATCTCTTGCTTTAACTAATTTTGCCCAGTGGCTATATGCAATATTTTTGTATATAAAAAGAAATCTTAGTCAGTAATACTATAGTAACTGCTTGGGTGTTCGGTCAAACTGCACAAATTTCTACCAGGTAATTTTTACAATAAAATATAAAAACTGATAAATAAGATTTAAATTAATTGACATATATGTTTTATAAAAATTTATATTTAACAACTGGCTTGAGAGACGTCGTAAAAACTAATTTATCGCAAAATTTACACACTTTTCATGAGTTTTTTTTTAGATATAATACGTAATTTACAATAATGTAACCAAATATATGTAGAAACATTTCTTATATTACATTTATGGATAAAATAAATAATTTTAAGATGAAGATACCATTTTTATTTTATGACACAAGCTTGCCTTGGCCACATCATGGGGATTCCCCGATTATTGACATGCACGGTGAATCCTCGTGGACCAATTGACATGGAATTACAACTTGAATTAAAGATTAGAAAGTCATTATCTGAAGATAAACATTTATACTCGAGAATCAAGTAGCTTGTTCACGTGCTTATCATCCGTCATTATAATGACGTAAATGGAAATAACGAACTACTATTGCAAAGTAAAGATCAAGCGTTCATGTATACGAATATCTGTATTTATGATTAGCGACGAGACCGACCGTATTATCATCAAAGATAATTATTTATTTTCCGGCCGCTTATACGAATATACGTGGAACGAAATCGAGCTCCGTTTCATTATTCAACCAACTCTGAGTAACGCTGTTTTAAATTCACGATCAACGGATTCCCTATTTCTAATAGGGGAATCTGAATTAATTATGTAAAAGAGTTACGTATGTTACTTGATAACGGATTCACTACATTAAAGAAAAATTTACACGCTTATTGTTTTGTTTATTCTCTTTCTTCAGGAACTACAGTTACTATGTTTTAAGTGCTAACATTATTTACATTATACAGTGTAATTTATATTTATATTTTATATTTATTTATATATTTTAAATTTTATTAGTTAGTCAGGTGTCTTTATTGACTCCCCGAAGAGTTGAGGCCCCCGAACAATGAAAAATATAAGGAACAAGGAACAGATATTAGCGATTAGAAATAAGAAATAAAGCTGGTGTAGCCTTAATACACGGCTTTCGATAGGTTAAAAATCTATGTGTTATTTCCTATTTCTGTTGCCTGTATTTTTCATCGTGCATTCAACTTTATTCCTGATTCTTTAGTCCTAATCGCTAATATCTGTTCCTTGTTCCTTATATTTTTCATTGTGCAGAGGCCTTTACAATAACTTCTGTTTTTATATGTTAAATATTATACAAGTAACATATTATAAATACCTATTTTTTTTACATTATGAACTTATCAATGTCATATTCATATCACATTTTATGTTATTTTGTTTTATTATTGTCCGTCTTGTTGCTTTTTCTTTTTTGCTCTACTTTCTTTCTCCCTTTTGTTTTGTCTCCTTTGCTTCCTTTCGTAATAACTCTATCATCTACTCTTAAATTTCTATGTCTGTCCACTCGATATATTCCTCCAATGCATGCTGCCACGTCTCAACTCTCCAACCATACAGTTCGCATTTCTGTTTCCTTCCTTTTCTTAATATTTTGACTGTTTGACTCTATTCCCCAGCCTTGCTATCTTTGCTCATCTTTCCTTTTTTCATTCTTTCGTCAAATACTTCGATAATTCCATTGTCTATATTTCTTTTGTACCATTTGTTGCACTTCGATTCTCTTAGCCTCTACTATCTTTTTTTCTTTTATTTCCTTTTTTAATTTTCTTTCTATTCTACCTTCGTCCATTTCACCTTAATGCATTCCTGTAGTTTTCTCCTTATCACATCCATTTCTTTTTCCTTCATTACTCATTACTGTAATTCTGTTTTTTTCTTATTTCGATAAGTTCTTTGCTCTTCTAGCTGTTTTCTCTATCTTCTCTCAGTATGATCTCGCTAATCCATTTTCCTTACTTTCTACTTTCTCTTTGTATCTCCATGTTTTTTTTAAACTTGTAATCTTGAATTTTTTCCCTTAAATTCTTTCTTTATGATATTTTCAAGTGTTATCTATATATAATCAGCTCATACTATCTATTTAACCTTCCGAGAACACATAGAGTCAATTTGACCCTGTTTTTTTGCCAGAAAAATTTTTAACCAAAAATATTAAAAATAAAAAAAATAATTTTTTTTTCGTAAATTATGTTTTTTTTTAAAGTACACTCATGGGTCAATCTGATCCTATATACACACTTTGATCGTCCATCATTTTAAATTGACGAGTGTGATCAGCTTAAAAAATTTTTCAGATGTACTTGGAACATTGTTAAATCAATTGATATAAATAAAAAGTGCCGTTGAAATTATTTACAAATTTAAAAAAATTAAAAAAAATTTTTTTTAAATATTTTTTTTTTTATTTTTTTTAAATATGTAAATAATTCCAACAGCACTTTTTATTTATATCAATTGATTTAACAATGTTCCAAGTACATCTGGAAATTTTTTCAAGCTGATCGCACTCGTCAATTTAAAATGGTAGACGATGAAGGTGTGTGGTAGGGTCAGAGTGACCCAGAGTGTTCTCCGTGAATAAAAAAATATATAGGTGTGTTCTCGGAGAGTTAAAAAATTTTTGTGGATACTTTCCATTTTCCCTCAATTGTTCCAATCCCATATCTCCCATATCATATCTTTCATTATCGTCTAAATGTCAAACATCCATATTCTTATTTTCCAATTTTTTCCAAATCTTTTCTTCCCAATTCTCCATTATACACCTCTCATTGCTATGTTTGCTTTTCTAATTCTTTCCTGTATTTAACTTGGGCCAGATTCTTTTATTTAAACGTCTTAACTTATTATTCTATCATTTTCCCTCTCCGTTTCCAATTCTGCTTCCTCTCTCTTCCCTCCTTATTTCAAATTTTATTTAGATTTGCATATACATATTATATGAAGATTTGATTCACGAATACAGACAAGCGATAGTTGAACACTATAAAAAAAGAAAGTATGTTTCTATCTCTTTATCTTCCCACAAAATTAGCATTAATGATTTTAATTTGCAATTATAGAATCAGTTTAAACAAAGTATGTATATACAACAAAATTTGATAGATATAACGAATATATTTGCATCTCCTAATATACAACTAAATCGGATATACTTAACTATTATCGATATTACAAGTCGTGCTTTTTACAATTAAGTTTTACGATTTTTTAGGCGTTACCGGATTTCTGCAAGCAGTTAATTCATCGATGGCCAGTCATTGAACCTGACCTTGAAGAACCGGAACGATACAGGTTTCGCAAGAAGCTTAAGGAAGAATTTACGAAATAGCTTCGTGTTTGTGACTGGTTAAATTGACTATTGCTTGATACCTACTATTGCTTGACCGCAGACATAATTACTTCACCATAATGTACTCACTAAAAAATAATATCCTTTAATAATTTTTCGAAATTATCAATGAAATATTATCTCTACGAAGCAATTTCAAAAATTTATTTCTTCGAGATTAATGTTGAAAAATGATACCAGCCAAGTTTAATTAACATAAAACTCATTATAAATATTTTTATTTATATTTTTGCGATTTTTAGTATATTTCTTTATTACTTTTTTAACTGTAATAAAATTTGTCTTTAATTTAATTTAAGTATAAAAATCTTGATAACATATTTTTGATAAACTGATACCGATATAATTACATACGTACAAATATATTGAATTTAGAAAAACTTGAACTTAATTAATCTTTTTCTTTATCTTATTATATTCTTTCCTTGACCTAATATAGATCTTCATTGCTATAGTAATAAAATTTGTCACTGCAAAAGAGAGTATTTCGAGGACTGCAATTTTTATTTCTATTATTTCAAAATATTAGCCCGTTATTTCCATGTGTATTCATTGGTTTTTCCCTGCATATATTACTTTTTATATCCCCTTCTCATATAGTTATTCTAATAATTATTATTAAATTTGACTTTTTACGAATATTTAGCGAGTAATATGAGATGTAAAAAAGTTATTAATATTAATTATTGATATTGTCAATTCTCTATCAATTTTTCTCGGTTACTTACGATCACATCGCGCTTATACGATTTGAATTTATGGACAACGCTTACTCGGATATATATCTACGTAGGTTGGTTGTAATTATTTATGTTAATAAAAGACAGAGAAAAGATAAATTGTTTTTTTTTTTGTAACATTTAGTCATTGCTTGTCTGTATTAATAAGCCAAATTTTTTTCTCGAGTTCTATTTTGCTACACTTACAAAATGTTTCTCTTTTAGAAAGATCAACACGATAAATAATAATTTGTACAAGAGATATTATTATATTAAATTTAAAATAAAGTACACCATACAATAAGTGTTAATTTTTTTATTTAATTAACAAAATAATTAAAATGTCTTTATAAGATAAATTATAGAAACTTGAATGCCGTTTATTGTCATTTTACATTCCGCTTAAATTTGTGAAAAATATATATCTTCAATTCTTTAGCTATACGATTATTGATTGTCGTATAGTCATCGGTATAAAGAGGAGACAGATTTTAGTGAATCTCCATACACATGCTTGCGAGATATGTCATCTTGACTGCTTAAATTGCAAATGACTTCGTCACATCGCTAAGACTGTTTGGAAATCAATATTTTTCTTAGGTATTAAATTTATTGCTTATGCAAGAGCCGGGAGTAGTTAGTGTGTCTTTATTTTATCATCGGAAATAATATTTCCGCTTAATACAAATATTTGCAATTATTTCTCTAAATAAAAACCTTCGAAATGGGTTGCAAAAGAAAATTGATTTATTTGTTCACACGCGTTAAAAAATTAAAAAAAGAACTGATAAATAAATCTAACAACTTCTTTTACTATATTGCTTTTCTCTCCCTTTTTTTCTCTTTTTCCCCTAGTCCTTCTTTTATATTTTTTCCAAAGTTTTATTATTTACAACTAAAGCTAACATAAAATCGTAAAAACACATCACTTTTTATTGGATTGTTCATATTTACTGCATCCTTCAATAAACGGAAAAAAATGACCCGGGAGCGAAAATAAATGAATACTTCACCGAAATGAGTAGACCTTGATAACCGACTCTACAAATCACAATCAAGCGGCAAAATTGTTGTCGTTCGATCAGCTTTCATCAATCATTTTCAAAATTATCAGTATTCGATGTAACGTTTATATCCAATGTTATAACTGCATAGTTTGCGTAAAGTTTATAGCACAAAAAAGTATACTGCTCTAAAATGTAATGTTTCTCGGGATCAATGTCAATTTCGTAGAAATGAAATATTGCAGGGAATCCTCTAAATGGAATCATATGCCGGAGAACGCGATACGAGAGAGAAAGAGAGAGAGAGGGGTCAATTATTGTCCGACGTAAAATCCACGCGTGTGTCGTATATAAGATGTTGTCCTCGTGCGGGAGCTTCAGTCGCTCTTGACTCTCCGACCATCGGCGAGACAGATAAAAACAAGGAGAGATACGTGCGTGATAGACAAATAACGGAATTTTTTTAATCATTTCGGAAGTGAAAATTTCATCATGAGGTTGTTTAGGTGTTTGGTGCCGGTAGTGGTGCTGCTTTCGATTAAGGACTCTTCTGCAAAGCCTGGTGAGTTTTAAATCTTTTTTTTCCTTTTGCACAACTTAAGATTTAAGAGGAATGTTATGGCCAGATTCTAGATATTTATATAATGATGACCTAATGTCTGATTTGAGAAGATTATGTCACACCGAAATAACTTCTGGCTTTTTTCTGCGAAATTAAAAAGAATTAAAATAACTATTGACTTTTTCTATAAAATTAAACAACTTCTTTGCTTCGACCAAATCGCTAGTGCTTGTTAAATTAATAAATACTGCCAGTTTGGTCGAAGCAAAGGAGTTGTTTAATTGTATTACTCACTGGCAAAGAAAAAGTACCTTATTTGTTTTTCTATTAAATATTCAGACAAGATAATAAGTTTTTAGTGGAATTAATCGATAAAAGAGAAAATATCACGGAATGTGCAGAAAAAAGTCGTAAATAACGTTATCATACAACGTCACTTTGGATAATCTTCTTAATTTATTTGTAAAGGCGTAATACGCGATTTGGTCGCTGGCAACGTCGGCAGGGTCGGCAGTTTGTTGGACCCGTTAGGACTCTTGAAGCCTAAAGGCGGTAGCAATGCTAATGCCCAGGCTAATGCCCAGTCGTTAGGAGGAAATTTGAATTTCGGGCCTGTTGGGGTCGGCGGTGGATTCTCCTCGGCCTCGTCGTCGGCGACGGCGAACAGCGGCGGCGGCGGTGGCGGCGGCGGCGGCGGCGGCTTGGCTTCCGCTTCTGCGAAAGCGGATGCTCAAGCTGGCGGATACGGAGGATACGGCGGTTCGAATGCAAACGCAAACGCGCAAGCGTCTGCCACTGGTAACGTACAAGGTATGCTGTCGCGTATGTACACAAATAAAGACATGTTTCTAAAGTTTTGAACTTCCTTTAAAGCGTGCGGTTTAAACAGGATGTTAGACCGATTGAGAAGTAACAATAATAAAAGTCTTAAAATATTTGTTCTTTATATAATATAAGTATTACACCTTAAAAATATTATCCGGATATTCTATGCTATTACATATGAGATATCTTGGAGATATTATGATTTTTTAGCATCTTGAGATATCTTGACAAAATTCCGACTTTTCGTTTTATGCTGTATAAGTTACTTTGATAACTCCATTTTTTTAATTATCTAGAACTATTTCTAACAATGGTATTTTTTATTCAAATATGCGTTTAAATTTTTACTTTTATTATTATCATTTTTATCATTATCATCAACACGTTAACAAATGATGCGCTTTTAACGTAGGTTCCTCGGGAATTCCCGGGGGGTATTACGGCAATAATGGCGGGACCAGCGGTTATTACCCTGGCGATTCTCATCCAGTCCATCAACCGACGAATTACGGAAGTTACGGTGGCTCTCAGTCCGGTGCTAACGCTAACGCTAACGCGAACGCGAATGCAAATGCCAATGTCATCGGCAGTGGCGGAGTGCAGCCGATTGGTCCCTCATATTATCCTTCCCTGCCCCAGAACATCGGTAATACTAACGCGAACGCTGGTGCAAACGTCCTGTCTAGTGGCGGCGTGATTCCCGACAAGTATCCTGGCGGAGAAGTAGATAGAATAGAAGTCATTCCCGTAAACACGCTGCCACTCGCTCGACCATCCCCGTCGTCTGTAATCCATCCGGTACCCTACCAGCCACATGGAGCAGGTAAGGAAGATGTGATTGTCGTTGTCGAGGAAACTCCGCAATACCCGCCGTATCATCGTCCGAGTCTGCCCCATTACCACCATCACCACCGTCGTCCGAATTACGGCAAAGCGAAACAACAGCCCGTCGAGATTATCATCGTCGAGGAACCGGCGGGGCCTAGTCCAGGTGATACTTCATGATCGAGCGCACTTGAAAGTCATCGTGTCGTCATCGACTTCTACGCACTAACTGAAGGCAGCTCCATTTTTCTGCACTGTCTTTACGCAATTCTTCATAGAATCTATGTCATAATCGTCCTAGGTAGCAGGATGACGTTTAAAGATGTCTTAATGACGTATTATTGACGTAAGAGATTTCATTAAGACGTTATTAATACGTCATTTGACTACCTCTGTGCTACTCTTTGTATATGTCTTATTGTATGGGTGTACAATGTTGGTAATTAAATGGTAATGAAATTCGAATTGGCTAAGAGCCACTCAAAATACTCGTGAATAATCAGTTTCTTTGTGTACAGCTAATTTACATAATTAACGTGCACATCGTTTCATGTACTCCTCGCTTCGCCGATCAAAACATCTTATGCTTTACGTTGGACGGAAGTTATATGTGTTCAAGAATATGTGTAAACGAAAAACATTTTCCGTGTTGTGTGTGTGTGTGTGTGTGTGTGTGTGTGTGTGTGTGTGCGTGTGTTTTGTGTGTTATACTCGAGTTGAAGGTTAAAAATCTCAGTTTTTAAGATGTTCTTTAATTAAATATTTCTGTAACGACGAGAGAGAGACAAGAAACAAGGACGCCGCCTAATAATGCACTTTCGCTGTTTTCCTCCATCATGACACGCACTCTAAATGGAAAATACACGGAACGAAAAATCTGATGTTAAGCGTGACTGAGACTGAGAGCATAAACCTCGTGATTTTTGTATGACGCGTGTTATTTTAATCTTCATACTTGTATATAGCATGTTTTCATGTATCGATCTTCATGTGTCATATGTAATGTTATACAAATATGATAAGAGAAAACTAATATATTTTAAATATTTCTTTACAGCTGATGGCTACGGAATTGGCGGCGTTCAAGGAACTCATCCCTATAAAGGCAATCCATTCTTAGGCGGCGCGGGATCAAATGCTAACGCCAATGCTGATGCTCAGGCTGGTGCAGGCGGAAACAGCGAAGGTGTCCTGGGGGGACACGGTGGTTATCAACAACAAGGATATCAACAACAAGGGTACCAACAACAAGGGTACCAACAACAAGGGTACCAACAACATGGGCATCAACAACAAGGGTATCAACAACAAGAATATCAACAACAAGGTGGTTCAATCTATCCAGTACAATCATCAGGGCAAGACAGTCATCCGATCGGCGCTAACAATCCCTTCTTAAATCCCGTCGGGTTTTCCAATGGCAATACTGCTGCCAACGCAAACGCGGAAGCTGGTGTCATCGGAGAAAAACCGATAGGCGTGAATAATCCGTTTTTCAATGGCGGCGTATCCCATGGCGGAGGAGAAGAAGTGAATTATCAACTGGGAAGTTCGGATATTTTGAGCGAGAAACCAAAAGGCATTCCTACCACTTACCCCGGACAATCAGTCGGAGTAGGATTTCCAGGTTCGCTCGGAGGTAATGCTGGCGCTATTGCCAACGCCAACGCCAATGCCAACGCCGGCGCTGGAGCGGGCGCTGGAGCCGGTGGTGTTGGAGGAGGATACGGACCGATCAAGCAAACTCCTATATTAGTTGGTTCTGACGGATATAGACCCATAGGCGGATCTTCGGGAGTTCCTAGTGGTCACGGAACCGGTGCAGGTTATGGTGGACAAGTCGGTGGTTCGTCTGGTGCTAATTCCAATGCCAATACTAATGCCGGAGCCGCCGGCGGTAGCTTCGGAGGATCCGGCGGACATGGATCCGTTGTCGCAGGATCTGGAGGTCACGGGGAATACGGCGGAGGCTCTTTCGGTCAAGGTGGCGGTGGATATGGAACCGGTGGTACAGTCATTCCCGCTCCACATGCTGGAGGTTCTTCCGTCGCCAACGCTGGCGCCAACGCTAACGCTGGAGCTGCCGGTGGTAGTTTAGGAGGATTCGGCGGACATGGACCCGTTGTCACAGGATCTGGAAGTCACGGGGGATACGGCGGAGTCTCTTACGGTCAAGGTGGTGGTGGATATGAAACCGGTGGTGCAAACATTCCCAGCGGACATGCTGGAGGTTTTTCCGATGCCAATGCTGCAGCCAACGCCAACGCCAACGCTAATGCTGGAGCCGCCGGCGATAACTTGGGAGGATCCGGCGGACATGGACCCGTTCTTGCAGGATCTGGAGGTCACGGCGGATACGGCGGTAGCTCTTACGGTCAAGGTGGCGGTGCGTATGGAACCGGTGGTGCAAACATTCCCAGCGGACATGCTGGAGGTTCTTCCAATGCCAATAGTAATGCCAATGCTAACGCTGGAGGTTCCGGTAATGTCCTCGGTGGATACGGAGACGGCGTTAAAGGAACGGGACATGCCGGTGGACATGGTGGTCAAGGTGGACTCGGCGGATCTGTCGGAGGAGGTATATATGTGTTTTACGTTTATACGTAAAGATTTATATATGTGTTGTGTGTGATGTCCTGTATGAAAAAATTTACGTATCAAACGCATGTAAATCTCCAAATTCGGGAAATTTGTTAATTTGTGCCGTTGCATAGCGCGTAGTATTTAAAACTGGCAGCTAAAATAGTCACTACTTTATTAGTAATAAGCACGACTTCCTTTAATTGTTACCGTCATTATGTAATTGTCGATGTTTATCTTTGACACGTAACATTCTATTATATGTAAATATTCATCGTTCAGATGATCGTCGAACAAATGCGTCGACGAACAAAACGATGCGTCTTTCCTCTAACAATCTCCAGCGCGTAATTCATCTCGCGTATTATACAAGAGATGAAAAATTATTCAGTCTTATATCACTGTCAATTAATGACCGAACTGACGAAAACCAGTCGTTCACCGTCATCGCAAATCAATCCCCAAGTCGCAGAACATCAGGTATCTCATTATCGCGCACGTTCCCAGCACCTTCATCTATTAGTCACAAACGTCATTGGCTGGAAAAATGATAAAAAACTCACACAGCATCCCGATGGGAAATCCGATCAAAAGCTCCACATTCATATGTGCTTGTATGTCCATCGGACGAGTGATCGTAACAGAGCTTTTTCGTGTTCCCTTTTCCACAGACCTAAGCCCCGAGGCCAAGGCGTCGGCGTTGTCCATGGCGGAGGCTGTGGCGTCGGGACTGGTCGTAATTAAATGATTCGCTATCCCGCAGGCTCAAACGCCAGCGCTCAGGCGTCCTCCAACGCAATCGCGTCCGGCGGTGGATCGGCATCAGCAAGCAGCAAATCGTCGGCTTCTACTAACGGATCGGGATCTGCGAAAGCTGACGCGTCCAGCAGTGCGTCTTCAGGATCTTACGGTGGTGAATTAGGATCGAAGAGTTCGGCGTCGAGCCAAGCGTCGGCCTCAACCGACATCAGGGACATGCTGATCTTCAGTTAAACATTGTGATACGACGAAGGCGTTCGACGAGAAGAACTCGAAGAGGTCTTCTCGGCCATAGGAGCGATGTAATACTCCGATTTTACATTTTTGATGTTTCACAAACAAAACGTAATCGGTACGAATATGATATTGCCTAACTTTACGAGGATTATAAAATTAATTATTAAAACATTAAAAGTACGTATACACGTAAAGAACGGTTTTGCTAAAGTATCTAAAAATTTGGCTAGATATAGATCCAAAAATAATTTTGTTGCACCATCAAAATATTTAGAGTAAGTCGCTGAAGTATGATAATAATGTTGTAAAAAATTTTGACATTTTAGCAATCAGTTTGAGTGTTCTATAATTATTTTGATAATGCGACAAAATTATTTTCAGATCTGTATTTAGCTAAATTTTTAGATACTTCAGGAAAATCTTTTTTTCATAAAACTGCACTGACAAGAGAAATAAATAATCGGACAATCGTTCGAAAATTAACAAACGGATAATTCGATAACTTCTAATCGGAATTATAAAAAGCCGATCGAGGCCAAAATAATGTCTGATCAATGATAATGTCCGATATGATATTCAGATATCATTGATAATTGGATATCATTAATCGGACATTATTTTGGCCTTGATCGGCTTTTTATAATTTCGATTGAAAGTTATCGAATTACCCGTTAATTTTCAAACGATTGTCCGATCATTTAAACATGGATTTTTTTCTCACAATCAGTGTGTGTATCACAAAACTGCCGATAAGTACGTTTAAGTTTATAATCACGAGTTATAAATTTGAACGTATATGATTGTTAGAAATTGCAGCTTTCCTCGAAATTGAAATTATTTGAAAATGGATAAACAGTCTTGAGCATTTATTAGAAAACGTGTAAGAATTTATTTGTATTTGTATCGCAAATTGCGTTGGAGGCAGATCGAACATTGTTTCGCTCGATGTGACGAAATGTGTGTGTATGCGTAAGATTGAAATTATGACATTAGAATTTAAGACAGAATAAGGCTCTTTGGCAATTCTTAGATATGAAAATCTACAGACTTTTCTTTAATTGATTAATAATGACATATCTGCCTCAGATTAAATCACTTTTATACTCATCCGAGACACACTGAAAAAAAGGTTTGGTTATAATAACCTAAGGCTTGGTGAAATAGCTTCAACTAAAGGGTTTAGTGATTATGACGAAATATTTGGTTAATGTTAACAAATTTGGTTAATATTAACAAATTCGGTTAACATTAACCAAATATTTCGTCATAATCACTAAACCCTTTAGTTGAAGCTATTTCACCAAGCTTTTGGTTATTCTAACCAAACTTTTTTTCAGTGCATTCTACGGTCGGAATTATTTTAATACACATAGTACGATTAATACCATATATTACGTTTACGCGAGCTTTACTACAGAATCCCGTTTACACGGAGGAATTATCGTAAGTTACTATAGAAGTAACGCTCGCGTAAACATATACTTAGGCACCTAAAAAAGATCTTAACTTAATACTCTCTTTATATTTATAAGCGTACTTAAATTATGTATAATTAACTGCGTGTAGATTGCCTCCTCTGGATCTGTGATTTACATGAAACGTGCCAATGAGATATATAATAATAAAGATATTATAAAAGTTTTTATTGCAAATGTGATCAATTAAATTCAAAATCCCGAAATAACTCTATGCGATTTATTCGTTTATTTCTTATTTTTTTGTTTTATGCAATATCTTTTTGCTTTCTGCTTTATCTAATATTGATTTGGACCAAGAAAACTCGTGTTAATTAGAGATCCCAAGAGACAAATGCGATCTCAACTGTGTTACTCGTAAGGGTAATACTCGACGATCTAACTGAGCGTGCTTACGCCTTCATGCATTTTTATGAAATCGGGGAATAACAGCGTTTGCTGTTATTTGATTGGTACCGGCAGCATCTCCTCTTTTTGTCTTTATTCTCACGATGGCAGGCGTCTCTGGAGTGTCGGAAACAACGGGGATAAAAACTCGTCGGACTTGTTCCGCGCGAGAGTATGAACGAGGAAAACGGAAGAGAGAATCGCAAAGATGAAGAGAGAAAAAAAGAGAGAAAAAGAAAGAGAAAGAGAGAGGGAGAGAGCAGCGAAGAAAGGAAACTAAAGAGAGATAGAGAGAGGGCTGCCACCAGAGAGAATCAATCATGATGCATATGTTGTTTGTTCGAATACGCAAATTCTTACGCGATTGTCGTAATTAATACGTAATTATTGATAATCATTTTTTACGCTGCGCGTGTCATTTGTTCAGCGATTTCCCAGAATTATCGTTTATTATCACGCGTTATCGTTATTATATATATAATATGTGTGTGTGTATGCGTTTAATGGACGTGTCTTTTATGCATTCTTATGTAATATATTATTGCACGAATTGTGAGCATGTAAGAATTTAATAAAATTTGTGATCTTGTCGATACTTAAGCAGCATTTTAATTGTCGTCATCAACATATTAATACCTCATATCGATTTTTTCCTTGCATCGATAATATAGAGTTAATATCTTAAATCATTAAATTATCGTGTAACTCGATAGGCGATGATTGAAAGAGACCCTTAAAGTAAACGAAACATAACATAGATGTATAATTTTGTCGTAGAATATAATTAACATAAATCTGCAAAAATTTTGATTTTATCAAGAATGTTTGAAACGAAAAACTAAGATTGACATTCTTTATTCCGAAGCAGATTTTAAATATTACTTGCGCATCTTGAATCATCGCTGAAACATCAGGTATAATAACTATCATTAACACGTTTTTCCTCGCATTGGAGTGTGAATTTCCTTGAGTAATTTTGTCTTTTTTAGTTTATAAATATTATTAAACACAATTCTACTGTATGCGTTTTCTTAGTTATAATATTATAAAATCTTTATTAAAGCATTAAGAAAATTTATATTTAATTAGGAATGTAAAAAAAACTTTGATATTATTAATATTTTACGAAGTGTTATTTGAAGTAATTCTGACATAAAAAGAAAACAATATTATTATTTTGATCTTTCTTGAAGATTGTAAATATATGCATAATATATCTACGAACCAAAGATATAAGTTCACTTGGGCGTGTAAAAATACTTTCGGTGTGATCAAAAAATTATTACACATTAAGGCCTGTTGATGTAAGAATTTTATTCGTGTGCACGTATGTTAGTCTTCCGTCTACTTTCTCTTGTCCCTGGACAGCGAAAGGTCAATCGTTCGATAGAATTCTTTAAAATATTAATTACAATTTATATAAAAATAAAAATACATGTTCTGTCTCTTTCTCTCACTTGTTACACAAACACTTGACAACAAAGTGCAACACTTATATATCGTTATTATTTGCCGAATATGAAAACTTATAATACTGCATTATATTAATGATTAATTATATCTAAATTATTAAGAAATAGCGCGGGAAAAAAAGATCATCTTTTTTTTCCAGGATTATAAGAAACGTATGTACATACATATATAACATGAGAATAAGTTTAAATAAATATGCAGTACTTTCGGACGCGCGATCGACGTCAAGCCTGTGTCAATATCGGCGTGAGAATTCCTTCGTTTGTATACTCGGCTAGTCTTCGGCCTACTTCCGGTCGTCCCTGGAACGGAAGGTCGTCCACTTTACGCAGACCAATGACCGTTTCTTAACACTTGGAGATACATTGTGAAATTATGGGTGAGTTCCTTGAATTTTGAGGTGAAGGGATTTCCTATAAAAGCATGTGAAACGAGTGTTCAGCTTCAAATCGTTTTTTAGACGTTCGACAAGTAACAGTGACTTCCGTTTCACGATGAGACGCTTGCTTTTAATTGCGGCGCTTGGCGCGATTTTTCTGAAAGAATCATTTGGTAAACCGACGGAAACAGTGGCGAATTCTGATGTGGTGGATCCCGTTGCCTTGACTGTGAACAATACCTCCGAAATCGGTTAGTAATCAAAATAATATTAATTAATCAAGATTTTTTTTTATAACCAATCGAGTCTTTAGAAAAAAATATTTAGAAAGTTATTTTAATTGCAAAAATAATTTAAAAATTTATGCATTTTCATACGCAATGTAGGGGAGACCGGGGCTAAGCCGACAACGGGGCTAACTTGACACTAGGCTTTTTGCCAATTTAAATCTATCGTAGAAACTTGCCTTTCCTACTGTAAATGCGTCTTTATGTGCCAGTATTATCAACGGAATTTGGTAACATTCTGAGTTATAGTGTAATTTTTAACGCGACATAAGCGTTTTTGATAGTAAAAAGTAATTTTTCTGATCTCTTGAAAATGTCTACTCTTTCATAGAGCTTTACTCTTGCGAATCTACCGGTAAGTAATTTTGATGGAAAATTCGATGTTTTATACGAATCCGATAATAATTTTTGCATATTTTCAAAATTTTTATATTTTTGGAGTAACAAAAGTAAAAAACGACGTTCGGGGCTAAGTCGACACGCTGTTTTATTAGTTCCCAATAATAAACGATGCTTGTAATGCAGCATATGGCCCATGACAAACTTGTGCGCACGTGTAATCGCGAATTTACTTGCATAAATTGTTTTTCAGGCATGAGTTTAGATGAAAATAATTGACTGTTTAACAATTTTTGTTCTCATTATTTCCAATGATTGTTTTACTTAATTCCAAATTTTTGTACTTTCTAAATACACGATAAACAAATGTATATTTAGTTTCAAACAATAAAAAATAAGTTCCAGATCAAATTGTGTCGATCAGGCAAAATGTCGAGTTTACCCCGGCATTTTTCAATTTGAAAATTTGTCTTTGCGTCACTTTTCCTTTTCTGGCGGCAAAACAAAGCGACGTACAGCAAAATTTCCCGAATCAATTTTGTACCTGAAGAAACACTCTTTAAATATATACCATTGAATTTGCCTAAAAATTTTAATTAAATATTAAAAATTGCCTTTGAAAAAATAGTGTCGGCTTAGCCCCGGTCTCCCCTATGATGTTTATACAATGCGCTTTTTTATTCTTTTGAAGAGAGCTGTGCAGTATTAATAATCTAACTATTCAAATATTAATATATAATTAGAATATATTATTTAAATATTAGTGTACGAGGTGAATGCGTATTATTTTAGAGGCCACAAGAGAGCAAAGATCGCCGCAATTCGGTTTATTAGGTGGTTACAGTGATTATTATGATTACAATGATGATGCGCGTTCCTTCCGTTACGGAAACAGGCGAAAACATTACTATAGCCACCATAAGCCACACGGTTTTATCGGAGGACATGGATGTCGTGGTTATGGCTGTGGAGGAGGGTACGTGTAGAATATTATTTTACTTAGCACACAGAAAAAAAGTGTCAAATCAACACTGATATACTTGTATATACGAAAGAATATATAATATTTTTATAAGAATTTCAACTTTTTATTTCAACTCTTTTTTCTTGATTGAACTATACAAAACTTCGTTTAACTATATAAATGACTTTATATAGCAAACTTTCTTTGTTTAACGCAATATATCTCATTTCAAAATTATATATTTTTGCATATGTACAAGTATATCAGTGTTGATTTGACACTTCTTTTTTTTTATGCATCTTTAAATCAAAGCGATTTAATTAAGAGGGAGGGAATTTACTACTCCAACTGAGTTGTGTTGCAAGACACTTTAGTTTACTAAAGTTGGTAAATATGTCTAATTACTAATACATAGAAATGTTATTAAGCGTTATTTTTAAAATTAAAACCGCGTCTGCCTTTCATTTAGCCCGCTTCTCTTCTACTCGTGGACTTCCAACAAAGCTTATCCAATTTATTTTACTTAATTAAAAAAACGAAAACGGCTATTTTATACGTAAACGTGACAATTTACATTATTTTATTATTTATGATAAGAATTTATGATTTAAGAAAAATTTATGATTTATAAGAATTTATGATTTAAGAAAAGATTTAAGAAAAATCTATAGTTCTTTGCGAATGTCTGTGAACTGAAATGCGCAAGATAATCCGTTTGCATTTTACTTTCTGATTCACGCAGATGGCAACCGGACTACGGCGGCCATCACCATACCGGACAAGGAGCGTCTTTTGCCTCAGCATCAGCAGGATCTGTAGGTGGAGGTGGTCCTTATGGCGGAGGACACAGCCAGGCCAATGCACAGAGCGCGAGTTTTAACATCGGGCCTTTCTCAGCCTCGTTCAGCGCTGCTCAGTCCGCGTCGGGACAAAATGGATTTTGAATCCTAGAAAACGGTAAGCATCGCGGGCTGGATATCCTATTCAAATACATCCTAGATTTGTATATGTTCATTTAATTAAATATTTACCTAAACTAATTATGCTGACATAGGGAAACTCGGGGCATAATGGGATATGGTCAATATCTTTTTACATCAGAGATGCTGCCACGTAATAAAATGTTTCGAAATTATTATTCTTAAATGTCTCTAAACCGCGTGTAGTTATCAGTTTTGATATTATTTTTAGCTGAAAGATGCTAACAAATTGTTTAATATGTTCGCTGTGCTCTCCGCGACTGAGTTGCAGTTTCTTTGATATTCGATAAACATAAGATAAACAATGATAAAATTCTACTTTTTATTCCTGTAAGTACATTTACGTTACTAAATAACTTTTTCTTGTCAATTTAGTAAAGTATCTGTGTAAATATCGATTATCTGTAGATTTATATTACGTAAAGTGAACTTATACATTTCGGGGCTTAATGAGATATAATGCCTTGTGTTCTTAAAATGTTTAATTTTTTTTTCATACACTATCAGTAAATACCTATATGTTGCGCAATATTGATGCTAAAGATTATTATATCAAGTTTTAAATTTTATTTATATTTTAATAAGAAAAATGTTATTAATAAGCAATTGTTATTAATTAAAAGTGTAATAATACTTTCGTACATATATTGCGTGTTTTAATAATTTACTTTTAAGAAATTTTAAACATTAATAAAAAGTTTTGCGAGGTATCCCATTATGCCCCGCATAAAATGCATAACAAAGAAAACTTATGCTTTCAATGAAACAATAATTTCATCCTTTTAAACTATTCTTTCGCAGTATAACTTGTTTTTCTTGTAGTGGATATTTCAAAGAATAATTTGGTGCAAAATTAATTAATTAATTAATTTATTTTTAATATGTTTTAAACTTGTTTAGACTTTAGCCCATTATGCCCCGGGTTTCTCTACATATAAACATATTTTGTTTTGTCGTCTATCATAATCTCTGCGCACTGTTATAACAAGAAAAGAGTAATATGCGGAAATACGTTAAATAACGTAACTGATTATTTGCGTTTTACCGCAAAAATACATTTATATTGTTTTATATATATATATAAAACTAATTAATTAACTTGTATTTTATTTTGTCATCGCGAATGTAAACGGATTATACCTTCTTCATTTTGAAAAAAAAAAAGTAAAAATTTTTTGAAAGATCTTGCTACTCAATTACGAATATTTTTGTTGCTTGTGATTATATTATATTGTACGAAAAGTCGAAGTAATTGAATATGAATTATATAATTTATTATGTTATTTTATATTACGCAAAACTCACATATCGTGTAGAATACCGAGAAATATAGTATCGCATCTTTCGCATCTCAAGAAGGGTTAAACCCCTAGGATGCTGCAGCATAATACACGCTACACGGCCGCCCACGAAATTGCGCCGGACTCGTCTCAAACATAGGTCAACGAACCTGAGGGGCTTGGAGGTCGGGCCCGGGAATCCGCGATTCGCATTATATTACCGCGATCTCGTTGTGCCCCCTGACACTCCGCGTTGCTCTGACCCGCAACGCGGATGAAACGGGCCTCTGAAACATCTGTCCGGCGCAATGGGCCCAATGGCGGACCCCGAAGACGCAACAATCTTCGCCGGGGAAATACGGGCGTATTTCACTTTTGCCGGAGTGTATGCGTTCGTATGCGCGAAAGAGCAGCGATTATAGTGTGTATGTGTGTTTATGTATACATTTGTGTGTGCGTATGTTTGTGGGACCTGCCCGGAAAGGCCCGATGAATGTGAGCTGGCGCGGCGTTCGCGCATTGTGCCATTGAGGCACACGGTCCTTTTCGGGGTACGTGTGAAAAAGAATGAACAAAGGGGAAATGAATCTTCTTGGTTCTCAGGCGATCGGCAGACGGCCAGACAGACGGATTAACTCGTTTTAAAGGGACGGCCAGACGCCATATTGTTGTTTTGGGACCCGTCCTATGTTTAGGTACGACGCTCCTCTCTCTTTCTCTCTCTCTTTCCCTCTTTCCTTTTCGGTGCGACGAACCGGTCCGTTTTCGTCTCCCGGAGACGCACCTACACGCGAATCGGAGTGCCGATTATGCACACACTTGCGACGACGCTCGGACATGCAGTAAATGGCCATTGTTCCCGAAGGGAGTCAGAGAGAGCTCGGGGATTGAGCGAGCGAGTTTAAATCGGATCGCTTCGGATTGCTATAGCGCAGAAAACAAGCATGACAAGATTGCGTGCCAATTTTTTCACTCTAAACTTAACGATGCGATGCGGCTCGCATGCATCGTTTGAGTTGTATATCAAAATTATTTTGTTTCAAATCCTCGGAGATTTATTCTAAAATTAATCCCGTAGTTTTGTGCAATTAATATTTTTTTCTCGACTTTCAAAGTTACGCTTGCAAGACTTCAACATTGTTTTTTGCATAACTCCGTTAACTAAAAACGTTTTATTACGCTGCACTGTAATCGGGAGACAATGATGGCTTAGCTGCGTTTTCGTAATGCGATTTTAAACGTGTGTAATCCCGTGTCGACGCAACCTTCGCTACACAATCGTTAAATGTAGTTAGGAGATTACTAGAGGCTTACTTCTTTTCATTGAAGATGACTCAGCCGAACATGTTGAAAATAAAGTCTGCTTCTTTTACACGACGTATCTTAAAAAAAGAGAAAAAAACACGATTATCTTTATTGCTGTCTTATCATTTTAAAAAACATTAGAAATTCTCAATTTTATTTGAAACTTTCTCTTTACTGCACACAGAAAAGTACATACTACTTGCAAGTAAATATTACTTGTTCTAGGTATTTGATAAATTTAGATATTCGCAAATCTACCATAAAGTCATCACAAGAATTACATTTACTCAAAACATATTCTAGAGTTTAGCAAAGTACTTCAAACAAGAATATTTAATTAATGCAAAAATTCAATTTACATAACTATATAATATTTTTGAAAGAAGAACACATTATTGTTTTGAGCACAAAATAATAAAACCTTGTGCTAAATATATCTTAAAACTATTATTAAAAAAATATTCTTTGTTGAAGAAAACTATTACGTAAAACAATATAAATAAAATAAGTAATTGCTTTCTTTGGCTGTAGAATGATATTGTTCTGTATGTACTCTTAAGTGATTATATTTGCGCAGCTGACTTAATAATCATATTAACAGAAGCAAGCATATTACATGTATCTTAAATGTAAAGCGTTTCCTATTCTCCGCAGATCCCAGGAGCGAGCAGCTACGCGGAACCCCGAATCGCCCCTAATTCATTTCACCATCATCGTCTCTCTGCGCCATCATTGTGGGCCCATTGTTTACAAACATTCTACGTCACTCACTAGGAGCAAGTAAATAAGCCTAACCGCGTGCGCGCGAGCCACCCTCTTGCCTCCTGCGTGAGGATTTTCTGAGCGAGCAAGTTTCCTTTGTCCGCATGCCAGCCACCAGATGTTCCCCAAAATAAAACTGAATAAAAATATCGCGACGTAGCGCCGCGCGATTCGCGAATGAACGAGCGAGACGGTGGGTAAATCTTGACGCGAGAAGGGCAAGGATGGAGGGATTCATCCGTAGAACGGACGAAGAGTGGGGAGAGGACGCCGCGAGACGGAGGGTCGCTGGATAAACGGCACAAAGGGATAGGAAGCCCGAAGAGAGGAGGGCCCCTGTTAAGAGCAAGGGCCCCTGAAATCGAGATCCGAAAAGCTCGGCGTGCAATGACCGGACGAACCGCACACGCGATCCTCGCCGGCGCAGCGCAGCATCCTCCTCCTCCTCCTCCTCCTCCTCTTTCGAGATACTCTCTCTTCACTCTCCTCTCTTTTCGGACAGCCGGGAGGAGCGGCGCCCTCGAGGACGGATGTACAAGATGCGCTCGTCGAGGAACATTGTGAATCTTCGGCCAAAAGTTTATTTGTTATTTAGCGAAAAATATACCAATGGACCAGACTTATAATTCTAATGCTCTCTACTGATAATAAATAATGCATATCTAGTAATTATTATCATATTTTTAAAGGAGGAACAAATGAAAATAAAGAGACTTGCAGAAAAAAGAAACTGTCTGATATTCTCTCGCATATTCAATTAGAATTTTTTTTTAAATCCCTCTTCTTGGAACAATTTGTATAAATGACAATTAAACAGTTGCGTTTATTGAAAATTTGTATACTTGTGTTAATTGATTCCCGCTTGGTAATCATAATGAAAATGTCTGGAGACTGAAGAACATTCGAGAAATTACGCTCGTTCGTTAAAGATTCGCTGCAATATTAATCGCGGCTCATTGGACGTACCCTGTTATTTTATAAACTACAGAAGACCATTAAACGTGTTATCTTTTACGCCTCGAAATCACGTAGGCTCGTGCAGAAAACTGGAGTCCCGTTCCAACTCTTCCGTAATCTGGGAATTTAAGTAACTTTATTTTATCGTCGTCTTATTGTTAACATGAAATCCTTACTCAAGTCAATGAACTTTTATTCTCTTGATTTACGTGGGAGAAAAATTATATTCTGGGGATCAATCATGTATTAAAGTGGAACGTGAAAAATGAAAAGTTTTATATGACTATCTTTTTCTATTTAACATCAATAGAAAGAGAGATTTTTCATTTTTCACGTTTCCACCCTAGGGGAAAAGATTCATGATTGACCCCCTGGACGGATTCTCAGCCGGTCCTTGCATCCTCGTTATTGAGGTTGGCATTTCTAGATTTGCAGCGGCGGATCCACCCTGAAGAAGTGACATCCACGACACCCGAGACGCGTCAAAGAGGCTCGTTAAAGGTCCTGTCCCGTCGTTAACCATTGTTTAGCCGCTCCTGGGCACCTACGGCCCTGCCAGCCGGTAAACCAGTCCCTCCGTCTGAGTAAAAAGGAAGAGAGACGGAGAGTATGGGAGTCGTCCGGATAAACAGAAGGAAAGATCAAATGAGAGAGAGGGAGAGAGAGAGAGAGAGAGAGAGAGAGAGAGAGAGAGAGAGAGAGAGACACGAAGGGAGAGAGAATCGAGAGGAAAAAAAATGAAATAGAAAGTGGTCCGGCCGGTGCAATAGACTACAGTATATGACGTCTTTAAAGCACCACCTCCCGATGGGTACCCGCGGGTCTGTTCCTGTTCTCCACGCACTATAGCAAACCCGCGATGCTTTCTTGAAGGCTCCCGCGTCATTGTGCTCGCATTTCTCGTGCGGTTGTCGACTCGGAAAGTATATCCTCAACTTATCGCCGGTAAGTCGAGATACGTACTGCTAGGTATTAAGTGTTAAGTCCCCGAGGTCCATTACAAATATAAGTGAAGCCGTATCGTTTCGTAAGAGGCTCGTTCTGTCATTTCACAAGGTCGAAGGGGAGGATGACGCGCGAAGATAACAGTGATAAGAGTTAAATAACAGTAGTGTTGAACTCGGTACGACTTATTTTTTCGAACGATACGACACTCCGATATGTTTCCTCTTAGTCTTCTTTTTTTCTCAGTTTATATCGCGCCTAAATGTGTTCGTTAAATTGAAAACGATACGAGCGCGATTAATTGCTACAATAAAAAGGAAATTACATTTTTTAAGAGAAAACTTTGATTGAAGAGAAAGTTGATTAACTGCTTTATAAATACACTCGATTCGAGAGACATTATATTAGTTTCTGTTTTTTGTTGTTATTATAAAAAAAAATCCTTTCTAAAACAATATTTTTCTAACTGCTCGGATTTTCTACAATATATTAATTATAATGTTCTTTAGGGAATATTTCTAATATTTAATTCTAATCTTTAATTAGTTAGTTTATTCATAATCCATGCCTTGACGACTTTGGATAACTTCCAATACATTTGCACTTTTATATACATTTTAATTCCATTTTCATTCATAATTCTAATCTTTAATTATAATCTAATATTTCTAATATTTACTTCTAACATTTCTAATATTTAATTATAATCTAAGAGATTCGTACTGTAGAGTGAGTGATCGTCCAATTGCGATAACGTCATTGAGTTGCACAATCCGTTGCTTTTACGTAAGATTCCAAGTCAATACCAACTGCTCTAGAAAGTGACTCAATTAATAATTCTTCGAACTCGCGTTCTCTTACGAATGGTGATTGCGAAATCGTCGAAGGCCTTTTAATGAATTTTACTTGAAGTTAACGGATGTTCAGAATTCTCGAGTACTCAGGCATGACGCAAGAATAATGGTAATCGGCTAGCGTAATTTTTTCGTGCGATTGAAGCAGTTTTTGCTGTTAGTGTGTCTGGTAGGTATACCATGCGAATAGTCTGTAAGTGGAAGAATAAAAGTTAATTTCTTTTATTCGTAGATTTGACGCTTTGTATAAGTTATTTTTGGTATCGTACATGTCGATGGTGAGGCAATCGCGATCAGATAATTAGGTGTTAATTAGACAATTATAGTATTAATAACAGTGTAATTGTATTATTATAATCAGTTAATAATAATAATCTAACCACGCCGTTATTAACCATATAATGTGTGGTGAACTCGATGATGTAAACTTTGGGACAAATTACATCAAATTTTATCGACAACTTCGTTGAACTTGTTTTTCATACAATTTCTTACTACCTTTGTTTGCTTACTTTACAGGGTAACAAAAATTTCGATCTTTGGACATATAAAAATTCCCGTTGCAAAATGATAAAAATTTTGGCCCTTTTGCTATTCACTTCAGTCTGTGTCATAATCAATGCACAAGAGACGGCATCTAACGAAAAACGTAAGTAAAATATAGTATATAGTATATTAGTTTTCGAATTTTTAAAGATTTTTTAAACTTGTTTTTGCGAACATACACATAAATTGTGTAGAACAATAGTAAAATATTAATTATATTTAATAAGACATTTTTTGTTCGCCTCTTTGTCAGGATTTAATTAATTGATAAAAATTATGTATTTTTATGTCTTTATTTATCCAAAAATTTTTTAGATGCACATTGAGATTTATTTAAATTTTTTTCTTCAGTAATTTATTAAACCATTTATGTTTTACTTTTTTTTTAATTAGAATTTTTCGGCCAGACGTTTGATGAAATTGTCGTGTCGTCGGATTTAAACGTCAGAAGAAAATCAAAAGAAAATCGTCAGGGTAAAAGATTATTATCGAATGTGCCGTCAGCAACTACTGGTCCACCGGAAAGACCGACTGCAATTGCGTCCAGACTCGTTTTCGCCGATGGAAGCCGTATAACGCCGGAAAAAAGAGAGAAACGTGGCATTGTTACAACGCGAAGGAGGTAAATTGGCAAAAAACTGTCTTTCTTCTTTATTAAGTTATCAATGAGACTCGATTTGAATTAATTAATGTCTATTGTAAAAAAATTAATATCTATTGTTAAAATACTGAAATATTAATAATCGCTAAATCACCATGTAAATTATTTTAAATGCTTATGTATGATTTTTTTTTAAGTTAAGATATCTTAGATAATACCAGCCGCTGATAATATTTAGCTATTTCACATAAATCCTCAGTGAATTCATTCAATTGCTGTTTACCGATAGCAGAACTGCGAAGTAAAATTAAACGATTAATTCTGTGAGCAATTCTCGTTCGATAATGTAACTGGAAAAAGTATTAATTACATTAAACGCAAAATTCTCGAGATAAAATCTGCTTATGAATTGCATAAAAAAGTTGGGAAAACACATTTTATGTATTTACTTTTAAAAGTAATGAATTGAGAAAAGCGCGATTTATATTTACGATATTTAAATCGAAAAGTTTTGCTTTTATAATTACGTTCAGTTTCATTGTACGTTTAATTGTATGCGACTTTATCATGAAACTTACATGAGACTTTATCAATTTCAGGTATTTGGACCTGGGCGTCGCGGGATACTTGCTGAAATCTCGGAAACGGTAAAAATTCTACACTCCGAGGACAACCGCACGACCCTCTACACCCTCATCTGTGATCACACTTTTTTCGATGAACTTTTAGGCCACGGTTCATGTAACAAAAAGGATAATAAAATTCTTCTGTGTCATAACACTCCCAGCTTTATCACTGCGCGCTCACAAAATTATTCTTCTCTCTTGACTTTTCACAATTTCATATAGGTATTACGTAAAACAAAAGGCATGTTGCCAAATCTGAATAATATTTATCTAAATAATATTATTGCGTAAAAATCTATAAATAATATCTAAATAATATTATTGTATAAAAATCTGCAAATAATATTTGAAAAATAACGTTCCTTTTACTTTAATATTAATAATTTAATAAAGTCATCGACGTTTATTACTTTGCTATTATTAGGTTATTGAGTACAAAAAGTTAATGATTTTAAATTCAAATATTAACATTTATATCTTTGCACATTATTATCGTTAACAAAGTACAGATTCCTTTCCTTTGAGATCTTAAGGAAAATAACGTGGTAAATTTTCTTGAGCCACTGACAAACGTAATTTGAATACGGTTTCTTTATGAATACATACGTCACGGTCTTACAATACTATCGCCGCAACGGCCCGACCGATTGTCAGGCATTCCGCGTTTGTACGCGAGTTGAAAAAAAAAGATCGGCTGGTTGAAATATGGCAGACCGCATTAAAAAGACAGCCGCTAGCATGATCGCCATGCGGCGACCGCCGTGCATCGTGTCGATGCACCTCGCCACGCGATGCACCCACGGACACGTGACGCGCACGTCCAAAACACGTCGTTTATCTGCCCAGTTTCTCATCTTCAAGCTCATTTGATCGTTCGTTTCAACATCTCCTTCATTTCTTCGATTAAAATTAATCATAAAGTTGTTAAAAGTAAAATTATCAGTTTCAAGTTTCAACATCGATGGTTAGAGATCACAATGAGACTCGCATTATTTGTTATAATAAACTTTTGATCCTGTAACTTCTTCATTTGGTAATGAAGAGTCTATATGTTTCCGTAATATTCTCTTATGGTAGATGAAATATACAAATCCTTGCCTTCACAATCGATTGTCACGTTAAACCTTTCGCTCCTTTCGTCACAGACACACGCATTGCAATGTCTTCATTAGCCGCATTGCAATTTTCGCATTATCTTTAATAAGCATGAGCAATAATAATGCGAAATGAGTTGTCGCATAAATTTCCGTCTTTAAAGAATTATATTGTATTACGCATCTGTTATTTTCCTGATGCGTACGCAACGCAAAAAAAAAACTGCAACTTCTCCTCGAATTAATCGGATGCCGGAAGACCCTTGAATTTTGATTTACAGTTAACCTGTAACGTTGCGAACAGCCGATCGTTCGTTTCGTGCGTAGAAAACAGGAAAATCCCGTATTCCGAACGTTAAGAGAGTACGACGAGAGTCATATTATTTTATGGTGATTTCGTGACTGGACTCTCTTCGGCACGCTGCGTCGTTCGCTTGTCATACTTCTGCTTTTTACGTTGCTGCGCGCAAGCAAAAATACGCTGTAATTGATCAAAATAATACCTTAGTGAACACAATGCAATGTCCCAAATCGGAACATAAAACGTCTTAAAGACGCCATTATGACGTCTTAAAGATGTCATATCTATGATACTTCTTAATGACACATACAATAGACTAAACACTGGAGAGCTGTATGAAAGGTCTAAAAAGGACAGAGATATGCTTGCTGGCACTCTTTCCTTATCTAATTGTGTAGTTGGAGAGAAAAAAAGTGAGGAAACAAGGTGTGATTTAAAAACGCATTCTTCGCATTTTTATCAACGTTAATTGTTAACAATTTAAGAAATCAACCAAATGATACACGTAAAAGGCGCAACGCCAGACTGCAGCGCGCATAATTCTTGCGTTAAAATCGAAGTGATCTCGAGCTCACGCGTCGATCCAGGCCGGAAGTAGCGTCCCACGATGTGAATACAAATTCTAGCCGATCAATTTCCTCGGGCAACGAGGAGAATGGACCGGCGCAGGTGCGTTTCGTCTTCGATCCGATCTCGCATTTGCATCAGACCTCTATCGTGATGCAAAATCCGTAGCTCCCGTTGTGTGCGTATATATATATATATATATATACCGTTTGCGTATATACGCGCGGGCGTTTATGTCGGCTGACGGTGCACCTGCGACTATTTTATGTCTTCCCTGGAAAAGCTGGACACTAAATCCCAAATGGCTATCCAATGTTGATCCGCTGACTGCTGATCGCAGACGTCAGTGGCGCAGCTAGAAGATTGGGCTGACTAAGAGGATAAACGTCCTCGGACAGCATGCATGTAGAAAATCGGGACATAAGACTTCTTATAGACATTTTTAAGATGTCTTATGATAAGTTTAAAAGACGACTTATATCCCGATTTGGGATCTAGTGCTGTCTGGGTTGCTTTATCCTCGCTTTACCAAATTTTAAACTAGAAATTTATAAGAATCTCGACAGAAAGAGAGAGAGAGAGAGAGAGAAAGAGAGAGAGAGAGAGAGAGAGAGAGAGAGAGAGAGAGAGAGA